ACCGAATACCATTTTTACAGCCGGCCTTTTAATGTAGAGATCCAGATGTGTGTCTTTTCTTTTTCGTCCTCCACTTTGAAGATCTGTTTAGGTGGGATCGTTGGTGGGGTCGCAATTTGCACTCTTCGCACGGCGAACCCCTTGAATGCGCGGTTGTGGTCGGCATTGTCGCATGTTGTTACGGTTCCGTGTATTTGACGTTAGGTACCCAATGTAGGAGGGGTAACAATTGTTTATTATTTTCTTATGAAAGAGGGAATTTGCGGTGAAGCATTGGGGGGGTGTACTATACGCTATACGCCCGTTATAGTGGATAGAGTAAGTAAGTAGGGAGTATTTTAGCGACCTACCTAACTTCCATAGGTTCCAAGGTTACTTGCTTAGGTAGATTGGCAAAAAGGCAAGTAATGGTTGGATTCAGCCCCCAGCCTGACTGAGCGGCGAGCCTGTCATCTAGCCTTAGCGCAAAGCCTAACGGCGTGGTGTGGTGTACGGAATGGCTGTAGTGTAGCGGACGGGCGAATTGTTCCTGATGAGACACCCTCGCTATTCATGATACCTCCTCTCTCTCTCCGGGCGAGGCTGTCACCCCTCCTTGCTGGACCTTGCTGGAGTCATCAACTTCCGTCCGGTATTGGAGCCGGATCCAGCAATGCTGACAACCATTCGTGTGATGTCACGTCCAATGACAGGCTGCTAGCCTGACTGAAAAAGGCAGCGTCAGCAGCTGATCTCGCTCCTGGGTCCGTTTAAGATTCTTGTCCCTTGCCCTTATCGGGTGGGGTCGAAACTGTTTTGAGAAAATGGACATTCTCCAAGCATGTGCTAATATATGCTATGCCTGTGTCCTGCATAGACTAGGTAGCCGATCTTGACTCAATTCATTCCCATCGAGTTTCCCGAGTAGCGGCCCTGGGGGACGGGTTGGTAGACGGGGTGTAAGACGGCGGTTTTGAACTACGCTTATGTCCAATGATGCAAACTGGCATCCTCTCGTTCCGGGCGTCCACTATGCATTTCGCATTTCGCAAGTGGTTGGCGGATGAGGGCGAAACACTGATGCTACCTTGCGTGCTCACCAACTGCCGGCCACCCTCTCTTTCAACTGGCAGACAATGATCTACATAGTATGTATGCCTCTCGACCATTTTTTCTACTTACGCGGCTTGCGCGTCTATTAGTGATACAATATCGCTATCAGAATTTGACAGAGATAGGCAGATATGACTCTGTTCCTGTCTGCCTGTGTGGATGGATATTAATCAATCAGCTACAGCTAAAAAACTTCGAAATTTTCCTATCGAGAGAAAATGTGATTGCTATCAAGCGATCGTATATGAATGGCTCTTCCGGGTCTCGCAATCTAATATTAATAGCGTCTGCCGAAAAAGCTTGGCCCCAACAGTCGCGTGCGTCCAATTATGATTTGGGGGGCAATGATACTGTATTCATCTAGGATAATATCAACCTAGCCAGTCACATTGCGTAGCGATCATGAGATACAACGCGCGAATGATTTGCTTGGAGGGGTAAGTAAAAAAAGAGAAGATGGTTGAAAATAGGGGAATATCAAAGAATATTCTTTTGGTCTACCGAATCTGGAAATCTTTCGTAATGTGAGTGTGTACTGTGTTTATGGTGTATTGGTGATTGGGAGTATCCATTCGACACGGTCGACTTAAAATCGTCCGATAACCCTCAGGTGCTGTAATATCCGCTGTGGTAGGTTGTCGAATGATAATCGGGAGCAAAATAAATTCTTTTTTTTTGTACGACAGAAAGAATCTGCATGACATACAGAAATATCTGCAATACGATACGATAGTGTTTAAGACAGACCGACCTTAGAGATCGACAATCTCTTCATAGTATGTAATGCTGTTTTTGTATAAATGTACATATGGATATATGGAAGTATAGATGTACATTGGATATCGGTCAGGGGTATGAATATTAAGTTTCATAACTAGTGTCGATTTGTTGATGATGCCATCGTCGCTTTCACTTCCTCTATCCTCTATCCTCTCGATCGACTTGACTCTAATTTTATTGCGCCTGGTTACGCGTATGCAGTTATGTCGCTCATTTTGTTCATTTAAATCGCTCGAGTGGCAATTGTCAGAAAATCAATGTATGTATTATGGTCGACCTACATATCTAACGTAGCCACGTTTTTTTGACCTTGATTTTTTTTCATAATAACAGCATTTGATTCGAATTCGAGTTGTTGCTTGTAGGTATTATGTATACCTACTAAGATACCTAAGAAATACATTAAACATAACGATGGATATTAGGTGGGCTTGGACCGCCCAATAGCGCTGGAGTTTTCTTAGTGATATCAACTAACTTGACTGTTACCCCACCAAGAACAATCACCTGTAGTCCTTGATTGGCTTTATCTGCATCATCAGGTGCTTCTAGCATTCTTCCATCATCCCTCGCCGCTTTATTATGTACGGCTAAAATGAACAGGGGTGTTGACGGACTATTCCGCATGAGTACGAGAATTCTCGGATGCGATTGGAATCTCCCATGTGATTGGTCCACTAGCATGGTTCTGCTTCTTCTAGCGCCGTTCTAGCGTCGCGCCACCCTCTCTCTCGATACCATGAGTACATATGTACCCATAGTACCATAGTACGTAGTACAGTACGCAGTCTTCTAAAGTCCTTCCTTTTGTCTGGCTGAAGCGAACTGGGGCGGGCCAACTGAGAGGCACAGGCAAAGACAGCGAGCGCTTCGCTGGTGGGATGACAGCAGGATTAGAATAATCAGGCAGACAGTTAGGTAAGGCTTCGAAACCTAACATTTATTATACTGGAGGCGATGGACAATCACAACAAAGCGGCACTAAGTCTAACACCACTATTATATAAATCTCATAACCTTGCTATTGGGTCCTTAATAAAGTCCATAAACATGATAAACGATTTAGGTGATGTTGTATTATTAATGTTAATGTATTGCGCATGTAAATGAGGAGATAGAGAGAATAGAGAGAGGAGAGAGAGAGAGAGCCAACTGTGGGCGAAGATACAAGTAAATGGTAATTGAGATGGAACCCGGACGGCTTTCGCCCAACCCGATCTCCAATCTACTCTTTCCATGTCTCTTTCCCCTTTCTCAAAAAGGACCCCATCTTTCAATTCTGAAATACCTCCATAAAAATTATTATCGCAATGCCAAATGGCTTGTTGACTTGCAAATATACAGAGTTAATATAGTTGATAAGAGTCCATGACACTCTCTTTACTAAGATAATATAATATGGATACTGACTGATTGTAGAGTCAGGATTAAAAATGCAAAGACGTATGGTGTTTTTGTAGGTATATACTCAAGTACCTAAGTATCTACGTACTTGGCAGAGGGAGATGTAGAGCTGGGGTATCCATGTAGGTACACTCAAAAGTACATTGTATAGAATTTCTTAGTCACAAGTTCCACTGCAAGGTTAAAGGGGTACCCGTCCAAGACCCCGGTCATTCGCCATACGTGAGGTACCTTGATCATCCCAGGGTTGGGTACCTGTACTTGTCTCCCTTTTTCCCTTTAATCATCTCTTGCCCACTCGCCTTCTGTTTCGAGTTTCTGGCCGTCCTGTCCAAGTCTTCGCCCTGCTAACCTTAACATACATACATACTACCATTACCTACTTTTTACTTTACCTACAACATCCCTCACTTCATACTTTTCATACTTTCAAACCGTTGAAAATAATAAAAATTTTTTTTTTTCGATCCGAAGCACTCTTTTATATCGCCGACATCTACATTTGCCATTGTCATCGAAATACCGCTTCGAATCCGCCTATTACGCCCTCTCGTTTACGCTGCGAAATCGTTACAGGATTTAGAGGAAATACCCCAATTGCTTGCTCATACGACTCAACTAATTCGCCCGTACGAAATAAATCCCACCAACAATTTCCCGCTTTAGCGCCTCATCCATTTTTGGCCGTACCAACGCGACCAACGCCATCACCACCATTCTCTATTGAATAATTGTCTCGCCGCTGTTACGCTTGGTGGATTTACCTGTTGTGACTGTCTTGGTCCCTCGTTGCGAACTATCTGCGCTTTTCCTACTCGTCCCTCATTCCACAAGGCCTGCCGTACCAGTGCACTGTCAAACAGAAAACGACCGTTGCTTGTTGGTTTCGTTGCACCATTCCGCTCTAGAAAAGCGTTAGAAGCCTGGTTTGCCTTTTTAAACCTGACTCTTATCTAGCAGTACGGGGTATATCAATCTGAGCCAAGATAAACGTATATCTCTCATCATGCCTATTGCGCAGTGCTGCTGACTGGGAAACTCTATAATCGCCTATACTATCCTATCACGTTCTACAATTACTAGCAACTACTAGTCCACAGTGGATCGGCTTGCTGCTACAGACACGGAAATCTCCAGCAAACGGGACCCATCACTCTGGTCTCGATTTCTTCAGACTGCTGAACTTTATGATATTAGAACAGTGGTTCCTGTATGAAATCTGCGCCAGTGTGGTTTAATCTCTTTGTTGATAGATACCATCCCAAGTTGTATTAAACAGGATTCTTGTTTTAACTTGGCTGCTTTCTATCACATCATTCCGTTGTGCAGTATTCGATCTACAAGTTTGTATCGGGAAAAAGGATATAACACAGCATATTGGCCAGCCCACTGACTTCAATTTGTTTTGAAAATTGTTTGATTCCTGTCTCTACCCGCGCAGACCTGAGGCGAGAGCTTTTTGATTGGCTGCAAGGACTTGATAACTAGGAGGACACGGGCTTCCGCAGATGATGAGGGTTGCTTGACGATAAGCTAAAGACGGCTTCTCGTGCATTGCCACCACATTGTTACCAGACAGTTTTGCTAAATTGCAATTCAATCAGTTTTGCATGGCTTTAGAGCTTGTCTTGGACTAAATTCGCTGCAAGAGGCTCTGTTTGTTCAGAGTGACACAGCCAGGCGGATTACCCGATACTTGTTCTCCCGCCAACCCCGAAGAAATAATGGGAAAGCCTAGATTACGAGGGAATTCGCCGGTCTACCTAAACACGTCTCCTCAGGAGTTGACGCCTCCATCATCAATATTTGACAATTGGGACCAAGAAACCGCCATGGATACATCGCGCCCGACAAGCCTAGCCATACCGCGGACGGGCTCGCCTTTCGCCAACCCGCCATCACTAGATGAGATCCTTGCCGATACAGCACCGCCTCCATGGACGCGTAGTTCTTTTATGGCATACTTATCCCAAAACCATTGTTCAGAAACTTTGGAATTCATCACAGAAGCCGACCGGTACCGAGAGGCGTACTACCAAATCGCACGAGGCCAAGCACCTAATGGTCCCGCGCAAATATGCTCACTATGGCGGAAAGTTATTGACGCCTATATCATGCCATGTGCACCGCGAGAAGTCAACCTCCCAGCACATGTCCGCGACCGCCTCCTGAGACTTCCTTGCTGCAAAGCGAGCCCACCCGACCCTTCTGAGCTGGACGAAGCAGCCTTGATTGTTCGGGAATTAATCAATGATTCGGTCTTAGTCCCCTTCCTCGAGTCTGTAGTTCCGACTCCGACGGAGTTACACGCTGAGGAAGAACCTCAAGACTACAGACAAGGACGCTCACGCCTTCGAATACCTAGGGATATGACACCCGTGGATGAAGCAAGTCAATCACCCAGGACATCCTACCTCCCGCTTTTCATCATGGGCCGTAGCGGACCTGGCAACCGATCGGGCTCTGTATCAGTGGATACGACAGATGTCGATTTGATGACTGATGACAGTTTCAGTCCTAACTCGACTTCTGGACTGGAGCCGATGACACCACCTACCACACCGCCCACTTCTGACTTCACAGGAGGCACATCCCCTAGCACTTTACAGCGTGCGATCTCAGGAAACAGCTGGAAGAAGATGGGAGCAAAGCTGGGATTATCTAGGAAGAGCAAATCCACTCGCCGTACTAGTTCATCATCTACCAGTCAATCCCCATTATGAGGGTCACAGGTCACACCATCACATGACCTATCCACTGCTGTGGACAACAAAAACAGCTCAATGCCTACAAAGCAGAAGACTGTAAACGGAGAAATTGCGTCCTGGGAAGATCCTCACCCCGGGCAACGATTGCAGATTCCACTCGGGGTGGCTGCGGGACTGCATATTTATCCTCAAACTATCAGCGGAGATGTTATGGGTGGTGTGGCCGTAAAAGCGCGGAGCGCGTGTTCAAACAATGGACCTCTTACAATTGGGTGTAATGGCCGCGGTCGTCACCGTAGCGTTAAACCGTCAAAACCTTTAAAAATACCTGCCAAAGTGGTCGAAGAGCCGGAAGCGAGAGGTGTTCCGCTAGTATCACCACAGCCGTGCGGGTTTATGATCCCGCCGCTGCACCTCTTGTCTCATCCCGAACCCGTCGAAAATCTCGAATACGAGACCGATACTGGAACAGACGCTGGCACTGAAACTGGAACATTATTCAGTGAAGCGGATACCGATCGGATGAGTGTGTCGACTGTTGGTCACACCCGGTATAGCGACTATTCTAATTATCTCTGCAACTCTCACGATGAAGAAAGAGACGATGCATCGATGACCGTCGTTGACTCAGAGGCCTTCACAAGAGCTAATTCCGTCGATGACGCATACGGTTGGGAAGCAGAGCTCGACCGTAAGATGAGTTGCCGAGTTAGCATGGATTCCATGTGTCCTCGTCCTTATCATCAGGGTCGAAAAATCGATGGTAGTCGACGAAGTCTACTCCATCGTGTCTTTTCAGTGTCGGGGAGAAGAATTAATTCCGGCTTCTAGAGCTAATCACCTACTCTTGGAGCCATTAATATTCATAAAACGACAACATTAATGAGTCGAGTTGACTGTACCAGCCTCGAAAACCACTTGGAAAATTTACATGAGCATGATCATCATTCTTGGTTTCGGGAAGCATTCATCATCTTTTTTGTTAACGGCGTTATCATTGGGACAACTGGGCGACCGGTGTCCTTGGGCGGCAAGCATCAAAATACACGGGGGCAAACAGGTCACATAGACTGGGAAATTCTTTGGCGAGGCGTTCTTGGGTTTTAGACGAAACGACTTTCCGCTCACATTACGTTATCTTGGAGTTTTATTTGGTTGGGGTTGTACAGCAGATATCCCCTTCCCTATCGGAGCTGCGAATGACATTGGGCTCATCTACCTAGCTACCAACCTACACCCACAACTTAGCTTGCCCTGCGTATTTTAAAACAGGGCAGTTTCTTGTTACACTTCTTCATAAGATGAGCACAATGTGCAGCAGACGCACCGATGCATGTGCGATAGGAATGAGAAGATTTGGATACATGTCGATATACCATAATCGTCGATTGGGGGCTATGTGGAGGAAAGCCATTTGAACATAGTATGAAAGGTCAATGTATATGAATAATAAAAAAACTTATAAATCATTATTTTTATGCCTGCTGCTACCTGAGTGAAATGTTCCGGTGCGATAAATTAATTACAGAAGTCTTGTAGATTGACTTACCTGGCTGGTGTCTGTTCATATGGAATTGACCTGTCAGCCGGGACTTGGGCTTATCTCAACGTCATGACTTTTACGGAGTCACAATATCTCCGGTATGCTTAAGTGGTTACGTGTACCAGTATCATAAGTAATCGTGTGGTCCATAGTCTTTTTCATTTATTTATCGACTATCAAAACCCATTTCCAGTTTTATGTGTTAATTGATAAAAAGTACCCAGATACAGAATACATCGCCCCAGCAATGCCCTCTTGAATACATAACAGAATATATGATGAAATACCTCTTTCCCTGCCATGAGTTTAAATATCCCTACGCCAGAATTACTCCATCCGGCCGTCTATGATTTAGGATTATGGATCTTCCGTTGTATAACCCCACATTACTTTTCTTCTCTAGGCACTTTAGGTACTGTTTCCTCCCTCCGTCCCAATTTTTTTACTATCCCTTACTCCTCTGCGACGGGAGGCTTGTCGTGTCTCGAGTACATCTTGTACTCAAGGGAAGAGCTGAAGTCGAGTTTGCCCTTTTCAATTTGGGCCCTCGTTGCGGTGAGCATCGGTTCTGGCAAGCCCATTGATTGCAAAAATGCAACGGCTAGGAATGTGTTAGCGTTCCGCGTTCCATATTTGAAAGGTCTGTAATATGCTTGGTAACTCACTCTCTTTCCATTCCCGTTCCTGTCTAGCTCGGTCCCACTTCAATTCTTGGCTCATGATGTCGATGATCTTGGGCAAGCATTCAAGCGCAGCCTGAGCGTTTAGGAAAGCTAATCGCGTTCTTCGCGCTAAGATGTCGACGGCGGTCTGAGCGTATTCATTGGTGATGGCGTATCGAATTTCGCCATCCACGAAAGGGTATAGACGAGAGACGCGCTCTCCTCTGGCGGGGAATCGCAGATCCGTGGGCTTGCACATAGCTGCAACAGTCCAGGCTCTGTCGCCATAGCTCTCAGTCAAGTGCTTAGCAACCTCGGTCTCAACTCCGAAATGTTGGATAAGGTTGATGAATAGAGTTTTGCTAAAGCCGTGGGCACCAACCAATCGAATTTGGTGGGTTTGGCAGGTACCATCTAGGATTGCGCCATCATCAATAGCTTCCGTTCCGCTAACGCGCGGGGCATTGCTGAAAGGCTTGGTGGGGAGGTTGAATTCCTTGACTGCCGCGTCCACACAGTCCTCTGCCATTTGTCGGTATGTTGTCCATTTTCCACCTGCGCATGTGACGAGGCCGGAGCTAGAGATATCGACAAGGTGGTTTCGGACGAGTGATTCTGTGTTCTTTGCCTTAGGATCTTTAACAAGAGGACGGATACCTGCCCAGGCTGCAAGCACATCACCGCGGCGGACACTGATATCGGGAGACAAGTAGTGACTGACTTCGTTCAGAATCCACTGAATTGACTTCTCATCAGGTAATGGGTTCGGGGAGATAGATGTCGGTTCATCAGTTGTACCAGCGATTGTGTTGCCTTGCCAAGGTAAGAAGAAGATAACTCGGCCGTCAGAAGTTGAAGGGTCGATCAGACCCATGTTCGAGGGACTGTAGTAACCAGGTAAAATGACGTGGACACCAGAAGCTGGCGCAACGATCTCCTTGCACTCCTGGTCGTCGAGCTTTCGTATCGAGTCGGTGAAAGGACCAGTACAGTTGACAATACACTTAGCCTTGACAGTAATCGGATCAGATTTCTTACCGTTGCGTTCGGTAATCAAATCCGTCACTTGAGCACCACATAACTTGCCACCGTCATTTTTCAGAAGACCAGTTACCTCGGCGTGGTTGAGTACGGTGGCTCCATATACTGCTGCAGTCATTGCAATCGAGACGTTCATTCTCGAGTCGTTATGAGCACCATCGTAATAGACTAGAGCGCCAACAAGGTCCGTTTGTTTCAGCATAGGAAATGCATCGAGTGCTTTGCTCCTAGTTAAAAAGTAGGAGCTCTCAATACCTTCACTACCGGCAAGGAAATCATAAAATTTAGTACCTGCCCAATAATACGGTGCCTTCCACCATTTGTCGAGAGGCAACATGATAGGCAACCACGAACTGAGATGGGGGGCGGTTTGCAAGAAGTATTTGCGTTCCTTAAGAGCCTCTTTGACCAACAGGTATTGATTATAGTCCAAATTCCATACAGCTTTTTCCAAATATCTTACACCGCCGTGAACAAGCTTGGTGCTCTTACTACTGGTACCGCTGCTGAAATCATCCCGCTCGACAACTGCTACTTTCAATCCTCGAGTAACAGCGTCTAAAGCAACACCGGCACCAGTAGCTCCACCACCAATAACAAGCATATCATATTCCTCCTCCTCTTTACCACTCTTCTGTAGATCAGCAATCTGTTCCTCCCGCGATTTCACCTTGGGAAATCGAGGGAGCTTAAATGTGCCATCTGCACCGTAGATAGGAGGAGGAACGGCGGCGCCTTCGAAACCGGGGATATTTCGGGGACGGTACGAGTAGAGAATGGCACCACCACCAACCGCGGCAATTGTAGTGGGAATGGCAATGCGCCTCAATCCTCTCGCAAGTCGAGACGCCATGATGGTAGCGAGGTGGATTTAACACGAACGAACGTAAAAACTAAGTAGGTCGGATTTCCCCAGCTTTAGCTGTATGAAGGGATGGAGGGAGGGGGGAGGGGGACAGGTATGCCCTTTGTTGTCGGCAGGTCGGTTGCCGGTAAAGAAAAAAAATGACCTCAATCCAGGTTTGTGTAACTTAGGTCCGAAATGTTTGCTAGAGATAGGAAAGTAAAAAAGAGCAGGCAAATTTTGCTCACGATCCTAGTGAAGTTAGATGGTGTTGTCACAGCGTGGGGTGGTGACCACGCCGTCTCTCGCTACTCCTGTTAGTGGAGAAAGAGAGAAAGAAAAAAAAAAAGTTGTAGGAAGGATGGAGACGACGTACGTGTAAAAGTTGATATCAACATTGTTTCCCTATCAGATACAAGGTTACGCCGAGAGAAATATGGAGGAAGGCTCGTTCTTAGTCGTGTAATTAGCTTGCGGAAGGGCTGGTGGCTGCAGCTCCCACTCCGAAGTGAGAAGGGAGCAGCGGCTCATACCCCACATGCCCCATAATTAGGGATGCGGCAACGCTGTTGGGACGGCTGGACTCGGTAAAAGTAAACCGCGCATCTTGTAAAAGGATTATATGTATTTATCGGGTTTCAACTAGATTGAACAGGGAATAGAAGCTTTTAGCTAAGAATGCCCAGCTCGGTGTTAGATATCCCATCAATCAACATGGAAGAAATTATTGAATGCAATATTCCCATTTTCGAATTAGATTTGTCCAAGGATTGGTGTTTGTAAATGCCATCTTACGATCTCGACCAGGGAACATCGTCAGGTGCTCCATGGATGCCCCTTTCAATTAATACATATGTATGAAAAAATAGGGGTAATCCACTGGTCGTAGTTGCTTTTCTCCACGTGCGCACTCTCCTCATCTTGCCCTGCTTATAGCCAATGGCAATCGCGTAAGGTACGGATAACCACTTTCGTATAATCGTTGAGGTCATAGGGTGACACCCGACACTTCCCCAACTTACTCAGCATGCACATGTGCAACTCGAAACTCAAAAGTTCCCAAGCTTGCATATAGGTATGAGTCTTATTTTATGTTTTATGTCTCAATTATGTATTTAGTTACACTGTCTCACATACATACATATACATGTATAAACAGGATTGTACATATTTTCATAACCTTATTCCGTGGATATTATATACCTTCCATCTCTTTCTCATTAGTAATTAAACTCATTTCATAGAACATAAAAAAATTCTTCGTCAGAGTGCGTCGACGCAAATAGTAAATAGTTCATCGACGAACGTGATTACCTCGCTATTAGTCTTCTCGTGTTCAACTATAGCTGAGCCAAAGGGTTGCCCGGTAAGCATATCTGTCTCAGGTAAACCCTCCATCTCGAAGTCGAAGCCCATCCCAGCCTTAACCATTGTTACGCGGTCTGTCTTCGCCGCAGGTTTCAATAAGGCAGATGAACCACCACCGACGTCGTCGATTTGTCGTATGTCAACCTGAATTTCCTGCGACACCATGATACCGCCTAACGACAGGGGTTCGTGTGTTACCTCTTCGTCAGACATCATGTCATTGTGAGACATTTTGCTGTCGCGGGGATTTTGGTTCCAGAACTTCTTCGTAGAATCGGAATAAACCGAATTACGGTTGGACGATTTCCGGGTTGATTTGGCTTGGATCTCATCGCCATCAACAACAGAATAAACATGAGAGTTAGGCCGTCCGGCTCGGCCTAATGAGCGCAAGCGACTCCAAGAGATAACCCGACCGACCCGTTGATATGCTGCCTGTGGCTGTTTAATCGATGGCGTACTTACAATCGGTGATAATTCCCGATGCACGTGGCGCGTAAAGGCAGCAAGTTGAGACGAATTTTTATACGACATCTGGTGAACCTTGAAGAAATTCAATGGCGCAAATTCGCATCTGGGACTGCTGAAAGTGGTATGGATCGGCATCATCATGCACAAGACAATCATTGTGCAAGATTTCTGGGTTCGACAAGGTACTTGGACCACCTTGGAGGTTAGTACGGCCTCATCGAAGATTGGATCATCTATCCAAGCACGAAGCCCGTTGAGAGCGTCAGATAGCCTAGAGGCAAATATCATCTCCCGAGGGGAGAGCTTCTTTAGTGCGCCGAGACCCTGCAAGAGGAGAGGGACATTCGTTCTCTCAAACTTGCGGATAACTATGTCATCGAAGTCAGTAATTTGTTTGATTTGGGAACAGATCCCTGCTACGAGACCAAGCTCGCAAGCGCCACGAGCTCGAACCCAATATAGATCATAGCGATGAAGAAAAATTCATGAAGATAAACATACCATCCATCTGCCATGGCTCGAGACGCTCGAGATGTATTGGCATATTAGGGAGCAAGTTTCGAGCACCTCTCTTGGTTATTATATCAAAACCGAAGCTTCCCACACGTGCCTTAACGCCAAAGAAACCGAGATGTACGCCAGGCTCCATGATCATATTGCCTCTAGCGAAGGTTGCCATATTGGCCAACTTTCCGTTGAAATCCCGAGACTTCACTTGCATACGAGATCCAATAATCCCGCATACCTGATGTATCTCTGCAAAGCGGAAACCCGCAGCTTCTAGTCGATTCACCTCGTGAGGATGTTCAAGACGGCGAACCAAGAACATGAGAATGCCACGTCCGTGTTCCTGCGATCGCAGAAACCGAGTCTTACCCCCTTCATCAGATTTGCCGTAAGTGCCTTTTTCTAATATTTGGTCGATATTTCGATCGGATTTTTGAGATGCTCCGTCGGTTCCAGCAGTCAAGATCTCGTCCCATAAAACACCAACGTCGACAAGTTGCTCTTTCAACTTAGCTGCTAAATTCGCTGCCGCAACACAAAATGATTCCCGAAAGATAGTTTCGTAATTTTCGATGGGTTGCCCGTCGTCGTCGACTAGGCGAGCCTTGCTATCGCGGATTCCCTTGGGCAACCGCGCCAAATGCTTGGTCATTCTACCAACCATGCCGCTCACGCTATTCCAATCCCGAGAAACTTGAAACATCCAATGGAAAAGAGGATGGGCGACACTGAATATATCCCCTTGAGCCTGTTCCACGTAGGCATCGGTAATCTTCTCACTCGGCAGTAAGCCGTCCGGGTTTACCAAGATCCTCCCCGACGTGTCGAACACCGCGGTAGCTAAAACGACTTTCTGGACTTTCCTCGCGTTATGCCTCATGATCCACATTGCGTAGATGATGGAACCTGCTATAAATAAGGCAGCAAGTACCGCTATGCAGACAACAAGTATGAGGGCATGGATTTGGGAGTTCTGGCTGCTCTCATTAAGATGTTTCAAGCGATAGTTGGTGCCTATAGCGGCCACCCAATGCATCCCTGACACCGCACCCGCCAGCAGAAAAGCCGATAGTACTCGTTTCCACCATGAATTCGTCCAAGACGCTCTAAAGACGAAAAACAGCGACAGAGCTAATATGCTATCGAACACTGCAATGAAGGCGGCTCCAATGACGTACGCGTTGTCGTATACGCAGTGGTAATTGTTAATGGAAGCATTTCCCAAATAGTGCATCCCACAGACGCCGGCACCAGCAAGCACACCTCCCAGAATGATCCGCCACCGCGAGACAGTGTAGTTTGCGCCAATAGCTACAAATGCTAGCAGAAGTACAATTACTGGTAGGAGGAAAGAAAGTGCGGAAGCGCCGTTGGAAAAGTTGATGCGGAGTTCAGGTTCACCGTTACCCAAGATAATTGCGTGGTTCCCAACGAAGTGCTACGACCGGTCAGTCAATGATGTGCTCTCTTTACGGGTACAACATGGAGTCTTACCATAGACCAAATCGAAACACCGCCCATCGCTACCGCAGCAGTAACAAGCATGATATGATTGAATAATCCATTGCGAGATGTACGTCGGTTGAGGAGTTCGAATGTTAAAGTTGCTCCGATGCAAGAGACAACATAACTTAGAATCACAAATCCAGCTCGAAAGGACCGAAGAACGATCTGGCCTTGGTATCGCGACAGTAAGTCTTCATCTATTGACATCGTGAAAGTCGTGCCTTTGTGTCGATGGCCACATGGATGCTTGGGGACGAGACAACTTCAATCATAGATCAAAGTTATTACTCATAAGAACATCATGACGATACTCATGAGGGACGAAGTTCGTTAAAAGACCTAGAACCCAATCAGAACCTACTGGCGTGAGAACCCGAGGACCTAACCATCGGGGCAAATATGCCAACGGGCGATAGTATCTAACCTGGGAATACCTAGTTAACACATGCGAGCTGAGGCCGAGGTGTAATCTTAGACACGGTTGGGCATAATCGAAGGTGACCTGGCTCATGCGGGGGTCGGAAAGTGACGCTGCGCTTAACCAGTTATATTATCACTCTATCACATTAATATGCTAACCTAGAAGCAAAGCTCAAGTTGATGACGTCCTTAGGTTCTACGAGATATAGAAATACCATAACAGGTCACGACGCGTAGCGCAAACAATTATAGCAGCACTGTCTCAATCAATAGTCTCGAAGGGACCAATTTCGATGTGGACCGAAGTTTCACGGTAAGTATCGCTATTGGGTATGTTTTCTTTTTCAAAGATAGTAGTAAAAGCAAACACTAGACCATGGACGTTATACTAATCATTGAAGTTCCAGCACAATGGTCTAAAGCGCCTTCGACACATTTACCAACAATAGATAAGGCATTCGGATCTTCTACAATCCATACGCAGGCTGGTAATCTCCGCATTGTATACCGTAGAAGCCCCGGGGCTAGCTTACTTCCCTAGTATTGGTGACTGCTAATGTGTGCTATAGTTACGTGAAGTTCAGTGCGACAAACCAATGAAGATAAACCTAAGGGATGTGATTACTTACCCTAAGTCTCTTTAAGGACACAGCCATTTACGGATAGGAGATCCTGCTGAAGGGAGATCCTCAGATCCTGTGTCACATTTGCAATTCGTCCCACAAGGCGAAATCTAATCCCCGAAATTCAGATTATCTTCACCTCCCTATCTTTTTCTATGGGTTCCCAATTTAACAACCATATCACCGGCATGACCTATCTGGCATATTCCGCAATATATGTTATTGTTCGGACTTTTCCGCTTTTTAGTCTTCGGAGAAGCCAAATAATCACCTAGAACTCAGTACTAGCCATCAAAACATCAATACAGTCCTTCGCTACATATGTGTATCATCTACAAACCGCCGAAGGAACCCCGAGAGGTAGCTGGTCGGCGACCCTAAAAGGACGAATCCCGGACTATATGTATAACATTTACATGAATTAGGTGTAGAACATAAGAACACCCTGATCCCTTTGCAGGGCAGGATAAGCAGGGATTCTTCGACGCTGCAGGGTAAGGTTAGATCTCTCTTTCCCCTGACCCCTAGCTTAGTTACGTTGCATTCAGATATTTCATTCCCAGTTGTTTGGTCTCGAAGGGAGCCTCATCATCTGATTTGACCTTCCGGCTTACAACGTATTTCTTTTCCTTCCCATTTTTATCAGGTTTTCGACAGCTCCCCTGCCACTAAACTTGTCTAGACCTTGTGTTATTTTACAATGTTATGCGTTGGCTCTTCGCCTAGGTTCGATCGCTAGCTCATCGTGGAAGGGAAGGGATCGACACGCCACAAATGTTTTAACCGGACGCCATTTATTAGATAAGGCAGGTATTTCTTTTCCATTGGGATACATGATTGGGTACAATAACTGCTAATGAAACCGGTGTCGATCAACTCGTTCACCGGGTTGCTGGGGAAGTGATCTCAATTATCCGCTCGGAGTCCCCGTGCCACCATTCAATTAAGGCCAATAATGCCATAAGTAGCTCATCAAGCACACATACTCGTCACTCCAGCAAAGATTCGACTACCTAGATAAGTGCTATTATGCTCAGTTCCTACCATCAAAACATATAGACTCCCGCAGTCGCTACGAAAATATGGCGTCGATGACTTGTTATGATGCCCCAAAGCAGTCAGGATTATTCCGCCGCGATTGACTTCTATTCAAATGATGTGACTATACTGATAGAAGGCACAACTATATTATTAATGAAGCTATATTAATAGATATGAAGAATCTAGATCTTGCATCTACTGACTAGATGCTCGGCTTCAGCTGTTTTGGTTCACGATTAGTGGCCGCTAATGGTTTACGAACACCTTCCAATCGATGAGGCAGCTCAAGTAGCGAGGCTCATGAGTATGTTCTAGGCACAAAGCTGACGCGTATTTATCTGCATCCTTAGGACTCTCATATCCTTTCATTCGCCGCCTGAGCCGACAACTGCACAACGGACGGGATATATGTTACCTAGACACTTAATACAAAACTCGGCGAAGTGACATGCCGAATTATATGGTTGAGTGGCTCAAGCCCCTTAGGCAATCAGGGCTAGCTCTCACCGGTGTGGCTCTTGGAGGGACAAACCGATAGATTATTCGAGGGTTCTGGTATGTGACGGTAAATGCCGTGTTCTTTCTAGGCCAATTACTTGTCATCGTTGAGCAGATTTTTGTAGATTTGCTTTTGGCCAATATAGTCTAGGCTCAGGGGTGGAGTGTACGACGCCAGCCACCTTTACCTATTTACCTCATAGGGATGCTAAGGGAAAACCTAGTCCCTGCCGTAGAAATTACCAAAGCTGCCAAAAGTGATAGCCGATATACCCGTGGACATATCAGCAACAAGTTGTGAAGGATTCCTCGAGCTTCTCTTGATTGCGCGGGACTCCGTCCTCCTATCAATATAACCATGGCCAACCCCTAACCCAGCAGTCCAAGATTGTCAGATAGTCGAGATTTTGAGATAAAACCCAGATCATCAGACAAGAGCTGAACATTTTAATCATAGACAGTAGAAGGTGTCAATGATATGAAGTTTCAGTCCCTAAAATTGGTGTCTTCGACGGATAGTCTTATTATTCTACCACCAACGTCTTAACTACGACTATTTATAAACTATTATAGGTACCTAGGCACCTAATTTACAAGAGCATTTAGAAAGGACGTTTCTAGGCCCACAAATTAGAACAAAGATAATAGCATCCTCACTAGATCCGATTTTCAGTTTAACAAGAGGTACGCTTCAGTTAACGATCAACATAAAAATTAGACACCCAAATAATAATGCAGTTTAATTGTCGCATTATGTATCCATAATAAGTATCCCTTTTATTTAACTTCACTTACCATGCTTATAGTAGACGTTTAATACCTTTGTATTCTTACAGGTCCCGACCCCGCCAAAGTGCCAGGGTTAACCCCACTATATGCCCCGCATACGTCAGTCACCCAAGGGTGCGATAAGTCAACTAATAGCGATTAACTAATTCGCCGATTTTTCAACATGTTCAATCCCATTCTCTATCCTCACGCCGTTAATCACCCATCCCACAAGAACTTTCGTTATCGCGAAGACAATTAATAGTATCGCATACACTAGAAGACAAATAATTGAATAACAAACCTCAAAATCCAATACCCGAAACACCAATCCCCAGACCCGCGCCCGGGTCCCCAAACACAACAAAATGCCTCCACCCCCGTCATCGGCCTCGTCAACCGTAACCCTCGCACCACTCCCACCCTTCAAACCCGACCTCTACCAACGCGCCTGGCAATCAATACCACATCCAACCCTCCCCCTCCTAGCAACCGCGCACCAAAAATCCGTAACCGTATTCTCGCTCTCGACGCTCTCGGCGCACAGCGCGTTAACCAACGGCCATGAACGCTCCGTGCGCAGCACAAGTTGGAAGCCGAACCTACCACCTCATAAACTGTGTCTCGTAACCGGGAGTTTCGATTCTACGGCGGGATTATGGCGGTGGAATGACGATTCTTCGCCCCAAGGTGACGACGGTCTGGAGGTTGAAGTCACGGGGGATTCGGATAGTGATAAAGATCCCGCGGACAAAGATTGGGAGTTGATAATCATACTCGACGGTCAGGACTCCGAGATCAAATCCGTGAGTTTTTCACCTACGGGACAGTTCCTAGCGACTTGTTCCCGCGATAAATCGGTCTGGATTTGGGAGGATGTAGGCGCGAATGAGGATGATGATGAGTGGGAGACGGTGGCGGTGCTTAATGAACATGAAGGTGATGTCAAGGCCGTGGCTTGGTGTCCCGAGGTTAATCGGAGCGGGAGGAGGGGGAGGTATAGTAGTGATGTGCTTGCGAGCGCGAGTTATGATAATACGGTGCGTGTGTGGCGTGAGGAGAGTGAGCAGGAGTGGGTTTGTGTTGCGGTGCTTGAGGGGCATGAAGGGACTGTCTGGGGTTTGCAGTGGGAGCCGAAACCTAGGGGGCAACGGTTCCCGAGGTTGATGTCTTGGAGCGCGGATAAGACTGTGAGGATATGGACGTTGAAAGAAGAGGAGGATGAGGAAGAGGATAGGCCGCAACATGTGTGGGGTGGTTTGGGGGGTATACCGAATACCATGCGCAGATCCCTAAAGGAGGAGTGGGAGTGTACCGCTGTATTGCCGACGGCACATACGAGGGATATATACTCGGCTGCTTGGAGCCCCGAGTCGGGTATGGTGGCGAGTACGGGAAGTGATGGTATTATCGCAGTATACCGCGAGGACAAGGAGGGAGTAAACGGCACCCGACACGCGACAGAAGACGACGAAGCAGCCGCAGAGCTAGATGGGGATGTTCATATGACTAACGGTCATACGGAGAACGGAACCAAACCTAAGGAATCCGAATCCTACAAGTGGAAGTTATTATCAACGACAAAGAACGCCCACGGACCATACGAAGTCAACCATGTAACATGGTGTAAGCGATACGACCAAGGATGCCCACCTGAGAGGAGGGGAATCGAGGAGATGCTAGTCTCGACAGGAGACGACGGTATTGTCCGACCGTGGCAGATTATATCATGATCTTCTACCAACGAAAAAGGGTTTGATTGGGGGTCAGAGTGAATATATTACTCGAAGCTGTATATAATGTCTGGGGCTTAATTCTCGATACATACCACGAGAAAGATACCACGCTCTATAGCTAGCATCTCTGGGCTGAAATCATATAGAAGGGGGAGCACAATGCCATGAATGTCATGAACCATCAATCGAATTAGGGCTATGAACAGATGAAAATTAACATTACTCTCGTGAGAATGCCTCAACACACCGCCATACAATGATTATTCAAGGAAGAAAAAAAGGTTTCGTGAAGCAATCAACGCCATACCCTCGCCCAATTATTTACCCCTTCCCCCAATGAGCCAACAAGCACCAATTAGTATTTAACCTGGGAAATGCCCACAACAACACCACGTATACATTATCTTTCGCCAAGCACATCTCGTACACCATTCCTCTCCACGTCTGGAACCCGTCCCCCCACCGATAAGGGTCGAGAGCAAACTCCATCTTTGATTTACAGGTCGGTTGCAAGTCTTACACATCCATGCTGGGTTTTCTTGTAGCGGCTGGTATTGTGCGTATTGGACAGGGGAATGTATGTCGTGGCCCGGTCTGTATATACCGTGGTCTCTAGGCAACGGGGCCTGAACCGGCTGTAACATGCACATTTCCGCTTCCTGGGGCGTACCGACTATTGTTCCCGATGCGGGTCTACTACCAATGCTGTGTCGCCGCATATACGGATGCGATTCTAAATTTCCGTGTCCACTTCTCACGCCTCGGAATGGCTGCTCGAAAGGGTTAGACGAGCTTGGCCGGTGTCCATGATGCTGCGCCGGGTACGCACATGTATGTGAACGGCTGCCTTCATGTGTAGCCACCCACTCCGCGAATCTAAGCGGCGTAGGAGGGGCCTGGTGAGGTGGGTACGCGGGTTTCTGAGGGTAGGCATGGATATCCACAGTCTGGATCGTAGGCGGAGAGTGGCGCTTACAAAGGTTTCGCAAGCGAGGGATACCAACGAACCCGCTGTCACTCCCGCTAGCACTTCCCCGGCTGCTGCTACTTCTAATAGTGGCGGGCTCAGAATTTTCGCCGCGTCTGTTGTTGCTACTACCACTACCTATAATAGGAGTGTGGTATTTATCGGTGCTGCTTGTGGGTGTTATAGAGAACATATCATCTAGGCTGAAGGAATTCTGTCGGCGAAGTTGAGGTCTTGGTGGTGTGTCTTTGCTGGTACTGGTGCTGCCACATTTGCTGTTTTTGCTACTTGTGCTAGATGGCTCGATTTTCAATGGTGATGAGACATTAGATGCTGATATGCTACTGCTACCACCGACCGCGGTGCGTAGCGTCGCGATGCTGCGCTGTTCGGCGATAGGAGCGAGCTCCGTGCCATGGCCGTACAAGAAGGGTGTGTTAAACGCTTCCAGTCGTGATAGAGGAGACTCTGAATTTAGATCTATATCCATTAGAGGAATAGGATGGGGTGGGGGTGTAGAGGGTTTAGCCATCATTGTGTCTGGGATTTGAGGTGGTGCTGGCGTCTGATAGGGAGACACGGTGGTGTCGTTTATCTCGGGAACCCAGGGAGCGTCGTAAATTGAACCGTGAGGACTAGGTTGACCCTCGGACGAGTCTTTGCGTTCCCATCGGGTATCGGGAGAGCGTCGGTTTATAAGAGCAGCACTGATGTTAGATTTATTTGATAAGGGGATTCGAGATCTAGAGGCTGGAGGACTGGCGAGGGCGCGTTTAATATTGCATGTGTTGCTGTTACTGTCCATGGTATATGCTGCTGTCGATACTTTCATTAATCTCGTCTCTAAGTAACCCAATGGTTATGGATATGTAAGAGTAAGAGTGAGTATTGCAAATAAACCTATGCCTATTTTTTAAGGGCTGGAGGGTTAGATGCTGTGATAGGGAAAATGTGATGTAAAGTTCATGAGCGCTTTTCGTAGCCCGAGGTCGGTTGGGATGAATTAGATTAACTATTTTGGCTAAGAAGCGCCTTCCATTACTCGCCTTGATCATGTTGTAACTACCTTCATATTGTTTAATGGTCAGGTGCAAGAATTAAACGCAACTATTCTGGGCGGTCCTTCCCCTAACTCTAGCCTAATGAGCTGATTTTATACTCGGTCACTAGGCAAAAGGCGGTATATTGATGTGGACATACGAGTGAAATGCAAAGAGTCTATTAATTGTCGTGGACAACTGGTATCATAATGACATACAACTACCTAGCTCCTTATGAAAGCAAATGTATGCCGTCGATTTTCCGTATTCATCCTACCAGAACGCCTAGACGCTCGGAGAATTCCGTCTTCATTCTGTACTTGCTTGGATACCCTCCGCAGCCAATGCTCTTTGGTAATCAGCTATGGCTTTATCTAAGGACTGTATAGTAGGACCCATAAGCTTGAGCACGGCCTCTCTACCACCTCGAATAGACTTCGAGTTGAACTTAAGCTTTCGCTTAGTTCGCTCATAAACCTGGTAGATTTCCTCTTTCTTCTTCCTAATCTGTTCGTCTCGCGCTTTGTCAGCCTCGGTTGCAACGGCATCTATCCTCTCTTTTGATCGTTTCAAAGCCTCGGCAAGATATCCAAGCTCAACAGCTCGGTCTGGGTCACCAGAGAGAAACGCCGACCAGAATTGGTGTAGGAACTCAATGGTAGTAGCATGGGTCAGGTTGCAGATTTGAGTAACGTCAGGAGGCAACCCCATAGGCGATGTCTCATCTGAATCAACGCCAAATAATTGTGCCCTCCTTTGTGACATGCTCTCAAGTATCTGCTTCTGTGCGGCTTTTCGTGATGCTCTGGACCCTACATGGGCTGACCTTTCTCCTTCGTCTTCGCTATCGCTATCGTCGTCAATGCCTAGTGAAGTGTGGAGATCAACACCACCGGCGCTATACTTAAGGCTTTTCAGATCGCCTTGCACATCCTTAATAACCTTAGATGGCTTCTGCTTGGCGAAAATAGTAGTTGTCTCAGAAACGGTGTTAGCTTCGCTTGAAAAGAATTGGCTTTGCTCTTTGATGTTAAGGATTATACGATTCTCTTCCACGTCTCCCCGAAGATCGCGTAAAGCAAGTTCTTGGTAGGTATCATCTAATTCTACCGGATTTGTGGCGTCGTTGTCCGCCGGCAAGGAATTAGCGAGTAGTTTTTCGCTGATGCTGTTCAAAGTTTGGATGATGGGAACATCTTTTCTTCCTCTCGGTCGCATCTCCACATCCTTTCGGTTTCCACTTCTGAAACCACCCTGGTTCTCTTCGTTACCCTCTATGTCAATGATATGTGGTACGTGTTGCGATAATAGCTTGCTATTGAAGGCTCGGATATCGTCGTATTCATCGTACTTGTCGAAAATCTTGTCAGCTGAGTCCGCCTCAGTAACACGTTCTCCTCTGAGTTTTTTCGATAACTTGCTGAGGAAAAACCTCTCCCAGAACTCATTTTGCCCTAAAGGAGGGACATGTTCATTGTAGATACGCTTGACGAGCGGATGCTGCGCAAGAATCATCTGAATCTGCTCGACACTGAACTTCATCTTCAGTTCGCTAGGTTTGTTGGGATCAGCATTTTGCTGCATGGTAGGCTTTACTTGAGCCAAGACATTGTAGGGTCCCTTCTTCTGGTTATTCTCGATTGCGTGCGCTCGAAGTATGTTGATGCGCGTGGACCAAAATTGCGTATTAAATGTGCCATCCGACATAGAATCTGGTTTCGTCTTGCGACCCTCCATGTACATTTGGAAAAGGGGGCGATCCGCCTTCATGAGTGACTGTTGAAGTGCTATGTCGTTTTTTAGAGCCTCGTCATCAAATAAACGCGCAGCGACTGATTTAGCTGTTGCAGCGTTTGCAATAGCCATAGATGATGAGCCACTACCTCCAGCGGGAGTAGCGGTTGGTTTCGGTACATTAGGATCTTTGCTCTTGGCGGCAGCGAGGAGTGTGGATAAGAGATCTCTTATCACATTCGCTTCAGCTCTTGGGTTAGAGGGTGAGTTGAAATGGAAGAGAAAAGTCTGCTCGGGTCCTTTTGGTGGCGAATCGTATATCTTCAGCATGACCTTGGGGGCACTATCCGGGGTCTGTTGGAGATCTAGAAAAAAGAGATTAATTCATCGTAACTCATTTTTATACATGGCACAGAAAAGCCTTACTAGTTATATTCGCTATGGTTACCGAAACTGTTGGTGGGCCGCTAGGTGCCGTATTTGGTGTCCAAATGACGGATTTCTGGTCGGGCGTGAGGGTTAAGACGCCATCTTTTTTCTTGTAGGCAGCAGCGCCCGTCGGAATCGCCATGATGGACGGCGAGTTATTAAGGTGAGCTATCAGAACTGGTTTACAGCCGCAGAAGTTGAATATCAAATGTCAAGTGAGATAGATTACGGCCTACAAAGGACGTCCACTATTTGAGGTCTCACTCGCCCCTTTAAATCACTGACGGTGTGTGCAATACTCGTATCATCTCCCTCCGTTCGTCAACTTGGTTGACTTTGACTGAAAGGGAGAAAAAAAGGTTCTGTTTCAGGATCGGCGTGCTTAACGATGCATTCGTTTGAATAATCGTTACTTGTGATTGATTTGCCTTTAAGATCTCACTTTATATGATCTTTGTTGAAAAAAAAGATGTGTTAGTCTAAGTTTCGTTGTTGATGTCGATTCATTGTAAAGTTATCAAATGCTTGAATGCTTAAGCCACTGATGATTCGGCACAGCAGGTTGTACCTTGTACATTTTTTCCTAGTCACACTTTCCCTGTGGCTGAAGCTTACATTTTTCGGCAGTGCGTATCCTAGCACAAAGAAACGATTTAATTGGCTGAGTCATCTCTACTCCTGCGTGATGACATCTTCAAAACTATGGAACACCGAAACAGCCATTGAAACAGATCACCATTGGCAGTAGTCCCCGGCGCATTCTCACCGCGTTTAAGATTCCTAGGATGTGAGGGTTTTTAAACAATTCGGATATTTGTATATTTCCGTTCTATTTCAAGATAGGTACGACACATTTTTGAAGGATAAGACATGGATAGCAATGTAGGTTAGTACCTACAGTAGGTACTCTGTACTATGATCACAATGTCCAAACAAGACTCCATGCATATAATATTTTCGTCTTGTGACACTTACTAAGGTATTGATTGTCTATCCCATGACTCGGCTTTTGCTGAGTGACTCTTTTCTACATATCTTAATATTGTATATTTACCTAATTGTATAATGTATAAATGCACAGAAGAAAAGAGTCACTTGAGCAAATAAAAAGTAAAGGAATTGGAATTGTCAAAGCCTGCGGTGTATGAAGCACAAAAAATTGCCATAGCCTCGGTGGTATTTTGCGGCAAGAATCGGACCTTTCCGCCGAATAGGACGTCAAGATTTCAGTTACTGCCCTATCCTATTATATCCTAGCTTTGTTTCCGACAGCCGAATTTAGCCTTTAATTCTATTTTTCTCTTTTAATAGCATTAGGCGGTAGCTAAAAACTTGTGGTTTGCTGTAAATTTAGTGGGAATTTGGGGGAATTTGACAAAGATTAGTGGGCAAGAACGAGTGGTTAATAGAATATTCGGCGGCCCCGGTCCTTCTTGGCCCTACTTGATCTGCGACCGGGTGACGACAGGGGCAGTCGCAAGTCGCTCTCTCGCTCTACTGGTCACTGCTGGCTTTTTTTCACCTTCTCCAACTTGTACTTGGACATTTGGACCTTGGACCTTTCCCCAGTCCATCCAAGTTTCTTTTCTTCCAGCTTTCAACACCGAAGATACTGTAAGGTAGTTGTTCATATCCAAAGACTTACTCCGCCGCTCCTTAATCTCTTCTCGAGATCATTTTATCTCGTCCCTCGGTAGGAGTTTTAATTAAGTCGTTTCTTGGGTTTTCCTATGCCTACGCCACTGTCGCTGTAGACCCAGAGCTTGGCTACTTTTTTCTTCCATACTACATAGTACAGGCCTAATACTTTTCTATAGCTGTCGAAGCATAAGCCTGGCGCCATGCTGAGAAGCTCCCTCCGATCTTCGAGCAGTCAGCTCCTCAGGGCTAGCTGCCGAACTTCAAAATGCGCCGCCCAAGCTTCGAGATGTTACTCTCTTAGCTCTACCCGCCGTCCCCTCGCCCTCGCCGCTCAAAAGCGACATGCATCTACTACTCCCTCGGCCCCGTCCCCTAACGACAACTTCCTTTCCGGTAATACCGCGAATTACATCGACGAGATGTATCTACAATGGAAGGAGGATCCTGAGAGTGTCCATGTATCGTGGCAAGTCTACTTCAAAAATATGGAAAGTGGTGACATGCCCATCCAGCAAGCTTTCACTCCTCCCCCTACTCTTGTACCTAGTGCTACTGGAGGTGTTGGTCCGGCTGTGGGCATGGGCGTTGGACAAGGCTCCGATGTTACGAACCATCTGAAAGTTCAACTATTAGTTCGCGCATACCAGGCTCGCGGCCACCACAAGGCTAATATCGACCCTCTTGGCATCCGTAATGAGGGTTTCACAAACGTTAGGCCCAAGGAATTAGAACTCGACCACTACCAATTTACCGAAAAAGATCTCGACAAGGAGTTTACCCTTGGTCCTGGTATTCTGCCACGTTTTAAACGAGAAGGTCGAGAGAAGATGACGTTGCGCGAAATTATTGCTGCTTGTGAGAAGATATACTGTGGTTCCTACGGTGTCGAATTCATCCATATCCCTGACAGAGCCAAATGTGACTGGCTTAGAGAACGTGTCGAAGTCCCTCAACCGTTTAAATACTCGATTGACGAGAAGCGCCGAATCCTCGACCGTTTAATTTGGAGCTCTAGTTTCGAATCTTTCTTGGCTATAAAATATCCCAACGATAAGCGATTTGGTCTTGAGGGTTGCGAGACACTCGTACCTGGAATGAAAGCCCTCATTGACCGAAGTGTTGACTATGGTGTTAAGGACATCGTCATTGGAATGCCTCACCGTGGTCGTCTTAATGTACTCAGCAATGTCGTCCGCAAGCCGAACGAGTCCATCTTTAGTGAATTCGCGGGTACGGCCGGTGCCGAAGACGAAGGATCCGGTGACGTCAAATACCATTTGGGTATGAACTTCGAGCGACCTACACCGTCCGGCAAACGTGTGCAGCTTTCTCTCGTAGCCAACCCCTCCCATCTTGAGGCCGAAGACCCAGTTGTGCTAGGAAAGACCAGAGCTATCCAGCACTATAACAACGACGAGAAGACACACAGAACTGCTATGAGTGTATTGCTACACGGTGATGCCGCTTTCGCCGCGCAGGGTATCGTATACGAATGCCTCGGTTTCCACTCCCTCCCGGCTTTCTCGACTGGTGGAACGATCCATTTGGTTGTGAACAACCAGATTGGTTTCACCACTGACCCTCGATTCGCTCGTTCTACCGCATACTGCACAGATATCGCCAAGGCCATTGACGCGCCCGTGTTCCACGTCAACGCCGATGACGTTGAAGCTGTTAACTTCGTCTGTCAACTAGCCGCGGATTGGCGTGCTGAGTTCCAATCAGATGTTGTTATTGATCTCATCTGCTACCGCAAGCACGGCCACAACGAGACCGACCAGCCTTCCTTCACCCAACCCTTGATGTACAAGCGCATCAGTGCGAAGGACCCCCAGATTGACATCTATGTTGAGAAGCTACTCGAGGATGGTACTTTCACTAAGGAAGATGTTGAGGAACACAAACAATGGGTCTGGGGTATGTTGGAAGAAAGCTTCGCTAAGTCCAAAGACTACCAGCCGACGTCGAAAGAATGGACTACATCTGCCTGGAACGGATTCAAATCGCCCAAGGAATTGGCGAGTGAGGTATTACCGCATATGCCAACAAGCGTCGATAAGCATACCTTGGAACACATTGGCGAGGTCATCGGCTCCGCTCCCGAAGACTTCAGCGTCCATCGCAACTTGAAGCGTATTCTCCAGAACCGTACTAAGTCGGTTCTTGAGGGTAAGAACATTGACTGGTCGACTGCTGAAGCTCTCGCATTCGGTTCCCTTGTCAGTGAAGGTCACCATGTTCGTGTATCCGGTCAAGATGTGGAGAGAGGTACTTTCTCTCAGCGACATGCTGTCTTCCACGACCAAGAAACCGAGAACACATACACCCCCTTACAGAACATTAGCAAGGACCAGGGCAAATTCGTTATCTCTAACTCGTCTTTGAGTGAGTATGGTGCTCTAGGTTTTGAATACGGATATTCACTGTCGTCTCCAAATGCGTTAGTCATGTGGGAGGCTCAGTTTGGTGACTTTGCCAACAACGCGCAGTGCATTATTGATCAGTTCATCGCCTCTGGTGAAGTCAAGTGGATGCAGCGAAACGGATTGGTTATGTCTCTACCTCACGGTTATGATGGACAAGGTCCGGAACACTCTTCCGGTCGTATGGAACGATATCTGCAACTCTGCAACGAAGACCCACGCGTCTTCCCATCGAGAGAAAAGCTTGATCGCCAGCACCAAGACTGCAACATGCAGATCGCATACATGACAACGCCTGCTAACTTATTCCACGTCCTCCGCCGACAGATGCACAGACAATTCCGAAAGCGTAAGTTATCCCCATAAGTCATAAAATAATAAGTCGCGCTAATTAATAGTAGCTTTGATTATCTTCTTCTCCAAGTCGTTATTACGACACCCCTTGGCTCGCTCCAACATTGAGGAGTTTACGGGACCTGATGCTCACTTCAAGTGGATCATCCCTGATCCCGAGCACGAAACCGGAGCCATCAAGTCTCCGGATGAAATTGACCGTGTCATTTTGTGCACTGGTCAGGTCTGGGCTACTCTCTCCAAGTACCGTGCCGACAACAAGATCGACAACGTTGCTTTCACCCGAATTGAGCAGTTGAACCCCTTCCCATGGGAACAACTTAAGGAGAATTTGGACATGTACAAGAATGCCAAGACCATCGTTTGGGCTCAGGAGGAACCGCTTAATGCTGGTGCATGGAGCTTCACCCAACCACGTATCGAAACTCTACTAAACCACACTGAATACCACGACCGCAAACACGTTATGTACGCGGGCCGAAACCCCTCGGCATCTGTTGCGACTGGTTTGAAGGCTCCCCACAAGAAGGAAGAGGAAGACCTTCTGGAGATGGCGTTCACCGTAACGCAAGACAAGTTGAAGGGCGAATAAAGAACAAGCATCAAGGAAATTAAAAAAACGGCAAGGCATTGATATGAGGATGGGGCAAGCATAGCTATTTCCATGCTTCTTGTATTTTATGTTATGTATAACGTGGCTTCGGTGGTCCACACAGCGAAGCCCGATAGACGGGTTGGTTACTAATGATATTTCCAAGTATCGTAATGAGCCTATACTTTTATGATCAGTACGGGCAATCTTTTCACTGTCTGTGCGGAGACTATGCAGAAGCCAACATAAACGTCGGGCCGCTCTTGAGTGGTAAGGTTATCGCTTTACCGAACACCTTGCCAAGTATATCCGATGGCTGGGGTAATGATAAGCACCTTGCTTTTGGCCCCCCGATTTGCCAATGAATGAACATATCTTTATCTTCGGAGATCACCAACAGCCCAGCCCTATAACAAAATTCAGTTAGTAACAACAAGATCTACGACGAATCTAGCCAATATGTCCCGAGGTATCAATCAAAAGGTGCATGCTTGAGGTAGTCATTATGGAAGCATACTACCCAGCTCCAACTGGAGAGGGGAGCTCTATTTACCACATAGATCCATGAACGCCACCACCTACATGGCCCGATAAGACGGGTTTCAATCAATTACTCCGTAGAATCGGTGTCTTTTGCTTCTAAATGCGCCCATATAGCCATGGATTCATTTACTTTTCGCCAGCGTGGCCAAGCTATCAAGGAGAAAACGCGAGCTCGGTTAACTGATAGACATAGCTGGAAGCTCCCTAAACAGAGCAGTAGTATTGCGCCGCCGCGTGTTTGGACTAACGCCGGTATGCTTACCCTCGTTCAGTATTGTCGTACACATTTTCTCGCGCCCAGTATGTATTAATAACGCCATCTTGTCCGTGTAACAGATCAAGATCCAGTACCGGAAGATAAACGAACATGGACGAAATGGGCATTCATCGGTTATTGGTATTCCGATTTGGTGACGGTTTCGACGTGGACGGCTGCGAGCGCTATAATGACGACGGGTTTGACGGCTACTGATGCTATTTTGATTGTTTTGGTTGCTGCTATTGTATGTTTCCCCCTCACCACAAGCTGCTCCTATCTACAGTCTTAGATACGACTGTGGTTAAGAACTCGACATTACACTAGACTCATTTTATATTTTGTGATCGCTAACTTCAGCTACCTGCAGTGTAACGCGATCCCGACCGTCCTAAACGGCGCAATCGGCGCCGACCTACACATCCCATTCCCGATCGCCTGTCGAGCTAGCTACGGATACTGGCTAAGCTACTTCTGCGTCGTCACGAGAGCGATCCTCGCGTTATTTTGGTTCGGCGTCCAAAGTGCGAATGGTGGTTCCTGCGTTACAGCCATCATAACAGCGATATGGCCGAGTTACGCGAAGCTCCCCAATACACTACCTGCATCCGCCGGTACGACGAGCCAGGGGCTATTGAGTTACTTTATATACTGGTGTATACAATTCCCACTGCTTTTGATCCCATCGCATAAGCTTCAGCACTTGTTCTGGGTTAAAAGTGTCCTGGTTACGCCGATGGCCTTGGCGATGGTAATATGGATTACAGTGGTGGCCGGTGGACAAGGCGAATTTTTCTACGCGCCCGCCACCGTCTCTGGGTCGGCGAGGGCATGGTTATGGCTGTCCAACCTAGTACGCTCCCTATACCCATCCAACTCCTCGTCTATCTATATTCCAACCACTAACAATACCGAAAGACCAGCGTAACAGGCGGCTACTCCACCCTAGCCGTCAACATCCCCGACTTCTCCCGCTTCAGCAAAACGCGTGGTGCGCAACTATGGCAACTCCCCTTCATCCCGCTCTTCAAAACCCTCGTCGGCATCTTCGGCATCGTATCCGCAAGCGCCTCAAAGCAAGTCTACGGCATCGCGTACTGGTCCCCTCTCGACATAATCGGGCGGTGGCAAGGCAGTCCGGGTGGTCGAGCGGCCGCTTTCTTCGCCGCGACGATATGGCTGCTTGCTCAGATAAGCGTGAATATCAGCGCTAACGCAGTATCCTTCGCCAACGACGTAACAACCCTGGCACCGAAAATATTTAATATCAAAAGGGGTGTGGTCCTAGTCTCGCTTCTAGGGGGATGGGCGCTGTGTCCTTGGATTATAGTTTCCTCCGCAGCTGCGTTTCTCAATTTCATGAGTGCGTATGCGGTGTTCATGGCTCCTGTTGCTGGGATACTGGTTGCGGATTATTGGATTGTTAAAAGGCGGAGGTATGATGTACCTGCGCTGTATGATCCGGATGGAATTTATAAATATGGTGTCTGGGGCGGGAATTGGCGCGCCCTTGTCGTTACGTTGGTTGTGGTTGTGCCACTATTGCCGGCGCTCGCGAAGAAAGTTACACCGAAGAATGTGGAGATTAGCCAGGGACTGGTGAATTTGTTTACGTTTAATTGGTTGTATGGGTTCTTCGTGTCGCTGGTACTGTATTGTGGGTTGAATTATTTCTTCCCGCATAGGGAGACACTGATACCGCATGTGGTACCAGGAGATGCTCCTGTTATGCGGGCGGTTGATGGTGATGGAGATGGGGATATAGAAAGTGGAGGCCAGGACGAGAAATCAGGGGAGAAGGTGAGAACAGAAGCAAGTCCCAGGACCATTAGGGAGATAGGGGATGTATAAACCGCCTGAGAACGCCGCTATTTACAAATGTCTACTTGAAATACTCGAAGGGTACGTAGAATTGTTTAAACATAGAAGCTGTACTTATAATACTACTTATAGACGATCAATTTATCTATATGATTACCAACTATTCAAACCCAACGACTAAGACAAGCAGACCATGATAAAACAGAGAGTAGTTCATCTCACCAATATTGTCTCTTGTTGGAAGCCGTGATATTCTACCCTCTGATAGGAACCCCGCTCCTTACCGGGGTGAGTAAACTCTGGCGACTATTATCAGCGGCCACCTCCGATAGATATCAATGCAGGTTGGCGATAGAGAATACTAAAGCTGTCGATACATTATAAAAATCGCTACTTTCATGGCGGGGAATGATATTTCTAGATACGTAGCATAATTACACGAATGAATAGATTCATCATCACATAATACCTAAGATTTCATCATGTCACCAAGTGCTATCAGTCCAGAGACGAGTTTTACGGTCGCACCAATGAAGAAATCGCTCAAGGAGAAACACAATTACGGCGCAATCGTTACCGATATTGATTTGAATGATATCAATGGTGAGTAAGCACCTCGTATTGTGTGAGTATTGATATTCAGTCTATTAGACGACGATGTCCGCTACCTCTCAGACGCAATCTGGACCCACAAAGTCATCGTAGTCAAAGGACAGAAGGATCTCGAGCCAATCAAGCAATGGGAACTCGTAACGCGCTTCGATCCCAATGCGCCGCAGGTTCATTCCCACGGCGATGTGAAGACCTTCAACAGCAAGGGTGGATTGCTTTCCGTATGTGAGCCAAGTTCTCTGATTCAACGTACTAGTTCTAAATGTGGATCAAGAAATCTCGCGAAGTTGTAGGTATTCCAGGTGCTGAGAACGTTCGTCTAATTGGAAAGGGCTTCCAAGGGGAAGATCACTATGGTGTCAAGAACATGACCATTACCAAACCACTCTCCCATGACTGGCACCATAAGGAACTACCGCAAGAGGAATTTGACGCGGGGAACACACGCTTCCAGCGCTGGCATATCGATGCGCCACTCTATGGGAGGGACCCTGCTTGGTTTACAACGTTGCGCTGTATCAAACGGCCTACTGAGCCCGAAGTCAATATTCGATGGGATGACGGTTCTGGTCTCAGCATGAAGGTAGAGCCGGGCCTAACCGCGTTCATCAGCAACGTCCAAACGTACGAGATGATGTCGGAGGATGAGAAGAAGATGGCCGACCATAGTTGGGTCGAATATGCACCTCACCCAGTACGTTAAACTCAATATTAAACATGACATGCGGGTTTTCAGATACTAATGTCCATGGTAATAGTACATGTGGATAGGCGACTGCAAGGGGTATTCCAACGGCCTTGGCCTCGTTAGCGAAGGCAAAGAGAAGAAACTCGAAGACTTAGGTGACTTCGACCTAAAAGACGTGAAAAGGTATCCAATGGTTTGGGTCAATCCCGTAACTGGCGAGAAAGCATTCCAGGTCCATGGAATCTGCGCGAGGAAGTTGTTCATTCGCTCATCCCCAGAGGAGGAACCGCAGGTAATTGAAGATGTCGTAGAGATCAGGAAATTGTTGAAGTCCATCCAAGAACGAGTACTAAAGCCGGAGTATATTTTGATTCCGAGTTTAGGGGAGGGCGATATCGTCATGTGGGCCAACTACCAGATGTTTCACACGGCTGTCGACTATCCTGCTTCCTATGGGCCGCGGACTATGCACCAAGCCAACATTGCTTCTTCTGCCCCGCCACTAGGACCGAATCCAGTCCCGAGCATGGCTTAAAATTGTAACTCAGATGTATATCCTTGGATTTGGGGAAGTGCTCGTCTTTCGTTGGACTAAATACTATTATTGTAATTCAGTCGTCGCAATACCCACAAATTGCTCTTTAGTCGTGGGTCTTGTGAGCGAGTTCATCGGCTAGCCGCTTGATATAAAATTCTCGCATATCGGATGGTATCTTGCTAAAAGCATTCGCAATCCGTGCAACGTCCTGTCGGCCCTTTTCATACTACAGTATCCTAAGTTAGTAATGGCTTCGTGTAGAAATCTTCACATTGGCTTTAAACCCCGAACACACAAAATTAGAAAAGAAATAAATATCAACACTTACAGCCGCAAGGTCTCGGTTTCCATAAATATCCCTCCCAGTTGAATAGCCATTTTCGAGGTTACGGAAGAAAACGTTAACGGCCACACCTAGGTTACTCAACGGTGTCGCAGTATGCATCCAAAGAGGCGGAAGGAACAGTATATCGCCTGGCTTGAGTACAGCTTCGTGAGGATGTGTCTCAGCTAGAGAAGGCGACTGAAGCTCGGAAAATGCGTCGATGTTCGAACTAGATGAGCCCGGTGCGAACGAGAGTCGGGTAACATCCGATGGTGGGAACAAAATGAACCTTTTTGAGCCTGTTACTTGGCAATACAGGTTTGCCATAACCTACGGAATCGTCAGTTCCCCGTCCCGAAACCCGAGTATACTACGCCACTTACGTCGTAATGAAGCCACATATCCACAGGTCCAGTAATTCGTAGCACAGAACTGAACTCATTCTCCCTAACAAATGATAGCGCATCGGAAAGTTGGAAATCAGCGGCTAATTGCGGAAAATCCACCTTTATATTCGCTGGTTGGTTAGATGGATGCTCGTCCGAGAGCGCACGCAGGTACAATTTGTGGCCGTTGGCGATTTCCTGCATCATATCTCCAAGCTTCTTTGTGACATAGGCAAAATTCTTGCTATTAAAATTCATCTTAGAATTATTCGCTTCATGAACAACGACCTAGTGATTTGGTTTAGTACGAGAAACTTGCGACAATTTTAGCAACTCTTACCTCTCTATCAGAGCCAAGTTGTTTCACGATATAGTCTGATGACCAGTTCTGGACACAGCTCCCTAAATTGCTTTGCTCTATGACAACAGGTTTACCGGTCTCCAGAACTGCTAGAAATTCGGCCGCCGTCCTGACCTGGAGCCTAGGTATATCGACTTTAACCGCGAGTTGTTTACTGCACAAAGACGTTGAGGTATGTTGAGGGTCGGCTTCTTCCGTAAGCTCTACAATCTTCGAAAGTTCCCATCTTCTGCCATTTTCAGATGAAGATGATGGTCTAGCGATGATATCCTTGGGATTGTATTTCAGTGTATAACAGCCCGGATTCCAGAATGTCCCCATAGAGAAGCATGTCGCACCGCCACCCATAACGACCAATTGATCATTGTCGGTCAACTCGGTCGACACACCTATTAGCATTGGCCGTGGGCTTATTGCTGCATTGCATGCTGAGAGGATCTTGTAACGTGAGCTGGAAACATTGATGATCAAGATATCGAAATATCGTGTAACGATATTTTCTCCGATGATACCACCAACGATAGTCAAATAACCCTCGGGTGATACAAAGCCAGAAGCACCGAAACGGTTGATAATACCATCGGGGTTGTCAATGCCACTCACCTCTTGGGCCAAAGAGCCAGAGCGCTCTATATTCGATAAAATCGTGAATGAGATCGTTGGCTCGCCATTTTCCGAGAATGACACAACCCATCGTAGAATTTGGTTAATGACGACGCCATCTCGGGGAATTCCACCCGACAATACGCCGTGGAATTGAATATCGTTACTTGTCGCGGAACGGGCCGCTTCTTGGAAACTAACCAACAGAGCTCCAAAGACCGGTCTGTAGTTCGACCCTTCGATTTTACATTCAATCCAACCGGGGTCCGGTCGATACAATAAACAGCCGCCGAAAATATCTGATGGTCCAGATTTGCCGCCAATTGATAAAGCCATATTTGAACGACCAAGTCTTGTTATACTGTGTCGGTATAAAGGTATTGGAAGGTCATCCACTCGTTGCCATTTGTTAGCCTTCTTATCGAAAAGCCAACAATCTCGTAGAGCGCTCGACGGAGACGTCCTGCCACCCACAAGCAAGTTACCATATTCGCCCAAGTCTGTGATAGTATGGCACATACGACTACTAGGACCTGTATAACCTGTCGTAACGTCCTGTAGAGACGACTCTTTCGTATATACGTCATATGATCTTAGTCGGCTGTTTGTTCCAAGTCCAAATGCATTGGCTAGGAATTCCTCTCCTAGATTATTCTTCAATTTCATCGCGGCGCCAAATCGACGTTGACCTCTAGTGCTAGAGTATTCTCTTAAATTTGTATTTAAAGGTACCACCGGAAGCTCGAGTTTTTCCAAACCCTTGAGAGTGCCGGGAATCTTTTGTTCTGGGCCGGTCTTGGCGACGACCACGCAGTAATGGCTGGCGAAAAGTGCAAATTCTTCCCACTCGTCAAATGGTTCAATAGCATCAAGTTTCCTTCGCTCATCAGCAGAGAGCCACCCATCATTTGACCATATCTGCCAAAGACTCTCAACGTCAACATGTGACCAGCCTCGACTAGCGAAACGCTGTCGCTGGGAATAGAGATCGGGATAGGTGAAGACGGATTTAAGGGGAGTTTTTAATTTCTCAAAATGGCTTAACATAGTTTTCGCAAAGGGGTGGTCTTCACCGTCGGGAAGTATTTGCTCGAGTAAACAAAATTCGGCTACGTAAATTAGCTCGAGCTCAAGTTGAAAGAGGTGGACTTGGGCATGTGTAACCTACCTTGACCAAGAGTGCTAGCCCATTTGATAACCGAATCTGCACCTTCAGTTTCCATGTAAGTGATAGAGACCTCAGCTACAAACATGAATTCGCATTGAGGGATATCGACTACGGTTGAGAGCGCTTGTTCCATATCGGAGATTCGACGTAGATCGCAACCGATCTGAACGTACTGGTCACTCTGTAGCTGTACATTATTTTCCCCATTGGTCTTTAACGCTGTCAAGGGAGAGACAAGCTCTGGAGTTTCCTGGACGACTCGACATTTCTTTTCTATTAGATCGGGAAAATCAATGTCTATAAATTTGGCGTTCTGACACCTGTCCGGATATCGCGTCATGCATTGCCATGGTAGCACATCGCTGATAATAGTCAGAGACTGTGTCGAATATGACTATGAGATGAGTACTCACCTGCCGCAGCCCAGATTCACAACAACTTTCTTCTTCTCCGAGGGCCTTTCAAGAAACCGATGAACCGCAACATCGATCACATGTAATCGGATATAATAACCTCGATTGATCAGTGGAGCTCGCCGTTGGAATTTCTTAACGAAGAAGCGAAAGAAATGAGGTTCATTAGAATAGTAGATTCTCTCTACACTCCTCTTAGATACTATACTACTGCTGTTTGTCTTAATGTGAGTAGATTAGAAGAAAAGAACAAAGGTATATTTTGCATATAAGAATTCATAAGGCAAGACATACGGCCATTACTAGATCGTCCAAGGCTCGTTGCTTCGTTGAGCGCCCTTGGCCATGTTGGGCCTTGTTACTGGGATTAGAAGGCATCCTTGTTGGAGGAGTGGCCGCTTCAGATGTAGGCGGTCCGAAGGCGAAAGTGGTTTATGACTTCGCTTATATCTTTGAGTCTTGGGCCTGAGTATAGATGATATTCGTATTACGATTTATTGGCAGGTAGGAAAGTTGCATCTTACTATTGAATTATGTGTATAGATTCTAATGATGTTGAAGAATTATCATGGATGCGAAGAGAGGCTAGGGCTGTAAGGCTAGCACTATAAATTATTATGGAGCATGTCGATTACGGGTTGTTTTTTCCTCCAGGGCTCCATATTGATGACGGATCCGTTTATAACGTCTATATAGTATTAACGGCACTAAGAGTCTTCGAGAGGTGAGGTGTCAATAAGTTGTCAGACAATGAATAGAGTTTAATTGTGAAAGCTTCGAGAAGTTGACGCCTATTCCGATGTGAGTACATGTCTTTTACAGTGGGCTAAGTACCTAATCCAAGTAAGATTTACAAGGGTGTTATTGTAGGGTAAGTCAGCGGCGATCGGTGCATGGGTTGGGTTTTAGTTGGTGAACACGGGACTTACAGAAGCCGCATTCAAAACTTTAGGCTTAAACTCCACTACGGACAGCTTTCATAGCTTTCATAGGTACAATGCTTCCCGGACGTTAACAGCATAAATATAGTGCTACAGCATGTACCCGGGTAGTACCCCGCCTGACCGTGGCATCTGATTGATGATTTCAACGTGCTCCCCCACCCAAAAGTCCAACCTCCAACCCCCTCGTATTTTTTATGCTATCTTAGGTTCTTTTCCATACCGACCCTTGCCTCGAAAACAACAAGCTTAGCTACAGCTCAGCTAGGAACAATTCCATATTCCCGACCTTTGTCAATATCTCCTCAACAAATAACAACTAGCTAACCTAATCCAACTCCTTAATATTTTATTCTCCTTTCCTTGTCATGAAGAGGAAAGTTAGCGTCGGACCTACACAATTGTAACTGAGACACCTTTAAGCTATTGTTCTATGTATACAACAATCGTCGTGGCCGGGCGAAGCTTCGGACTTGTCTCACTAAGAACCTAACATAGAACGATCTCGTTGATTCGAAAGGGAAGCGTTCTGTTCAGAGCTACATTCATTATTCATATCTTCGGTCAACCATCTATCTTCCAGATTGTCTCGCAACGATGTCGAACCCAAGTCTTAATTTCATCACTTTCAACCAGGATCACAGCTGCCTGGCTGTTGGTACGTTGCGACTCCATTACCAGCTATACTGTTGTCTTACAACAATGCACGGTAAAGTAGCTAACAGCTCTAGGTACCTCGAGAGGATTCCGAATTTACCACACCGACCCGTTCTCCAAGATTTTCAGCAGCGATGATGGGAATATCGCTATTATCGAGATGCTCTTCTCCACCTCCCTCGTTGCTCTCGTCCTCTCTCCCCGACACCTCATAATACAGAATACGAAGCGTGCATCCGTAATTTGCGAGCTCACCTTTCCATCTGCCGTTCTTGCCGTCCGCCTAAACCGTAAGCGACTAGCTGTTGTGCTCGAGGACGAGATTTACCTTTACGATGTATCGAACATGTCCCTCCTCACCAACATCGCGACATCCCCGAATCCTGGCGCCGTATGTGCGCTCTCGCCCTCGAACGAGCACTGTTACCTTGCCTACCCGTTGCCGAAGCCTCGTGACGATACCCAAGATAAGCGACCGTCGCACGCGCCTCCAGCGTCCCTCTACGCTCCCGTAACATCGGGAGACGTTCTTATATATGACACTTTGACCCTCAAGGCTGTTAACGTCATCGAGGCTCATCGCTCCCCTTTGTCGTGTATCGCGCTGAACCACGAAGGAACTTTGCTAGCAACGGCAAGTGAAACAGGAACGATCATTAGAGTATTCTCGGTGCCTAGGGGCCAGAAACTCTTCCAGTTCCGTCGTGGAACCTACCCGAGCACAATCTACAGCATGTCTTTCAACGCAGCGAGCTCATTGCTCTGCGTCTCCTCTACCTCGGATACAGTCCATATCTTCCGTCTTCAACAACCCGGGCCTAACACGAATAACTCTACTTCCGAGACACAGACGCCCGGCTCCCCTCGAACGGATCGCTGGTCTCGCAGTCGCAGCTATGAGAGTGGTAACGATTCGCCTAACAGTACTACAGGTTCTCCGCGTAGCGAAATAGCTGACCTAGCAGCAGCCGCAACGCCGAGTAACCCGACCGGTAATAGGAGACAAAGCGGATCATTTAGTAGTATGCTCCGTCGGTCCTCACAAATTATGGGTCGAAGCGTGGCTGGCGTCGTAGGCAATTATCTGCCGCAGACAGTGACGGAAATGTGGGAACCCCTTCGAGATTTCGCCTATATCAAGATACCCAAGACTCTGTCGGTGTCACCGCGCGCTGGTGGTTTGGCAAACAACCAACAGTTACGCAGCGTGGTGGCGATGAGTAGTAGCAGTCCGCAGGTCATGGTTGTTACTAGTGACGGCGGATTCTACGTATTTAACATTGATATGGAACAAGGCGGAGAGGGCTACCTAGTTAAGCAGTTTTCGTATGCCAATCCCCCACCTCTCGTTATTTAGAACCAAATTAACAACTGTTGAACTCTAGCGTCCTCGATAGCGACGATAAGCTTGATGCCTCGAATTACGGACCTTAGAACGGCGAACCGCACATAGTCGAGGCATATGACTCCGAAGGAGAAGACGGGGCGGACGACGTAATATTCGACGGCTCGGGATGGATGCTTCTGAATGTTTAGTCGACACCGTACGAAGATTTGGCATTTTAAAGGCGTTAAACGGTTTGGGTTGACCCGGGGGTGTATACTGAAATTTTTCTATTCCTTTCATTTTCTTGTTCCCTTTCTTCATTCTAATCCGGCTAATTAGCTGAACAATCATACCCCGGAGAGGACGGATTTGTACGTGCTTTTATTTTTTCTTGTTGCGAATGGGGGAGGGTGTTGTCCTCTGTCTACGTTTTGCATCAGCGTTTGGCGTCCAAGCGGCTTCGGTTCATAGCTATGAATTATTGAGCATTACAATACTACCAATTAAAATTCTTGATATATCCCATATCGACAGATTTAATGTGATAAATATGAGTTTTAAATGAGCGACATTGAAATCCGACTTGATATCAAGGTAGTAATCATCACAGCGGCATATTCACAACGATATATATGTTTCCTAACAGTCTCATTATTAAACATATCCTAGTCGTAAATCCGTAAACTCCTGCTTGCTTCAAGTATCCCATCGCTCAATCACATACATACACGTAAATAAGCTAGGTTACTACAGTTTACAACAGGAGGTATCCAGTCCCGTTCCGGGAGACGGATGATGATGATGGTAATGACAACATGAGACCTAAGCCTTGCCCGCCCATACAATCGAAACCTGAAATGAAAACTCGCCCTCTCCGAACGGAACAATCAAAACAAACAACGACGCCATAGCGCCGTTGGATGAACAGATGATGCTGATGATGCAATAGGAGTCAATGATGGATCGACCCTAGTCCACAACCCGACCCCCTTACCTCCCTTCCTATTTCCTCCTACATTTCACAAAAGCCAAATGCTGAAATTGCCATGTCGTCCCGTCGTTAAATGAAACGAAATATGTGTCCTGTTTCCCCCTTTCCTATTGACACCACCAACTCCACTATGAAATATGGTGGTCATAAGTTTAATAACAACGAGCGTGCCCTCTGTTTTGTTCAAGGGCCAAGTCAGAAGTGGATGTGTAAGAAGACGCCGATTTATTCATCGATGTCATTCTCCTCACGCTTCCCAGGGTGCCTCGTAGAAACAAGGTACATAGCTGATTAGTTCCATAGTCAACATGGTCTTTCGGCCAAGTTTCCTATTGACTGGGCAAGGTGACTCACGTTATCAACGCCACCGTTGCCTAGCTGATCAGCTGGAATATAGTCTGGGCAGCCACATAAGCAGTCCCACTATGTAGGCGGAAGTCCTAGATGACTCCGAAATCCGATATCACGTAATCGCAGCTGAACCAGAACATATTATCTGGCGTAGGGACGGTTCATGAGCGCGATTTCTCTTGCAATTTCGCCCCATTCCAGTTCCCTTCGAATCCCTCGGGTGGAATTATCGGACCGTTGGTGGCGTCGGCTTTGTAACAACTCCTCCCATTTGAGCAGTTCATATGCGAACCTCAGGTGAGGTTGAATAATAACATTAAGCCTCCGAGCACGGACGAAGCAGTAGGCTCGTGGAAACGACAAGTTCATAGTACGCATCACTTCAGCGATACATATGGTTGCGCTGCGCGAGACGCCCACTCGGCAGTGGACCAGCGTTGCGGTGCCGTTCCGACGTCCGCGGTCTATCGTCGTTATCGTGGTTAGCGAGCGGGTCTAGCGAAGCGAGGTCTTACATATGCATATGGAGTGCATAGCACAACGCTAGGGCTAAGGGGAAGTGGATACACGTACCGATGAATTCTAAACACTTCTCGAATTCTTTAGTTAATGGGTCAATGCCATTATCTTGCACTTTTTCGACCACCAACACATTGTCAGTCCCCCAAGCTTCCAAATCGCCGTCTCTCCACATAGCTGTCTCGCCTACGCTAAGAATCTGGCCGATTCCCATGGCTCTCAGCAAATCGGGGTTATTAGCATGTCCGAGATTGCCGAGGTACATATAATCGAGGATCCGACTCGGGAACGAACCATCGAGCGAAGCAAGCCATTTAGGCTCATTTTTTACGAGGTTTGTAATTTCTAAAAGACTCTTATCTGCGCACACAGGCGATTCGTGAAGCAGACGAGGCGCGATCGAAGTTAGCAAATTTACGTCGGTCGGGTAGGCAAAGAAATTCCGCCTCATTTTCGTATGGAGGTCCAACCACGCTTGAGGTACCGGCCGGCCGGTGCTATAGCTAAAATAAGCAATACCCAACATGGTGGATTCGGTATACCCGTCAGCACAATGTATTAAAATCTTCCGGGGCCGAACCATCTCCACCTCGGTTGCGGAAGATGCATCGGACATGTTCGAGTCGCCGTCCACATCAGTATCCGACCTGGTGGGCACGGTCCCATGCGAAAGGTGCCAAAGCCATTTACAAGTGTCCAGGATACCATCAGCCTCGGCATGCGACCAAGTCGGTGGGAGGATGCTCCCGGACGACGGGAAGTCGAGGTAAGGATGTCTTTCTTCGTAATTGGAGCTTTCGGCAATTGCTTGCAACGCAGCTGGATTCAGTCGACCGAGATCGCTACATTCGACGAGAACATCGTATCGATGTTCCTCCTCACCACCAGGTTCCGGGGTTGGTCCCATCCACACATTGCATGATATTTCGGTGGCTTTCGTCATCGTATACATCTCTACCCGCTCCTGGTGGAAGAAATCGACCACTGCACCTGTTAAGCGACCCTCCGAATCGACAGAAACGATACTGCCATGTTTCTTCTCGAAATCTGAAAACGGACTAATACAAATAAAGGTATTGTATTTGGGAATAGACTCATGTTTCCTCCGCCATTTAGCCTGCGCCGACGCAATTTCCCAACCCAGTTTACGGACTAGACCAGCGTCCTCACCATACACGATGATATCGGAGGTTATGGCTGTTTTCGCAGCCTGAATCTGGAAGTTTCGCACAGAGAAACCTTCTCTCGGATCAACCTCGATAAACTCACCATCAGAACCAGGTTGCATGAACTCATTAGGGGCGATAGCCCCCTTCAAGCGTGCAAAAGCTAGGTCCCCATCAGCCTTCACAGTTGTGATGCCTCGTAAACAATTAGGTATCTGCCGCACAGCCTTGCTCCTCGTCGAAAAAAACGTTTGTTGGATATGATTGTTGGGATGCAATCCATGAAACCAGGGAAAGACTAGCGAGGGGTCTGGTAATGGCTGTCTAGAAAGATAGTCTAATGAAGCTGCAACATCGTTGGGGTTTATCTTATAAATAGAAAGAGGTCCCGCTTCTAGACGCTCGAATTTCTCTGGAGGATAAAGTAAAGACGAACGTCGCCGTACATCTTCGCGTCCTGGAGAAGGTGGTGGAGTGTTGGGCTCTCGAACAGGTACTGGACCGGTAGGACAGATTGGAATGTGTTTATTGGGAACTGGCGCCGCGGCGGCACTAGGAATTTGTGGATTGTTGATTGTTTCGATCGCAATTGGGGAAGATAAAGTGACGATACCAGACGAGGAGCGATGCGGTGATATTGGTCTTGGGAGTGCAACCGTCGTCATTGTCCTACTCATAGCTCTCTTGTTTATTTGTTTGATGCTAATAGGTAAGGTAGATTAACTGGCAGTGTTGGAAACTCGTTACTTCATAGCAATGCTATACTCTTAAACTCATACACCCGGAGTTGGCGTCGGTGTTATTATTGTGTTATGTTATGTAGTGTAATGTATAAAGGAATGGATACAATCGTACTTGGCGTAATTGCGGGGGAGCACGGGGAGCACGGGGCGGATGATGGAGGATGAAGAAGAGTGGAGGGGTTTTGTCTGGATTTGGAGTGAGAAGGATGGAAATGTGCTAGGGAGATTAGCGGGGGTATTCAAGGTTGTGGTAGGTGCAGAGTAGATGCAGTAGGCAAGCCCCAGGTTCGTTGTTGATGGATTTGGAAACTAATCGACAATAACGTAGGGTAGGTGGCATAGGTATCTGTAAGTTCAAACTCAAATCGTTAACAGGTTATAAAGCACGCTAGCAGCTTGCGTGGAAAGATGCAAGCCAAAAGTTAACTTTAAATGCAGTGGAATAATCTGGCAATCTCTACAAAAGCAGGTACCCAAGGTATTTATTTTCCCTTTGGTCTGTCTCACTGTTGTTTGTCAACATGTAGAGAGGGGGGATGGGGGTAGGTTAGATGTATAGAAGAGTGGGGAGTTAGGTAGAGTGAAATGCGAAAGAGGAAATGGGGGGCGAGAATACCTACCTAGAAGAGAGCAATAGCAAGGCCGAAAAGGTATAAAAGGGGAAAAAAGAATAGGAAAAAGGAATTGTAAAAAGTCTGGAACTGGTCAAGTGAGGAGAAAGATTAGATGTAACTAGATATACCTACGTAATGGAGTGTCAATGCTAGTTTACCAGGACATGAGAGATGGTCGGGAGGGTATATCAGAATGGTTTCACGCAATCGACCATGGTGATTGGGAGTTGCAGCCTTATCGCACATCCCTGATGATGCATCGCACTGCCGTTGCGGTTCTCTCTGCCCAGTAGACCTAGCAGGCCCAGTACATCGTACCCACCAAGTCCCCCAGTAGGTCGAAGCAGCACCACCTGGGCAGCGGCAGATAACACCATTTGATTTGATCGATAGATAATGGTGCGAGATTGGGTCAGATGGGGTCATGATGCTGCTATCCCCTGCTTCTTAATCTTTCTTTATAAACTAGATCTGCATACTCTACTGCATCTACATTCCTTCTATTAACCCTACTCCATTACTTCGAGAGTATGTTCGTCACAAACATTGCTACAAACATATTTGCATATCATATACATTCAATTACGTACTTATATTCATATCAGCCCTTCCTCTTCCCCTCTCAACTCATTGTCTTAATTTCCTAGAGCGTTCGCTTTTATTTCCCTGCCAGCCACTACAAGAAAATGCTGCAATGTCCCATGGCTAATGCGAATCAGGACATGAACAAATTACAGCGTTTCGTTTGGACACGGCGCCAAGAAATGAATTGTATCTATTAGGTAGCTTTCGGTCTACCCTGTTTCTGCCTCGTCCAATGCCGGCCTGCCCCTCTATAGACGGACCCAGGGTTTTAAACGTCGATCAATGCCGGGCGAACTGCAGATTCCTTGTTCCGTGTTCCATAGATCATGGCTTTCTTGGTCTCTTCTAGCTATAGTAGAGATATGTTAGAAAGTATGAATAAAGAGTTGAAATATGATATATGCACCAGATCTCCAAATCGACAAAGAAAAGTTATACTAATATGTAACTGGTGATTGGACATATAATGGGACTTGGAAGATGCATTAATCTCGGTCGGGGATGGTCTTTGCCTACATATATACCTAGTTACACATACACAGAAGTTCTCCTCAAGGTGGCTTATACTAGATATGTACCTAGTAGTCACATCCCCAAAAAAGCAAAACCAATAATAATATTTTATTTTGATAGGCTATCTTGCCGCCTAGGCTTTTTGATAAGTTGGGACGAAAGTAATAGGGCCACGACGACGTACATAAATAATAGCGTCGTACCTACACGTAGACGGCGTATAATGGGGATCACAAACTACATAATAAATGTCGACAAGTGAAACGAGGAGTGGTCCAACATTCGTTTATGTATACTACGACAACAGACATGGAGGATATCATTGGCCAATGAAGGAGTTTTAGACCCCGCCTCAAAGTGGCACACTATGCTCTATCAGTATGTTGTATTGCCATATGCGCGGTTGGGGTTTCATTTAGGAGCTGCATCGTCAACCCAATGGTCAGGGTACTTATATAATATGGCCACTAGGAATCGACAAATTAGTTGTAACCTTCTGCAATACACATCAGGGCCATTACAACCCTCGCCACCCCATCTCTGTGTTCTCTGCGCGCTCCCTATGTCCTCTTTTGAAACTAGACTGGCGCTCGGATGTAGGGTAGTTGAGAAGAATATGGCACTAATGCATCTTCAATGTAAGCATGTATGTAAGTGCATACATTGCATGCTACGCTATGGAGGTTATGGTCCACTTCCGTCGACACCCAAATTCAGCCGAAAATCCCTTGCCTCCCAGGTTTTCAAGAGATATTTCCTATCATAATTGCTTGGGGCAAACATACGTAGGTGTGTATGTTCGATATGTCTTGGTTACCGATCCCGACCTACCGTCACCAACCAAACCGCAGCGGGTATCTGCTTGACTAGTTTATCTAGCTTGTTAGTTTGTGGAACAAAGCCTTAGACGATGATATGTCGACCAAACTTTAATATCCGTGATTGCGCGTACGACTATTTAACTTTGGTTCTACCTTGGTCTTGATGAAGCTATTTCCATGTTAGTAAGCTGGGAAGTACAAGCGTTGACAACTCAACGTATCATCAACTTCTATGCATAAGCATATCCTATATCAAAGACTCGCATTGTAAGTTTTGGCCAATTCGTCAATTATGTCAGGATCAGGTTACATTTGAAATGAGAAGGTCTGTTCAGGCTTCAGCGGTCTAGAGCTTAAAATTCAGGGTGTTAACATTGAAATAATGGTGTCTCTCAGAATAGAGCCTTCAATGACGTATATCTAACACTAGCCTCTTTTTCAGCTTCGACCAAAACTTGGAATGGAAACCGAAGCATAGATGTAGGGAAAATAGTACCATTCGAGGTTAAGTAAAATTATGAATAACAAGTAATAATCATATGGATATAAGAGAATTTAGAGAATTGGTGAGCAGAGTAAGATATAATTAACTGATGACTGACGTATATGCGGATAAGTTGTCTAAGGTTGATTATGCGAGAGATGCTTTAGATGCTTTAGGTACGCTGTAGAAAGAAACCTTACGTAGAGCTGCCTGGCTACTTACCCTACTGAGTAAAAAGCGCGTGGCGGGTACGCCAGCCCTAAAGCTCAGGTGCTGGAGGTAAAGCCACAGCGGGGATTGAGGCTACTTATCCACTACATCTCCAGGGCTATCCACTCCGATCCGTCCCAATTAATCTATCTTCAGCAACCACGTCACCGCCGCATAGAAGCACATGCATGTGCTAATGGTACCCTACCAGTACCTATCAAATCAAGCTATTCCAGGTACCCTTTTTTTTCATCTTCTTTGCTTCTTTTTTGAGAAACAACCAATATCTCAAATGTCGTGAACCCTTTGCCAGCAGCAGGCTCGGATTCTATTTGATTCCGGCTTACACTCTCGTTTAAGTATGATGCTTATTTTGTTCATGTGCAAGTAGCCGTGTTCCTTCGATCGATTGACCGCCCGACTCAGCCGAAAATAGAAATTCTAGGCACGCACATTTCTCAGAGTATGCCTTCGTTACTCTCGTTGCCTATTGCCAGCTCCGCAATTTTGTGTGGCCTTGGTTTCATTAAATCCTGGGAGAAGAAAAGATAGACATTTCAAATCTATGTGTGTAGATATTCAGAAGCATCAGCCAATCTGAGTATACAATCGAATATCGACCGACAATGCCTCCAAACGCTCTCAACAACTACTACGGCGAAGCTCCGAAAACACATAACTTCGGGACGAAATGCCGCCTCGCTCCAATATCGAACCCTCCTGCCTCCTCTGATATTGATGACATCCCTCCAATAAACGCCCAATACTTCTACTTGTCTTCAGTCCCCATCGATGATCCTCTTTCCACGACTACAATCGCTGCTACGACCGATCCGAAATCTGCTAGAAGTAGTCTACGACCCTTCTCCCCGGGAGACAATAACGAACTAGAAAAGGCTTGGCTCAGTCTATATTCCGATGCCTACCACCAAAATCACACAAACGCACGGCAGAATAAGCCACCCAGCCAGTCTCTTGCCGAGGCAAATGCTGAGAAGCTGCGTAGCATCGTAAGGCAACTAGCGGTGGAGCACGCCGAAAAGCATGCACGTGAAGGCCCGTCACCTGAAAAGGTCCAGCCTTTCACCGAAGCTTTCCCTGAGCCAGAGTCTGCTACTCTTCTATGCTGCCCAGAGCTTCTTGTCGATGTTGGGGTTGCTCTACGGACGTCCTTCTGCGCCGTTGCTAGGCGGAAACAACATGAGCTGAACCGCGATATGGTCGCCCAGGCCGTGATGAGTAAGATGAATACGTTGCATACAGATTCAACAGCTTCCGTCACAGAACGACGCGCGCCACCCTATACCATACCTCCAAGCCAATCGCAAATCGACACCGTGATGAGATCAGGTCAGGATGAACGGCCTAATAGTCAACATTCGAACGTAGCTTCATCGTCCCAGGCAACACCCCAGAGTGTCCCTACGAAACCCTCGTTTGTGGATGACGGTATCTCGGGTAGGCCCTTTGTTCGTGTAGGCACGCCGGATTCTTCACCTATTTCTCCACCGCCGTCACTTCCAAGGACTGCTACTTTTCAACCTAGTAGACTCGCTGAAGAAATAAAGAGCCAAGAAGCCAGGCCTCGTCGCCCTCTATCAGGAGGCGAGCCATCGTCTTCGCCCAAACCTCCGGAAGGCCGGAAACCAAATTCACGCGATGTGACAGTTGGTGTCTCTAGGTTACATGAAGTTTCTCTTCCTGCTTTGCAAATGAAGCCTATTTATTGGTCTCCTGTTAATGATATAGCTACCGTTTTCCGAGCGACTTGGTTCTACAGGTATTGTTACTATATCCATCAGGCCGAGCATACCGCTAACTAAAAGGCAGAGATGATATGAGACCTATCGATCCCACTGTAGCTAATCAGGTTGAAGCTGGATATCGAGAGCTCAAGCCACATACTGAGACGTGGAATGACGAGCTAAGATGTGCTGTAGACGTAGGTCCTCTAGGTGAGGAGAAGGTCTCCCATCCCTTATGGCCAAAACCACCGAACAACAAGGCTTCTAAGAAGGCCGATGATTTGATGGAACCACCTATATCTAGCAATCCTTTTTGTGCAGCTCGTTGTTTCCGTGGTGAGGCAGCTGCGGAAGGTAGTTTGATACCAACCCCAAATGAGGACAACACCTCTCCTGTTCCAACTCACAAGAAGTTTGAGCAGTACCATGTAATTTATAAGGACGCGACAACAGCATACTTGCTCAAGCCGAGCTTAAAACCATCGGCATACTACGGCCGTCGACCAGTAGCAAAAATAATGAAAGGGCTTACTATCGGCGTTCCAGTGGTGAGAGGTTTTGATTACGAAGCGTGGACAAAAAGGCACGAAAAGAAACAGGACCAACAACACCGCCCAGTAATATCAGATAATAGGAGCTCGCAGGATAATACAGGAAATGGTGTATGTTCGGCTTGTAAAGCTGATGAAGATCGCGCACAAGTCACAGATTTGGTTTTGGTTGTTCATGGCATTGGTCAGAAATTGGCTGAACGAGTAGAGAATTATCATTTTACCCACGCCATCAACGCTTTTCGTCGAGCTATAAACATCGAGCTTCGAAGTGATGCGGTGAGAGGGGCGTTGAGACGAGGTCAAAATGGCATAATGGTCCTTCCTGTGAATTGGAGACAGAATCTATCGTTTGAAGATGGTGGACCGATGAGGGAGGAAGACAAGGAGCACTATACATCCGAAGGCTTCACCTTAAAGGACATTGAACCCAAGACTATTCCTGCTGTCCGAAGTATGATATCCGATGTCATGTTCGACATTCCTTTTTACATGTCACATCATAAACCGCAGATGGTAGCCGCTATGGTCGGCGAGGCAAATCGTGTTTACAGGCTCTGGTGTAGGAATAATCCAGGCTTTGCGGAAAAGGGAAGGGTTCATCTAATCGGCCATTCACTTGGTAGCGTTATGTGTATCGAGGTCTTGTCAAGGCAGCCGACGACTCCACCACCTTTACAGTTAACGAAGCCTCTTCAGCTGAAACATTTCGAGTTTGACACAAAGAACTTATTTCTCCTCGGTAGTCCCGCAGCTTTCTTCTTGCTACTCGAAAGAGGTGCATTGCTACCGAGAAGAGGACGCCGGAAGCCGGGAGCGGACTTCAGCGATACGGTATCAAAAGACGTCGTTGGGGATGCAGGGCGGTTCGGATGTATTGCTGTGGATAACATTTACAATGTGTTGGCTCGAGAAGATGCCGTTGCGTATCTTCTTAACGGTACCTTGGACCCCATGTACGCGGCGAGCCTGAAGACTGCATATGTCCCGAGTACGGCAACGTCATTCCTACAGTCAATAGGTAGTGCGGTGTTTGGTATTGTGCCTGGGGCTGCGGCGTCGGCCCCGGGCGCTGGAGCGAATTCACAACTTGCGAGACCACCGACGATGCGGCTACCATCGCAACTCGAACTCGAAGTTCACGACTTTACGCGCGAGGAGGTCGCCGAAAAGAAAGCATTCCTACTTAACGATAATGGTCAGATTGACTATTTCTTACGATCAGGTGGCGGTCCGCTCGAGTTACAGTATCTCAATATGTTAAGCGCTCATACAAGTTATTGGGCCAACCATGACTTGATCCGTATGCTATGTATGGAAATCGGGAGGAACCCCGGCAAGACGAACACGCTGCCTGCGATGAGGGCGGTAAAGGCTACGAAGAGGGCTATGCCCCCGACTGTCTAACTAGAATGTGTGCCTTTTGATTTTATGGTTATTTTTTTGCATTTTTGGCCAGGCGTTGTGGTATTTAGGACGAAACAGGACTTGAAATGAAATGATTGCATGTAGACGTCGGATACCCATCGCCAATCTTGACAGATTTAGTCACGCAAGTTGTAATGAGTAGGGCAATAGATACTTAGAGTGTAATAACGAACACTTCCCTTCCTTCTTTCTTTCTCTACTCTAGGCTATCTACGCTACCTACAGTACACCGTTCTATCCACAGGATAATGCCCATTACCAAGCACATAGACAATCAACCTCGGCTGTTTCAAGCTTCTCGGACTTGGTTGACCGCCGAGTATGGAGATACGATGACCCAGAAGATCCGTTGACCATTCTGGAAGACGGCCGTGATGGGGTATTCCCATGCACGCCGGTACATCACTCCAGTCGCCCCTGTTTTCTCGAAGCATCGATACGTGACACTCTTTTTTGATCATCCTTGGGGACCGCATACGTGTACACTGCGTTCACCCCAATCTCGTTCATGTACCTTCTATCTCGTTGCCTGACATACCAAAACAGCAAACCGACCGAGATAAATGTACCCATCTCCGTGTTGGTCTGCAGGGGAACATCCCCGAGAAATGAAGTTGTATCTGGTACGCTGATGTTAGATACACGCCGTAACAATAGAGGTTACTGTCACCAGCTGGACATTGTTAGCGAAACACCTCTAGTGTATTGGAAAGAAGATCGCCAAAGGTCCGCCTCGTCGGCGCGAGAACGAGGTAATGCTTCGATTTTAGCCCCGTCCCCTGTGTTAGCATGAGTTATATCCATTCTCGTAACTGACAGCAGACTTCGTCATTCTTCCAATTGGATAGAGTACGTGAAGCTTTAGCGGAGGCCGTGGGGCCGGTCGGATCCGAATCTCTCGTGCGAAAGAATTTCAATAAATCGTATTCCGTAATTTCGATTATAGATTTCTATCGTTTGTCATTTCCGACGGGGACATCGATTGAATAGCGGTAGACCAAATGTACCGTGCATTAGGTACATACGTACCCCCTAGGTAGTTACAAGGGACGGGACGGGGTGGCGTCTTTGGTGTTACCGCCAAATTGAGGGGATACGCGACGCCCCCAACCCCCAGTCCGAGCGATGTCTTTTTGTCATCATCATCAACGACAATCAATTAAATCGGATATCATTGATGTAATTGCGAAAGGCGCGGTTTGGTATAGTTCGAATATTGGACCATGTTTATTATTTCCCCTATTTTTTTTCTTCCCTATTTGTTCTCTCGGTGTTCGGTGAGGATAATGCGTTGAGCGGATCAACTGTTCGCTCTGGGAAGGTGGATAAGGAGAGAAAACGGCATCGCCGAATCCTCTCCACGCCGGACTTGCTACCTACTATACAACGCTTGGACTATCCTAATATTCGTAACCCCCCCAATCATCTCTTGATGACATAATGTGAGTCTATTTCGTATTGATTTTCACTCTTTTCTTGTTATTTCTTGGACGATGATCGGTAAACGTTTCAATGCGTTGTAACTGGTGGTATCGCGAGTTTCGTCGAACACCACGTTCCTTGTTGGGCTTGGCCCGTCTGGAGGTAAGCTCCGATGCATGATACAGGAGATCTCGTTTATCTTAAGCCTCTTCGGTGTAGCTAGCTATAGCTAACCATTGTATAGGTTCTGTGGTCGCGGCAATATGCTCACATCGATGGTATGATAGGCCCAAATCCGAATCGCGATCCAAGTCGATATCCGCGTCTAGGTCCGCTGCAAGCTTTAGGAAGTTATTGATGCCTTGTCGTACTTTTTCGTCGCCGATATCAGTGGAATTTACGTGTGGAGGGGATACAAGTCGGGCTTCGAACGTTGTTAGAGCTCTAAGGGTACTCAAATCAGTACTTGCAAACTACACGCCCCCGTAGAGAGTTCAAGGGTATCCGGTTACTTGTAAAGACATACCTAGGTATAATCCAGCCATATAACCCGGATTATAGACTAAATTGGGTCTTGGATAGCTTCAAAGAGCTAGTTGTAGTTGAAAAGGGAAGCTATGTTTTCAAGGTGGGTTTACTGGAGATTATCGCAGATGCCATGTAGGACTTTGACAAGATCTCCTTAGATCAGCGATAGGACTCAACTACCCAATGCCGCAGTAATGCACCAACACCTGCTCAGTAACGTCCAAAGTCCTCTTACACTGTACATCGTTACGTTGCATATTGTCTTCGGCCAAAATCAAAATTTAGACAATTCTTACGACACGCCTCCCTCATACTTTGGAACGTGGTTAATTTCACTCATCGTAGAGGTGATACGACTGGACAGTTAACCCCTATCTGATACCGTTTACATTTGACATGTACAGCATCTACAAGTCCTACTCCAACACCCCTCCGTTAACCCCCAATCTTTACATAGACGCCCGCCTCCTAACACATTCTAGAAGATGACCATCTGAAGGTGATCTGCCACGTACGCAGTCTTGATCATAAGCCCTAGCTTCTGGGCAACGTATGTTCACAGGGAACTATTGTTGCTCGTTATACAACGAGCCATTAACCCTGTATATCGCGCCTTAGGAGATAGGACAATAGAATTCTTGTCTATAGAAAAAAGTTCCTATCGCCGAGGACAGAAACCCGACGCATTGTACTTCTCGATAATTCTCGCATCCTGTTGGGCGGACTCGCGCTCCGAATTTCACATGGCTGGTATGGGTATGACTAAGGACAGAGAAAGATCTACACCCCAACGTGTCTCGATCAATGTCTCAGGAGAAGTCCTGACCTCCTGTAGTATACTCTATGCAGAAGGCTTCGCCACTCCGGTTGAAATCCTTTAGCTACTATACTGTTGCTGACCAACCATGGTAGACGAGACTACCGCGCGTCTACTTTGGTCGATAGTTCTAATGGCTACTGCATGACGAATGGTATGTACATACATACACCTGTCAAATTGACCCAAAAGCAGACTTGAATCGGTTCGTCTTGTCCCCTACAGGTTATACTCGCCTTGTCTAGAATATCCCCTTCCAATAGGGTTGAATATTCGTCAGCCACCACCACCACCACCACCATCACCACACCGTCACCCCTCCTTTTTTCTCCTCTTTCCTACCCCCTTCTCTCCAGACCTTAGTCTCTACACTAGGAAAGTATAGCATTATAGCATCACTTCATCACGGTAAGTTCCCGGAGCTAATCCACCGTCACCAACCCGCAGTTGGTGAGCAAATACCCGAGGGATCTTGGAGATATCATTGTGGATAGCCAACCAGGAACCTGGCATCAAACCCAACTGCCGACGAAGCAGCATCTCCTGGGACATGGATTATAACATATACATAGAAACAGACATTGGCGTTGCGCATTGTCCTCCTCGTCGCTAGGATGTCCGAGCCAAGGAACTTTCCATATTGTGGTGTAGTGCAGTTGTCCAGCCTGCTTGAAGCGGTGAATTACATGGAGGCGGCAAGGCGGGAAAGGGCGTTATTTTGTTGAATAGCCGGTGTCTGGGTACAATTGAATTAGCTTCTCTTCGTGGTATTCCTTTTCCTTGCTGTCGGTTTTCTTGTCCCAACTATTTAGGGCGTTGTGCCTCTTTCTGTGCCTCTCGACGATGAGGATATGTATGGGTGGCTAGTGGTAGGTTGGTGCGTAGGGGAATTTACTACGCGCGACGTCTATGTGTACACCATAACTAAGTGCTGACAGCTTGGGATCACCGTTGAGGAAGAACCGCTAGACCAGGGAGAAGGGTCACCCTCGCCCCATGGCTAGGAACCTCTGCCCACGTGAAGTTGGTTGCCAATGGGCGGGTCTTCTCGGCATCGGGAACTGATTAGTTACCGGCTTGGTCGTAGGAGGTTTCAGGGAGTAGTGGTAAAATGGCGAGAAGCGAGAACGACGGGTTACTCAACTTGGGGCTACATGAGGGTAGCTTCGGCAAGCGGCCCTACGAGACAGATCCACGGACTGCAAAATTACGGACTAGGGTTCCTGGGAAGGTAGTGTAGATTCGCCTCGAGTCCACTGTCTCCAGTTTCTCTTTTTTTCCCTCTAGTTACTCTGCGCTATATTCATCTTCTCCCCCCTGTAACATATCCATGTTCCATGCTGGTATAAACCCCTTCGTATCGTTATTACGACCCATTCCACTATCCTCATCATCGTCATCGCCCAAGTCGAGATTGCCAAGCTATTTAGGTCGGGGCTATAATAACTGGGGATCTTATAACAAGTTATAATTGCAACCCTGAACCGGGGTATAGTTCTCTTATGTACTCTAGATTTCAACGACCATGTGCCCACATGTAAATATGCGCATCTCACGCACTGCAGTAGTATAACCTGTATGTATGAAAGTATGTCACTGTGGCCAGGTACAGTAGTAACCCTCCATTACATCCCACGAGCTGAAGAAGCAGGGGGAGAGCATGAGATAGGAAGGACGGTGAAGCTAATTGCTGTTGATTTCACCCTTGTAGATGGCCATCAGGGCCGGATATCCAACTTGGCTACCTTCTCTATACACGGGTTCATACTACAACTTAGACAGTATACACTACCATCGGATTTAAGAGCGAAAATCGGTCAGCGAAATGCTCTTGGCTTGTGGCGGAATCGTAACAACGTCTCTTCGAAAATGAAGGGATCCACTGCCACTGAACTGGGACCATGATCCTTCGCGCTTCAAGCAAGTCACCGCATCCGACAGCCGCTGGCGAAAAGTTCTAGAAGACCGCCCAGCATGAATCTGTCATCAGTTGCTCGATTCGGCGGATGGATTCAAGAAAGACAATGCTGTTAGTTAGAGCATTTTATTCTCATTTCATTCGAATCATACCCACCCAAACAACTGCCGCGTAATCGACGTTAGGGGGTTTTGCTGGTAATCCCCTCAAAACACTTGTCACCAACACTTCAACTAGATGTGGAATAGATGGTCTTGCCACATTTACCATCAAGCGGGATTCCAAACATCCGACTGTTGCCAGAGGCCCACTCGATGAAGCCTTGGGCAGAAAAAATAATATCCATCCTCAAGCTAAAGCTTTGACCGGCAACAGGGCGTAGTGTACAAGGGACAGGGAAGGCTAGCCGATTTCTTCATCTAGCTAGGTATACTAGGAGGGTTTGAAGTGAGCCCAGTGAATAAGGTAGAGAGATAGTGGAACCACATATAATAGCTTTTTAAAATGTGTATTCATGCGAATTGCTCACTTACAGTTGACATGACTCGCCAACCCGACAAGGGGGTTTACGATCCTCTACCTATTCTGATATAACAAATGTCTGTCAGGAACCATAACAGGAAAAACGGATTCTGCCGTTATATTGTGATGTCTAATTTTGATTTTGACGTTGTCTTGGTAGACTTTCCAAAGTGGAAGGATGCGAGCTCTCCTAATCCTATGCCATTTTTACCAACGTACGATGTAATATCTACCCGTGCCAAATTAGGGCTTGATGACTTCTAGAACCTATTCAAGTCAAGTTAGACAGAGCTAAGAGCCAAGTTTGTGTAGAAGCTCCCACTCCTTTTGATCCCGGCGCCTATGTATGTAGCTCGATTGAGGTCGTAGTTGGAGTAAATATAAAATAATTATGCCTAAGAATATTATATAATAGAGCTGAAATCTAGACTCGTGCCCGTTATATCCGAGACCTGAAATCCTGTGGCGTGATTCGGAGGACTTGCCACGCAGTGCGGTTGCATTACATGCGGAAGGCTGCTGCTATCTCTCCCGTAGGGTTGGATCCGGAAGCACCTCTTCTTATATGGTAACCTTACTGCATCACAAGACGTAGTAGGCGAGTCTGCAATTAGTAATAATAAGAGAGCTGTACTTACTTGCCTACCTAGCCTAGACGGGTGAGCGAGTCCGCTACTTGGGGGCCGAAAATCTGATACGCAAACGAATCCAACGTGGAGTCGTTCATGTGAGATGAAAATGCGACGATAATGTCAGAATTTCATAGGTCGCCTTGCTTATTATTAGCCTGTTCGATATTGGCCCGTCGGTGTTGGTTACAGCCGTCCTGCCGTGTAAGATATGTGAAGTTACTGATTGAGTCCGACCGACGCTGTCATCTGGGCAGCTAGAAGCGATTCGGTCGCGAAGAGAAGGAGTTTTCGGCACCGAATCGTTATATTCATGTAGTATTACGAATTAGCGAAAATTATAGAATTCGCGTCGCGGGGTTAGAGCCTATGAGATATCAAGGTGAGTAGATGAATCTCGGTAGGGTTTGCAGTCGTCATCGCTCTCAGGGGTGCTGATCTACGCCTAATGATCTACGCTTGACAAGGTGAGGCAGATGTAGGCTTCATTTCTTGCTTGAGGGGTTGGTGTACCTGTCAGAAATTCAGGCCTATGGGATGAGAAAGAAGTTGAATTTTCAACCTCACAACCCATAAGCCTAATATTAATTGACGGCAGTATGACGTAACGTGTATACCGAAACCACCTAGATAACAAAATTGTCAAGGAGGAAAAAAATAGTATGAGCTGTAATTAGGGATTTCACAGCGTTATTAGTGCTGCGCGGCTGGTAGCCCTACCTCCGCGCATAGTACCAAGTATGTAGGGTAGGTATGTGACGGTAACTCTCGGACTGTTTCAGATGCAATAGCGACCCCAAAAGCTATCTCATCACCACTACTACGCCTACTACGTAGGTGGTGGCGGGGGAGTACCCAGGTAGCTATGTGAACACTGGGAGAGCTCCCACCAACGGGAGAAATTCCAGTGCTCTGCTAGGTACACCGCAAAAACATCTGGAATGCTAGGATCGCAGGGACTTGGGTTACACGGCACCGGTTTGTATGTAGGGATCCGCACCCCAAACAGGGAATCTGACTGGTCAGTGGACTGCTGCAGGTCCAGTGAACGATCTCGGGTAACGAATTAGAGGGTCCTAGCCTAGCGCTTAAGACGTTAAAGACCCAAAAGTCATAAGCTGACCGCTACTCCATAACAAGAGAGTCGGGGCCTTGGTCCATGTCGTAATAGAGCATTATTTTGGGGAGTGGGATTGTGCGTCGTTTTCGAGGCAAGAGTTTGCGAAGGGCCGATCGGAAAAAAAGGTGGAGGAGAGATCGTGCTGAGGAAGAGAAAATAAAGGTCATTTACTGAATTGACAACCAAATTATCGGGAACCATAGAATAGGAAATTCTAGTGCAATAATTGAAACCAACTTTTTCAAGTCACGTACTCTATAGTAAGCACTTAGGTGGTGTAGGTATGTGTCTTGTGTGAGGTACTCCTGTTGGATGTATGTACCTTGGTGTGTATGCCAGTCATGCGCGGTTCATAGCAAGTCGCGATCCTCAGGTTGTAAGGCTGAAGTACCCCCTTGGATTCCCGTCAGCACTCTTATTCCTAATCAAGTTAACCTAACAACATGTAGCTCATGTAGAATTGCATGCCCGATATTCGCCCGGCGCTGCTTCTGGAAGTGTAAGCACTTTGTTTTTGTTGCCCTTGCAGCTTTGCGCACCATGTCGGCCATCTCGTGGCAGCCAGCAGTCTGAGGTTACTATGGATTGTGTGGGACTACCTGGTCTATTACGAGGGAAATCCACTTATTGGAACCCAAGACCGTGATACTCTATCGTATATATATAAATACCTTATATATGGTACTATGGTACTAGTAGTATTGGGAAGTTCCTGCGTAAGGTTCCTCCCGCATAGCCATGTGGCCATACTGTACGGTTAATTGGTACCTAAAGAGGAGCATTGTGCAGTTTGAGGCTTGTCGATCCAGATTGTGTGAGGTATAATCTGCATAATACACAATTTATATGTGTAATATAAGGGGACTGTAGGCTCTGATTCATTAGCATCTTATCGTCTCGCTAGTCTCAGCGCGCTTATTATTAGTCTGGTGAAGCCGTCGAGATTCTAATCGGCCCCCATCGCACGTAACATCTTTACTGGTATAGTACATGTGCGTAATAGCTGAAATGTAAGCTTATGCACGTTGCTTGTGACACATGCTTCCTCAAGTCCTCTTTTTGTCTAGTCAATATAAGAATTTAGATCACGTTACCAGAATACGAGTAGAAATGTGTATAATTTTCTAATTGTTATTAATCGACTGAGCATAGTGTCATAATAACGTGTTGGTAAAGAAAATAATTGAACAGTTCATAAAACCGAATGTACTTAGTGCTGTAAGGTATCTGGATACTTGGGTACATATCAGTAATTTAGCTTTAAGCATGATCCAATAACCAGCCAATCGTTTGCGTCCCTGCGTCTGTTGGCGTTACAAATCAGGATAGACAGTTCCATAATAAAATCAGCTATACTACATCTGGTATAAAAGTGTACAAGAACTTACTATACTTGGAAACTTGAAGATCAAAATTGGTGTTGTGCGCCCGTCTTGGCGCTTTCAATCGGTAGCCAATCCACGACTTCGGGCTCAGGAGTATCTAAGTATATCAATTTTCTGTCTCACTTAAAGAGTCCTTTTTCTTTTTTCGTCCCGGAGTTCAACCACTTTATTTTTCTATTTTCTCCCATTGACTCATGGGACTGCTGCCTGCGATTTCGCTTCTTCGCCCGATGACAGGATATTATTTTTTATATGCATTGGGATGCTCATCTTGAAACTACTCCAAAATCCTTGATTGGGGCGATGCTATCCATTGGTTATAACCAAGGGACTCCCTTGATCCTTGTAAGCTATCCTAGGTACCATTTAGGTAGTAGGGAAGCAGTACTTTGTCAAGTCGGCTGTGTGGTACTTTAGTAACTATTAGATAATCAACGGCTCTTGTCGCCTGCCACGGATCGCGGCAATATCTTAGCAAAGAACTGTCCATCATCCCCACTAGCTGGTAGGTTGTACTTACGACCTACCTAGTGAGTGGGTGCCTACATGATGTAAGACCCTGCGTTGGTGAGAATAACTTATGCATCTGCCATACAACCTGGTCCTATTAGTTCAAGCTTTCCTATCCGGCCTAATCAACCAACAAGCGGGGTGAGAGAGGTCTTTGTTGAAGAAACGCCACACCCGCGGCCATCCGATAAGGGTCGTTGCAAATCATTCGAAAAGAACTATTGATGACCAGACCTTTACTCGGTGGTACACAACGTTTCTATTTGTTCCAAGTAAGCGTTCCCAGATCTTATAGTTCCCCCGTGTCTTGTAGTACTGCGGATGCACGTCAGAGAAATGGCAGCAGGCTGAGCCCTATCGCTCGCTCTCGAGGTGTCATTAGTGTCACATGTAGTAAATTTAATTGTTAAGCAGACCTTCCAATATGTGTAACCACCATAATTTCTTCTCTTATTTTTGGAGAAGAAAAATTTTATGTCAAAAAATAGACCAGTGAACACTGGAGGTGAGAAATCAATAATAGAAAAAAAACATGTATATTTTTTGCTCCTTGCTAGAGCACTGAAGAACAAGGCCGTTGGAAAAAACGGGCCCGTTTCTTTCTTTCCTAGTCTAAAAGACCTGACCGAAGCCATCCTGAACGCCGGCTGCTTCCTAGACTGACGAGTCTTAGATGAGCAATCATGGTAATAATAGAAGTACATAGCCACCCACGAGATATCAATGCCCACCCAAAATATGTTAAGATTCGTCCATGGTAGTCGTTCTATGATCCGTTTTCCCCAAGACCCAACTCCATAAACCCCCCGTGGGTATGCGCAAAAAGAGCAATCAATAACTGTAGAACCGATTGGTATAATAGCCTTTTTATTTTCGATTTCGTTTTAAGTCGTCGTAATTAATTCATCATCTTTTCGTAAAGGGCATAGGAGCTAAAAGGCTGCTGCTACCAGCTTGGGACATGGTCATAGGCGGTAATTGAGCCGGTGGTGCAACTAGATGTCCTGGAGTGCTACCGAGAGTTCTCGTTGGCGCCGGGTAAGCATTGTAGCCTTCAGCACGTAAGTCTAGAGTGCCCAGGTCGAAACGTTTAGAGCAACCATCTTCCATATGCCTGTAGTAATTAAATGTTAGTTACGCTTCCTTTAAAACGGGAATAAAGTAGGACCGAGTTCACCTTCGTAGAGTATCTTTGCGCGCAAACATTCGTCCGCAATAGTCACATCTGTGGTTCTTCTCTTTCATGTGGACACTCTGGTTGTGCCTTTGCAAGTCCGTCTTTCGCACAAACTTCTTGTTGCAGTCCGGAACAGTGCATGGGAAAGGATATTCCCTCTTCTCGTCGTGAGTTTCCATATGCGCCTTGAAATTGTAGCTTCTACTGAAGAGCTTGCCGCATCCCTTTACTTCACATTGGAAATTGGCCTCCTCTTTCGTGGTTAGCTTCCGGGGCTGTCTCCGCTGGGTCCTCGGCACACGGAGTTGTCGCCTGTCATGGGAGAAAGCAGGCCCCGGAACGCTAGGCCCCGCGTAGTAAGGTTCTGACTCGAGGGTTGGATACTCTGACTTTGGCCATGAGCCCGAGGGAACATCCGAGAGATAACCTGAACTACCAGCGGCGGAGGCGTAGCCACCACCTTCCAAAGGCAAGGAGTGAGCAGAACGAGGTGAGGGGTACTGAGATAATTCTGGCCCGCTACCATAATCGGTGGTGGGAACATTGGCGCCTTCCATCTTAATCCGCGGCATAGGTGATACGCTATGAGGATAGCCAAAAGCGTGCCTTTGAGACGGATCTGGCGAACGTGAAGTAGTTGAATGCATTGGGGGAGGAGTGTGAGTTGAGAGCACTGGCGCCTGCGGGTGAGACTGATATAATTCGTGGCTATACGAAGCATGCATGTTAGGCTCATAGTGAGCGAAGGGGTCGTATTCGGCCGACATGATGTTCGGCGCACCCGACGTTGAGCTGGGATGTATCACGGTAGTTCCACTCCAGCCGGCCGAGGTCATCGCATCTAAAGGCGGGAGCGAATTCTCGGAGTCCATATGTGGTGAAGGCATCGCTGCGCAAGACTGATCGAACATGGAAGTGGTGACCTTGTAGATGGGATCTACAAAATCCGGCGAAGGATAATCCAGAGAAGGGCTTTCGGAGCAATTTGTACTTGGAGGTGACGCCGGCGACCTGGTCAAGGATGGAGGTGAGAGATCCATCACGGGGCTGTATCCAACGCGAGAAGGGTTCCAACGAGCAGCCAGGTTGGTTGTTTAAGAAGGCGAAAGGAGGGTCACTGGTGCGACGAACAAGGCGAGTCCGATAAAAGACACAGCAGATGAGTATGTGTGAGGAATGGCTTCCAACTGTGTGTCCAACAAGGCTATGGGGATACTGCAGTAAGTGGGATGTAAGCAATAGTTATACAGAGACCGGTTCCTGTATGTGGTACTAAAAGCCTCGGCACACACCCCTACAAGTATCAGACCAGGCCAGCGTTGGTGTAAGAAGGGGGGATCTTAAGATGGAGAGTTAACTGTGGATATGGAAAGGTACCCCATATAACTGTGCAGCGAGATAAACATAGTGTAGTGAGGCAGACAAGAGACCAGGAACACAAGCGCGGTGCGTTCAAGGCAGACTCCGGAAGATTATACATAGCACCAGGGGGTGGGATATGTACATGTATATGATGTTCGTAGGGCAGACCCATTTTCCCCCTGGTCGACGTCTTGTCGTATTTGGTAAAAGGGTAGTATATCAAAATTGAGGATACAAAGTCGCAAGGGTAGGAATTGTGTGGTGTGTGGTGCGTGTATGATCGAATGAGATGCTTCGCGGCAGTCTTGGGTCTTGGGAGTACTTGGTGGGTTGTAGGGGGCCATGAACACAACATAGTGCCTGTGGTAGGGTACCTCATAACGTCAGACTAGGTATGCATAAGTACATACAGGGGGGGAGGGTATTTCCATAGATAGAAAAGGTCAATGGGGACAAGAAAAGAGAGAAAAAAAAAGTGACTAATACCTACCGTACCACCAATGTGTACGCCGTTGGGGCCGGGGGCGGGGAATTTGATTGAGCCCAAGCCGAAAATATTCGAACCAACCTATCTACTATGTCTACTATGTACCTCTCTATATTGATGTATCTGCTAACCTGATCCGTTAACATGGGCATCCAACACACCTTAACAAGACCGTGTCTTCATACCAGGGTACCAGACTTTTATCCTAGCCCTTATGAAGCCATATAATGCATTGTACGTAGTATACCTACGCTACTCGCACACTCACATACACACGCTAGAGAGGAAGAGGAAGAGAGCTACAGACTAACTTCTCGAAGGCACATCCTTCAGAGCGCTGCAGAATATTAGCCCTATAACCCCTGTTCCTCTTCCTCCCACTGACCACTCTCCCCATCAGATAAAGTTCTTATTTAGCAAAAAATAACCAAGCAAGAAAAGGAACTATTAGTAACTAACAATTATATAACTCTTATTCTAACCCATACGACTAGGAAACTTATGGTAGGTTTTATGGATGTATATATGATTGGCTTTTATACAATCCTTTCCGAAGACAAAAAGAGTATCGGAAAGTCTCCAATAGGAAAGGAACAGAGAAAAAGAGGATACGAAAAATCTGAGTCTTACTTAGGTACCTACCTAACTGTGTAATTTATAGTGGTTATGTTGAGCTTAGCGCAGACGCGTCTTTTCCCACGTAGGTAGTATTATAAGTACCTACCTAGCATGGCGTGATGTGCTGTTAGTTCCCTTAGGGGGGCTCTGGGGACGCTTGATTATCCCTACAGTAGCGCGGGACAGTAGGGAAGAAGGCTATTGACCAGAATCCGCACCACCTGGCGATTCTGTTAGGTACCTTGCGGCATAACATCTAGTTGATAAGACACAGGGGGTTAGCAAACCGCATTGAGCGTTCTAGAGACTGGCAGGGATAGCGAGCACGGACTGCGGAACAAGGGAATTCAAAGCCGTCCGACGGCTGCGGCGTTAGAACCACTAACTCCAGGGCATGTCTTTGATTTCTTGGCAGTAAAGAGAGAACGAGAAAAAAAGGTAATTCATTAGGATAACGCCGTTGGTAATCAGGAACTCATGCGATATGGTACATACCATATCATAGTATAGAGATTATACAATGACAAATTCTAGCATGATATTTTGAAGAGACAAAAATAATCACACACCCTAGTATACCAAAGGACTAGATTACTGAGTTGTACGGAACGATGTAACTCCTTATCCGTTCTTCCTTCGAGGCAGACCCAACCAGCTTTTCCTCAAGGAATTAAGAGCGCTGAAGAACACCTACGAGGATGAGCCTTAAGCGCTTAGAACCACTGTAGACCATCGCTAACGCTATGAACCACCTATACCTATCCACTAACACTCACATCTACGATATTTCCAACGCTAACGCTAAACGACGCGAAGGAACAGAATGTAAAAATAGTAATAAATTGTGGCATAACTTTTATAGACCGGGAACTTTTCTTCATTTCCTCATTAAAATAAACAACAGATATCCAATTGTAACGGTTACAGATATGATATCAGTTAATTATTACTCGGATCGCGAAAACTTGCGTTCCAGGGTCTTCTTACGGAATTGGAATCAACAAATTTTCTTCCAATTTCCCACAAGATCAGGCTCTTAATTAACCCAAATAGAATCCTTCAAAATACTTGGATCAACCCTACACAATATATTATTGACCTCGTTGGTTTCGATGCGACAATGGCATGTACATTATGTGCATCCAATATGTCCAAGGTCGGCATAATCGGTATATGATGATGAAGTCATAAAAAGTGCGGAGGAGCTCTCGGGGGGTTGCACCGCCATTCGGCGATCCTCAGGTATGTTGATCGATGTCATTCGAGCGTTGCTACTTTCACTGGAACTTTGTTTCACCCTTGCCTGGACCTGGCTGCAGGTACCAGTGCTCAAGAGCCAAAAATAATCAACGTGTCATCGCTATCTGGCTTTGCTCCTCTTTCCTCTACCCTCAGTAGTGCAATGATAATAAAAAGAACCAGCCACTAGACGCCATCATCCACCGGGAATACTACTACGCTACGAAGATGAACAGTCCATCAGACCCGTACGGGCTCCACTTCACCACGAAGAGGCGATGACAGAAACGTACCACATGCGCTGTAAAGCTGAGAAGCTTCTCCCGTCTGGCCCCCATTTTCTGTGCCTTAGGCAAGCTGCCGTTTCCCACGTGTCTGGGCCGGGTTCCTCGGGCTCGGGCTCTAATTTGTAATGTACCTACACCTACACCTATACCTACACCACCAGGTTATGAAAAGGGGTGTACGTAAGACTGTCTCGTCTTGTTTTGTGTCTTGTACACAAGCGCTCGATGCCATGACCATACCCTGGAAATCCCCGTTGTGACCCTCGCTAAACTAGACCTTCCAGACGCGGTAGCCGAGCTGGCGCGCCTCGTTTCGGGCACCACATAGCGCTCTGGCGAGGCTTAGCGGGTTCCGAAGGAATCAACCTTTTATTTTATACTGGTACGTTTCAAAATGATCACCCACCACGCTCGCTATGGCCTTCCCGAAAGGTTTCTCCTATACCGAAAGAATACACTTGCCCATATTAGTCAATGCCTATCCACTGTGAGCGATGTCACATACATTCATTATACAATGCATGACAAATACAGTTTCTACGTCCACCCCAATTCTTAATTACTGACCCAGCTTCACGTGGACAACTTGGCGTGTAAAGCATTGCTTACATAGTACGACTCAAGACATCTATCTAACTGCCTAAACAAGATATTCTCCACCATGGCCGTAAAGACAACATATCGAGACACATACTGTGTTATATAATTCAAAATCTATGGTACTTGTCCATAGCCTACTACTATCATCCGAACTTTTTATTACGGCAGTTCCGTCAAGTCTATACTGTACGTATGTACAAGTATACATCTGGTGAAAAAGTTGGTTAAAAACTTGGCAGTGGGTAAGTTGCTGCCCGGAGTACCTATTTAAGAAAACTCCATCTACTTAGGTACATCCATGGGATAGTATACGCAGGACACCCCATTATTTTTTACCGCCATTGCTAGGGGGGATGAATCAGTTACTCCACGGGACAGGGGACAACCCTCAGGGCACGGCTCGCTAGGTATAGGTAGAAGATCTGGCCACTAATTTGGTAATAATCTGGGAATCATTCACTACGATGGAACCACAGACGCAATGAATCCTTCAATTGCATGCATAGAACGGTAGATGCGTAAGTTAAGATTGCACAGACCTTTATTTTCGGCAAGGACATTCAAAGAAGAGACATTTTCCGAGTTCCAGCCACTATCTCCTCGTCGACGAGATGAATTGGATTCTCTAAGGAGTTCGTTTTTCCAAAAGCGTTGAATTTCTTCCGATTTTAGAAAAGTCTCCTGCAGTAGCGCCAAGTTCCGACTTTCCAACGAGATTACGGCGTACATAAAGAATGTTACCTCGTGATAGTTGGCTTAATACGGACTGTAGGATCATCATCATATTACGCCGATAAATCCGACAATGTGAATCATATCGATATTTGAAGGTAGATACAGTCGGCTTACGATACGCAGTTCCGAAAAGAAACCTATTGTTGGTATGTTTCATGCAGTTAGATACTAAATTAAAACAAAAGAGGAAGAGCTGCGAGTTACTCGACAGTGCCGATTGTTTACGGATACAATGGGTCGAAAGATGTAATTTACGAAACGAAACATGAACGAAGCCTCAATGCTATGTTACTAACACGAACACTAATACGAACCTTGGAAATGGGGACTCAGTTATATTGCTGGCAAAAATAGTTGTTCCGTATTTGTATACGCCTTGGCTATATGTGCGAAAGTGCAGCATGGCCTCGCAGGATTCGTAGTTTCTAGCTTCACCTGAAACAAGAGTTGATTAAATAAATTCCGCTGTGGTAGTATTTTCAGCCATTTGGTGGTCAGCGATTAATCCGGTGATGTAGTATTCTTGGGGGAGCGGGTGTGCAACATCTCAAAATAGCAATGCATGTAGGGCTAAGGCTGAAAGCTGATGATTACGTACATGAGAGTGCCTTGTATCGTATCAATATACCTACCTAAGTATCTATATCCAACAGTGAGTTTTCGCGAGTAATACTTGGTCGGTTTCGGAATCGGAAAGAATCCTACGTGCTCGTTTTTATCCGTGGTGCTCGGAGGTGTGGCAGGCTTAACTGTCCTGCAGAAAAAGTAATAGGATCCGAAAACTCCCCATCGGTAGGTAGTAAATGACCAACTACTTTTTTCTGCTCTTGCTGACGCCAAAAAAGCACATTGAACGATCTAAGATGGCGGCGGGCAATCTACAAAATCTAATATGTTTAATGTACTGTGCCGGAATCCGACAGTTTGGTTCATTCATCTAGTACCCCCAACCCAACTCCATGGATTGAGGGTGAAGTTCATCGGAAGAGTCGTCCGCCATCGGGAGTGTCGTTCCTATGAGACGCTTTATGACCCGACGAACGCCTCCCGTCCCGTCAACATCTAGCCCATGCCGATTGCACAAATCGTAGATCTTGTTGCCAGGTCTAGTCTAGGGCTAAAAAGCTTATTGAGACTTCAATTTTTTGAATCAATTCAAGTCTAAGGAAAATAACTAAGCGCTGCCGCGTGCTGGCGGTTGTTCCCACGATGGGTCGGCAATCGTCTTCCACCATCCACCACCTACCTACCTAAGGTACCACCCACATACTACCTAAACACCTAACACCTAAGTACCTCTTTTTTTCCACCGTAATATAACCTATTACATGCCGTAACGTATACATACTAAATTATTTCCTAGGATCAATTTTTCTATAACGTACCAAACCAACTTGGAAATAGAAACATACGTATATCCCCTTGGCTTTCAAGGTCACATAGTTATTAGTTCTACGCGGACCTGCCCAATTCAGTAGATGTTCTACTCCAACACCGCATTGATCATCGCTTGGTTGTGGGTCGCTACTCATGATGCCAACAGTTAATGACGACGACTAATAAGTTAGACTCGGATATTATATTAATAATAATTTAAAAGCGAGCAGCGGACACCGAGGTTCGGACATTTCGCGCTTTTGCTTTTTCCTTCAAGAGTAGAATATCTTCCTGGTAGATGAAGTAGATAAAGTAGATGGCGTTTGATCGTTGCGTGGTTCAGTGTTGTGCTGGGAATCTTTGGAGACGGGATTTTCTCCCGGAAAAGTACCCAAGTACCCAGTGTTATGTACGTATAATGGATATAATCGGTGCAGCATCCGAGTCCCATTTGAAATGTGGAGAAGGTGGCTGGCCTAAATCTCGGGTATGCATGAGCCACCTGATGCTCAAAGCTTCAATAGATAAAGTTTATCTGGGATAGCTTACCTCAGCGAGTGACCAGGCAACGCTTTGAAGTTGAAGTTGCAACCCCAACTAAAGTTTGAGGCTACAGACGAACAAATTCAAACAAAACGGCCAAAAAAAACTTTTGGATTTCAAAAATAAATTCACGTACAATGGGTTTGTAAATCAACCCGATAATAATAAAGTGAAAGAAAAGGAAAACGGCTAAGCCAACATATCTTTTGTCTGGCTGCCTGGGCTTGCAGCATGCCACACAGTACATAATTATTCTACCTAACGCGTGCAGCCTGCAATTAAAACGGTATTGAAAGGAGCTGGTCTCTATCGTCAATAATTGCGCCTGTTTCTTTACGGTACCTATCGAGGCAGTACTCTCGAGTTTCTCGAGTTTTTAAACAAATAACATCATAAATCTGCATCTCTCATATTCGCCATATCGCGGTCAATTCCGCCTTAGCCAAGATGAAGTTCTTCATCGAGGATCTCCCCGTACTCTTCCCCTACCCGCGCATATATCCCGAGCAATATGCATATATGTGCGATCTCAAGAAAACGCTCGATGCCGGCGGCCACTGCGTTCTTGAGATGCCTTCGGGTACCGGCAAGACCGTTTCACTACTTTCGCTTATTGTCGCCTACCAGCAACATTATCCCGAGCACCGAAAACTAATCTACTGCTCGCGTACTATGTCCGAGATCGAGAAGGCTCTAGCAGAACTCAAGGCCCTCATGAAGTTCCGAGCAGATGAACTCGGTTACGTAGAAGAATTTCGTGGGCTAGGTTTGACAAGTCGAAAGAACTTGTGCCTTCACCCGTCCGTGAAACGGGAGAAAAGTGGCGCCATCGTGGATGCCAGATGCCGTAGCTTGACTGCTGGATTTGTCAAGGAGAAGAAGGAAAAGGGTGAGAGCGTCGACACCTGCGTCTACCATGACAATCTCGATCTTTTGGAGCCACATAATCTTGTTCCAAACGGCGTTTGGACACTGGATGGCCTCCTACGTTACGGCGAACAACATAAGCAGTGCCCCTACTTCACCGCAAGACGGATGGTAAGCTTCTCCTTAATTTTGGCCTTTTAGGATAGAATACTGATTACATTATAGATGCAATATTGTAATGTTATCATCTATTCTTACCATTATCTACTTGATCCCAAGATCGCAGAACGCGTGTCAAAGGACTTCTCAAAGGATTGTATCATTGTTTTCGACGAGGCTCACAACATAGACAATGTCTGTATCGAGTCCCTCAGTACTGACATAACGGAAGAATCCTTGCGTAAGGCATCCGTTGGTGCTCAGAACCTAGAGAACAAGATCAACGAGATGAAGGAGACGGATCGAGAGCAGCTTGAGAACGAGTACCAGAAACTGGTAGAGGGTCTTCGTGATGCCGAGGAGGCTCGACAAGAGGACGCGTTCATGTCAAATCCTGTCTTACCCGATGATTTGCTCAAGGAAGCCGTACCTGGAAACATTCGAAGAGCCGAACATTTTACTTCGTTCTTGAAACGATTCATCGAATACCTCAAGACTCGTATGAAGGTTCGACAAGTAATCTCGGAAACACCACCCTCATTTCTAGCACATCTCAAGGAACACACTTTCATTGAGAAGAAGCCGCTGCGTTTCTGCGCTGAAAGACTAACCTCCCTCGTGAGGACCCTCGAGCTCACCAATATCGGGGATTATCAACCACTTCAAGAAGTGGCTACCTTCGCGACACTTGTCGCTACGTATGAGAAGGGTTTCTTACTCATACTCGAACCGTTCGAGACAGATACTGCCGAAGTACCCAATCCAGTCTTGCATTTCACCTGTCTAGATGCCGCAATTGCGATTAAACCCGTATTCGACAGATTCAGTTCCGTCATCATTACTTCAGGTACTATCTCACCTTTGGAGATGTACCCCAAGATGCTGGGATTTTCTACTGTCGTCCAAGAGTCATACACGATGACCCTAGCTCGAAGATCTTTCCTGCCGATGATAGTAACCCGAGGAAGTGACCAGGCCACGATTTCCACCAGTTTTACTGTTCGAAATGAACCAAGTGTGGTCCGAAATTATGGTAACCTCTTAACTGAGTTCGCCAGGATCACCCCTGATGGCATGGTTGTGTTTTTCCCCTCCTACCTTTACATGGAATCTATTATCAGCATGTGGCAAGGTATGGGTATCCTAGATGAAGTCTGGAAATACAAGTTGATCCTGGTTGAGACACCGGATGCTCAAGAGACATCGCTGGCGCTGGAGACATATCGAACGGCTTGTTGCAATGGTAGAGGAGCGGTTCTTCTCTGTGTCGCCCGTGGAAAGGTCTCGGAAGGCATCGATTTCGATCATCAGTACGGACGAACTGTGTTGTGCATCGGTGTCCCATTTCAATACACGGAATCTCGTATTCTAAAGGCCAGATTAGAGTTCCTTCGAGAAACCTACCGTATCCGAGAGAACGATTTCTTATCTTTCGACGCCATGCGTCACGCCGCACAATGCCTAGGTCGTGTGCTTCGAGGCAAAGACGATTACGGAATCATGGTGTTAGCCGATCGTCGCTTTCAAAAGAAGCGACTTCAACTACCCAAATGGATCAACCAGGCCATGCAAGAGGTCGACGGAAATCTCAGTACTGATATGGCCGTCATCACCGCGAAACGATTCTTGCGAGATATGGCACAGCCCTTCAAGTCCAAGGATCAAGACGGTATCAGCATGTGGAGCATGGAGGATCTCAAAGAACACCAGCAGAAGATGATCGAAGACGAGATTAGGGAACATCAAGACGGCAATGCGAATGTGGCACGCATGCAAGCTGCTCAGAGGGTGGTTGATGAATACGACGATGACGACCTAGATCACGTTATGATGGATCTCGACAATCGCTAGTGGATGATGGAGAATTCGGTAATGTTGTGAATCTTGTGTACGAGGGTGGAATTCATTTGGGGAGTTTTTTTCTAGGGGTTTTAGGATGCTAGAGAAAAGCACGTATAGGCGCCGTTTACATGGCAAATTGCTTAGTTCACAGGTTTACGAACAATCATCATGCAGCTAGCTAGGCATGCAATAGCAGTCATCATCAATTCAACGTGGTCAATTAAAAGTGATTTTATTACAATTTCCCCTAGCCCAAGCGACTACCTCCTGGTATCTATACAATTATGAGGTAGTAGCTCTCCTTAACTATTGGGTAGACTTTGCAAGGTTCCAGAAATTCTCCATCTTAGACTTAGACAAGACGTCCCTGGCCTCGGTATCCGTCTCGCAAACTTTCGATCCCCATTTGCGAAAAGCGCGGGATTTAATCTCACCCTCGAATATAAGTTTACACTGATTCTCAGCCAAGTCTTTTAGATCGCCCTCTTCGGTCTCCGCCTTAAGCCATTGCTTCAGAGCGTCGTTCTGCGCGTCTTTATCTCGGGTTGGTAGGTTCTCGGTCCAGTTTATACGCTTAAGCAGTAGTTTCTTGTAATGCCGAATCGACCACTCGCCACCTTCCACAATAACCAAGTTCTGCTTCGGATGCATGATTACTATCCCCGTGAGCGATAATTGGTCCGCGTTGATGTTGATCTTATATCGGTGTTGTCCGTTCGCTAAACTGTTCACTTTAAACACCAGCATGTGTAATCCCTTCTGCGCGTCCTTCTCCTGGTTCGCGGCGAGTTTTTCGTGTTTTTGCTCCTTGGTGAGTTTACGGTCTTCGTTTGCTTGTACGTGCTTCGTGTGTCGATCTGCGATTTCGCGGTTCACGCGCGCTTCGACAGCGGTAGGATCTTTAACGGCTTCTTCACCGAGCACGCGCATTAGGTTGCCCTTCTTGACTTTGGGAGGTGGTGCGGGGACTAAGCCTAGTCGGATCTTGGCTTGTTCTTCCTTCAAATCGGCCATTCGCCGCTGGCGACGGAGTTTCGCTTGTTCAGTGGCAGTGAGGTACATGGGTTTCGGCTGGGGCGCGTTCTTGTCTTGAGGTGGTTCGATGGGGACGGGATGTTGGATGTATCGCGTGACTATGGTGTCGTCGGTATCGATCTTGACGACTTGAGGGTTCTCAATGTCGTCGTAGTTCTTGCCGTCTATTAAACCTTCGTCCCACCACTCAACATCCGGCGGTGCTTCGACCACGAAGTTCTTCTCTACGTCTTTATCTTCATCTATGCCAACTTTCCGTGTACCTGCTGCGATCTTCTTTTTTAAAGCTTCGAGAGCAGCTTGCCGTCGTAGCGCGTTTGCTTGTTGGATGTATTTGCCCTTTTGGTTGAATATAAGCTGTCGGGATTGCCTCGGCTTCGCGGTCGGTGCGCCCAAGCTCGAGTCGAAGTAAGGGTTGCTCTTGATTTCTTCTTGTGATGGACCGGTTAGGTCGAGGGGTTTCTGTTTTAGTTGTGGTCTGCCAGAATCATTGCGCGATCGTGATCCTGGGCCGGATTTCGAGTCGTTGGCCTTGCCGCCAGGTTTCCATTGTCCGATATCTTCTAAAGCCGGGTGAAGACCGACGTTTAATCCACCTTTCGCCTTGCTGGTTCCTATTGCTGCCGATACACGTTGTTTCAATGCGGCGAGCTTCGCGGCTTTGTCCGCGCCAGATTCTGCTTTTTGGATTCGTGAACCGCCATCGTTGCGTGGGGCCAGGCCAGGCGAACCGTGTCGATCCATTGGAGATGATTATAGCTGAAGCCTGAGGATACAAAATGGAGATGGATGGATCGAGAGGTGGCAGGTCGATTATTCGCTTTGGACGATGTCGAGGCTTTAGTCGAAGTGGCTCCAAGCGATGGAGTTGTGATAAAGAAAGGAAAGAAAGCTTGCCTAGATTAATTTCATCAGAATCGATCGACATACGCTTTGCTAAGTTCAAGACAAAAAGGATGAAAGGCAGCTGCCAGCCAGCAGTTCCAAGGGTTAGCGCTTGTGTCACAGTGTAGATTAGGTAGATATCGGTGATAAGGATAAGCTTGAAGTCACATGATTTATTAATTTCTGCCGTTTGGGACCGCTAAAAAGTTCGAGCTCCAAATTTTTGGCTTCGTCCTACCAACCCCACTAAAAACCGGTTCGAAGCCATTTGCTCGTTCAGTCCCTCGATATAAACTTGATAAGAAGAACTATAACGGCGCAAAATAAAAGCCATGAGTTGATAAAGTTTGCTCAGAACGCTTCAGCTCTTTGCTCACTTTATTATCTGCTTCAATCCCCCGGTTCCGAAGTTTATCTAGAGAACTGCGCTAGGTTATGAGGTTATAACGGTCCCAGCCATGAATATTTCACAACCTATCGCGTCGGCGATCGACAGCGTCGACTTCGACTTCCTTACCCCCTCCGAAATAAAAGCGATCTCAGTTAAGAGGATTGAAAACCCGACGACGTTCGACAGTCTTCTAAACCCCATACCCGGCGGTCTGTACGATCCTGCACTTGGAGCTTGGGGAGACTCAGTGTAAGCAGGATCGAATTTGCAGAACTATTGTCCCAATTTTAGATCGCATACTAATTCAGACCTGGTAGATGCACAACATGTAATCTTGCGCAACCGAATTGCCCTGGCCATGTTGGCCATATCGATCTCCCAGTCCCCGTATACCACCCAGTCTTTATGGACCAAATCCTAAGACTACTTCGAGCGCAATGTCAATATTGCTTTCGCTTTCGAATGCGACGACACGATATAAGTCTCGTTTCTTGCAAGCTACGCCTTCTCCAGTTCGGCCTAATAGATGCGGCGAACCACCTTGACGATATCACCGCCGAAACTACCGACATACCAGTAGAGGATGAAAATGAATCCGACGGTGAAGAGATCACGGGGTTCGATAAGGTAGTTCGCATGAGAGAGGCATATACTAGGACAGCCTTAAAGGAGCACAGATTGGGGACGGCCGATATCAGAAAGGGCAAGCATGAAGGCGCATCGGAAGCGAGGAGAGAGGTGCTCAAAAATTTCTTCAAAGATATGACCAAAGGCAGAACTTGCGCTACATGTGACGGCATATCTCCAAACTTCAGAAAAGATCGATTCGTCAAGATCTTTGAGAAGCCGCTCAGCGGCAAAGATCAGGCTAAGATGGCACAGCGCAATCTCCAACACAAAGATGCTCTAACGATCAGGCGGAAATCCTCTAAGGCGGACCTAGCTAAGAAGCGCAGGGACAACACGGACGAGGGAATAGCCGATATTGATCTTCAGTCGGGCGAAGAGGAGGTTGAGCAAGAGAGTAACGAAGAAGAGGAGGGAGAGGGTGAAGAATTGGATGAGAATGGCGACGTCATCATGTCAGAAGGTGCTGGTGCGCCTGCCAAATCCGCGAAAGCGAAGAAAGAAGAGGCCAAATCTCAGCAGCGCTATGTCAACTCGATGGAAGTCAAAGCACGACTACAACTTTTATTCGAAAAGGAGCAGGATATAATGGCTCTAGTCTACAACTCGAGACCTTCCGGAAAGAAACTCCCTGCGAACAACTTCTTCATACAAACTGTTCTCGTTCCGCCTAACAAATTTCGCCCTGAAGCCCGACAAGGCGATGGAGCAATTGCGGAAGCCCAGCAAAACTCACTCTATAAGCAGATCCTTTCTTCATGCACACGGATTGCGCAGATACATAAAGAAATCAAACAACATGAACATGACCCTGATTCATTAGCCCGACGACGAGATATATCCGAAATGCATGAAGCTTGCGTTAGCCTTCAGGATAGCGTGAACTCGTTAATTGATCGGGATCGAAATCCTATTCGTGGAGCGGCCGGCAAGAGAAATGAAGACGGTATCAAGCAAAAGCTCGAAAAGAAAGAAGGATTGTTCCGAAAAAACATGATGGGCAAGCGTGTAAATTACGCTGCTCGAAGTGTTATTTCCCCCGACCCGAATATCGAGACCAGCGAAATAGGTGTCCCTCCTGTTTTTGCCAAGAAGTTAACCTATCCAGAACCGGTAACAAGCCATAACTTCAGAGAAATGCAGCAGGCTGTCATCAACGGTATTGATAAGTGGCCCGGTGCTGCGGCAATTGAAAACGAGAACGGGCAAATTATCAATCTTAAGAACAAATCCGTCGATGATCGCATAGCTTTGGCTAACCAACTCCTTGCTCCGTCAAGCCACGAATATGCCGGAGTGAAAGGCAAGAAAGTTCATCGTCATCTTGGAAATGGTGATGTGGTACTCATGAATCGTCAACCTACCCTCCACAAACCGTCTATTATGGGTCACCGAGCCAGAGTCTTGCCGGGTGAGAGAACCATTCGAATGCACTACGCCAATTGTAATACGTACAATGCGGATTTCGATGGTGACGAGATGAACATGCACTTCCCACAGAATGAACTTGCGCGAGCAGAAGCCTTGAAGATCGCCGATACAGACCACCAATATCTCTCTGCCACTGCTGGAAAACCGCTTCGAGGTTTAATCCAGGACCATCTTTCCGTCTCTGTAGCCCTTTGCAGCAAGGATACTTTCTTCGACAAAGGCGCATATCACCAACTCGTATACAGTGCGTTGCGACCCGAAAGTGGGCATATCGCATCTGAGCGACTTGAACTCGTGGCGCCTGCTATCATAAAACCAGCCATGCGCTGGACGGGAAAACAGGTTATCACGACTATCCTGAAGAACATGAAACCAGCCGGTAGTGGTGACCTATGGCTTGCTGGAAAATCGCAGCTAAAGGGGAGTTCCTGGGGAAATTCTACCGAAGAAGGCGACGTATTGTTTATTGACGGTGAATTCATCACCGGTATCCTCGACAAGAATCAATTAGGACCCAGCTCGGGCGGTTTTATACATTCCATCCATGAAATCTGGGGCCCTGAGCTTGCTGCAAAACTGCTCAGTTGTCTAGGTCGACTTCTCACTCGGTATCTCAATATGCGTGCCTTCAGTTGTGGTATGGACGATCTACGACTCACACCCGAAGGCGAAAAGGACCGCAAGAGGATATTGCAAGGTGCTACTGAGATTGGCCTTGAAGTTGCCGCTAAGTTTGTGAGTTTGGGCGATCGAGCCGATATTGACAACTCGAATCCACTATTGCTGGAGCGATTGGAGGAGGTCATGCGCGATGATACGAAGCAAGAAGACTTAGATCGCATGATGAACTCGTCGTCCCGAAACCTGTCTAGTGACGTCACTACAGCCTGTCTCCCTGCAGGTCTTGAGAAGCAATTCCCTAAGAATCAGATGCAGTCGATGACAACATCCGGTGCAAAAGGAAGTAGTGTTAACGCGAACCAAATTTCTTGCAATCTTGGTCAACAAGTTCTCGAAGGTAGGAGGGTGCCTCTAATGGTGAGCGGCAAATCGCTACCTTGTTTCCGCCCCTTCGAAACCAGTATACGAGCAGGTGGCTATATCGTAAATCGTTTCTTTTCTGGTATTCGACCTCAAGAGTATTATTTCCATCACATGGCTGGACGAGAAGGTCTTATTGATACGGCCGTCAAAACATCCCGTTCCGGTTACTTGCAGAGATGTTTGATCAAGGGGATGGAAGGTCTAAAGGTGGCTTATGATTCGTCAGTACGAGACGCCGATGGATCAATGGTTCAGTTCTTATACGGAGAAGATGGTTTGGATATTACGAAACAGAAATACTTGGTTGATTTCGGTTTCGTGCTCCGCAATCAGACATCACAGGTTGACCGACTCGGTATTGCTGAGAGAGGTTGGGACCAGGAAATTTACGAATCCAAAGACTATGCTCAGAAATATCAAAAGAAAGCCATCAAGCAAGCCAAGTCAAATGACCCCAAGGCGATCGACCCCATCCACGCCGAGCTCAATCCTAACCGTCATGCCTTTGCCACCTCGGAGAAATTTTATGAGAAGGTCTCTGAGTACATCAAAGCTAACAAGGACGGTCTGATAAAGGAGAAGGGAGAGAAGAAATCATCCGGCGTGCTCATCCCCCGGAAATACGCGGAAAAGATCTTCCATTCGAAATATCTCAATTCTCTAACAGAGCCTGGCGAGGCTGTGGGTATCGTTGCTGGTCAATCCGTTGGTGAGCCTTCAACTCAGATGACGCTCAACACTTTCCATTTGGCTGGTCACTCTGCGAAGAACGTCACCCTCGGTATTCCCCGTCTAAGAGAAATTCTCATGACCGCTAGCGACAAGATTTCTACTCCGTCTATGACACTAGTGCTGAATGAGGAGCTGTCAGAAGCGGAGGGCGAGACATTCGCAAAGGCAATCAGTATCCTCCCATTATCGCACGTCCTCAACAAAGCTACAGTCAAGGAACGCGTCGGCAAAGGTATTGGTTACCGCCTAGCCAAGATGTTTGATATTCACCTCGAGTTTTTCTCATCGAATGAATACACGGAAACCTATGCAATCGGCGTTTCTGATGTCCTCAACACTCTAGAGATTAAGCTTCTCCCGATGCTTGAGAGGTTGGTCAAGAAAGAAATCAAGGCAAAGATTGATCAAGAGGGTGGTGCAGTTCCCGAAGTCGGTGTCAAGTCCGGGGTAGTAGAAATGGCATCGGGTAATCCAGAAGCCGCAGCCCGCGACGAAGATGACGATGACGACGACGATGATGAAGACGATGCGACCAATGCCAAGCAACGCGCAAATCGGGCACAAGCTGTCTCCTACGGCGCAAATGATGACGAAGACGACGAAATCCAAAGGCGGTTAGAGCGCGAGGCATCACCCGAAGATGAAGAAGAGCCTGAAGACGAAGGATTCGGCGGCAGTCCAGCTCCAGACAGTGACAATGAGAATGAAGACGAGGATAGTCGCAAGAAGGCTGGTGCTCGCGAAAGCCGTGTCAAGGAAAGAACACCAGTTGTATCTCGTTTCGAATGCGACGAAAATAAGGGAGAATGGTGCAATTTCACACTCGAATACGATTCAAGCATACCTAAAATCTTGATGTTGAGCATTGTCCAAGATGCAGTCCGAAAATCGCTCATTCAGCAAATTGAGGGTATCCGAGGATGTACCTTTGTACCCAACGAAGAAGTCCGTGACCCACAAACCGGCAAGAAGGAAAATAGGGCGGTGATACATACCAATGGTGTCAATCTCCGAGCCATGCAAAAGTACGGTGACTTCATTAACCCCAATAAAATCCAAACGAACGATATCGCAGCGGTGCTCCAGGTGTATGGCGTCGAGGCGGCACGCAGCGGAATCATTCAGGAACTGAGCGGGGTTTTCGAAAGTCACGGTATTGGTGTCGATAACCGCCACCTCAACCTCATCGGTGATTACATGACGAGAAACGGAGGATTTACTCCGTTCAACCGTATGGGATTGAAGGGTAATGTCAGTCCTTTCACCAAGATGAGTTTCGAGACGACGCTATCTTTCTTGAAGGATGCTGTTCTTGATGGTGATTGGGATGATCTTACCACACCGAGTAGCCGAATCGTTATGGGTAGGCTAGGCAAGATCGGTACGGGCGCGTTCGATGTCCTTACCAGAGCTCATCCGAAAAATGGGAAGAATGCTATGGTTTGAGGGGACGTGACGTTGTGATTCATTACTTAGGCTTCTAAAATGGGGGAGTACTTGGAGTTTGCTCTCAACATTGGTTTGAGGTACAAATATTTTAGTGGTATTTATCACGGGAATAGTAGATAGAAATGTATGATGTGTCCATATATGATTTTGTGTTTGATTGTTGAGTGATATACACGTAGTTGAAGTACACTCGGAGAAGCTACCGACTGCCAAGCAGATCCTACTCCATCTCTTTCAACCGCGTCGCACCATCGTAAGCGGGATAGTCAATAGAATATGAAAATGCCGATTCAAAAATGCATTACACTCATTTTGAAGTCAATATTCATCCAAGGTGATCAGAAGTGGTAGATACTCTATTTATTTGGTAGAATTTGTGTCATGAATACGAGGCGTGCGTATTTCAGCCCACCGAGCTCCGTGCTCAGCATCCGACGCCCACTTTGTTTACATGTTGATAACCAAGTCATTCCGCTCGTGGGCGAAGATTAACGAGAACAATTATGGAATAATTAATTGCAAAGATAATAAATTCAACCTCTGCAACTGTATCAAATCGAGATAATTTTCATTATGAGGCATACGATGCGCGAGGATCATAAGTTTAGGATATGCTGAGCTGGCTGGGCATCGTCTTCTTCCCCTCCCCTCGGAGTTTTTTGCCATCGTGATAATTATTCACACACAAAATTCCACAATAGAAATAAATATACCTATTAACCACAAGAAATACCAATCTAACACTTATCCATCGTAGCGAGGTTCGACTCTAACCCTAACATAAGTGCCCAACAAGATGCCGCGATCGCTGCCTGGAGGGGCATGGTCGGGCGTGGACCGATCGGCTTCTACACCATTAATCTTGAGGGGGATCTGCTTTGAACGTGAACTAGTATTAAGATGAACATTTATTAAACTATGAATAACATATGAAACACGCCAAAACCTCTATTCTTCGTAGTCACTCGACATTTCCCATCATCGCTGAAAAATAGCCCGAAAATAACGAGGCGTTCATAAAGCCAATCACCATTTCGCGGTGACAATACTCCGTACCTATTACGTATGCTTGATAGAACATAGGCCTAAATACTTCGCCTGAAGAGATGATGACGCGATAAGCCTCCATGTTATGAAGACATGAGGCTGTAGAGGACTGTCATTACCATTCATGTTGAAGAACAATGCTAATATGAAACAAGAAGCGTGATAGTTATATATCATGTATCATTATCTAGGTAGATAGACAACCTATCAACTATTAGAACAAAGGCCGAGGCATAGAGATGGCGGCGAATATCATGGTACTTGAGTGGCAACACCATAAACAAAGCGCAAGCGATGTATCAGATCACAATAAAATCGAAGCAGTGATAGGCATCAGCATAGCGGCCACTGCAGGATATGTGGATGTGATGCATGTCAGAAACGATGGCTTCAATCAAACTACGGTTCAAGTCACACGTGCAAATAGAAGACATTCAGATTATTTGTTCATGTTTTATGATTCATGTGTTCAGTATCGCAGTGCTCGTCAGCAACCTGCCTATGACTGATGTACAACCCTTAACCGTGCAAAAAGCAAACGCATTCGCAAACGCCATTGATTAACCTTTCCCTGTAAAACCGAGTCGTCATGCCATCCCTGTGAGAATCATAAAGTGCAGCGTCTGCCCAAAGTTCCTTCATCCACCAAGGCCACTATAGAACAAGAGTGGCACTCTAGTTGCGCTCACCACGGAGGCGGCGGGCAAGTTGGATGTCCTTCTGCAATGGTTGTTAGTGATATGTAATAATAGGTAGTGATACTATTGGGTATGCTTACAGATTGGATGGTGACACGCTTGGCGTGGATGGCGCACAGGTTGGTGTCTTCAAAGAGGGAGACGAGGTAAGACTCGACGGACTCCTGGAGAGCACCGATGGCGGAGGACTGGAAGCGGAGGTCGGACTTGAAGTCTTGAGCGATCTCACGAACCTGTTTACGCGTCGCGTTAGTGAACTGTTGATTGATCGTGATTGCGGGGAAGTCGTGTTGCAGAAGTTGCGACCGTGCCACACATGTATCCAATGACACGGATGTGAAGCGACAGCGACGCGATTGATTGATTGATTGAGTGATGACTTACCAGACGCTGGAAGGGGAGCTTGCGGATCAAAAGCTCAGTCGACTTCTGGTAGCGACGAATTTCACGAAGAGCGACGGTACCAGGCTTGTAGCGGTGAGGCTTCTTGACACCTCCGGTAGAGGGTGCGCTCTTGCGGGCAGCCTTGGAAGCGAGCTGCTTACGGGGAGCCTTGCCACCAGTGGACTTACGGGCGGTCTGCTTAGTGCGGGCCATTGTAGATGATGTTGGTGATTGATTTGGTGATGAAAAGGTTGATGAAAGTAGATGTATTGATGGTTGTTGTTGATGGTAGATTGAGCTAAAGACTCTGGAAGTGGGTTGTGAATGATGAAAAGAAAATGGATTGGAGGAAGGGTGGGGGACTGGATTAAATATGTGAGGAGGTGGGTCTTCCCTCTGGCTGATTGTGTGTGTAAGGGAAGGTGCCTGGGGCATTAACTAATCAGATGGCCAGTGCGTAAATGCAGGATCAGAGAAAAATCAAATTCGCACCTGCTGGGCGTTGTGTTGTTGATTATTTTTTTCGGGGGGAGACAGGGGTGCGTTTTGTTATTCGAATTGCTGTGCTTTTTAGGTGGGAAATTCTACGTCTTAGTTGCCCTTCAAGCCTTCCTAATTTCTGATTGGGTGCATCAGGAATCCCACCTCCACAATTAAAAAAAGACCTTACTACTTTCGTAACATCGAATACTCCAAATCAAGAAAGAGGCAACAAAATACGTACACATTGCCATGTCCAAACCGATAAGACATTTGATAATGCAGCTGCGTTCCTAATGGCGCGATCTTGCCCTGGCTAAAGAATCAGATCACAGTAAAAAGGAAACATGCATGGCGAAAATGGGTAGCCGCAGCCCGGGGGAATTTAATGTACTTATGTACCTATCTAAGAATTCAATACATATTATTTTAATAGTCACTAAATAAATTCAATTACTACTATTATTCACAGTATTGATTAGATGCTAGTATGTAATTATTATTATTAACTTTACAGTGCTTTGTAGTGTGACGGTAGGTAGTTCTGTAGTAGAACATGTAGGTGCCTAAGGCATCAAAGTGGTCGGAACACTATGTACATGTGACTTGCCATACACAATTCTTTTAGAACAGGGCACTAAAAGGACAATTCACTGTGCAAACTCTAGAAATGAAACCTATTTAGGTTAGCTCTTCGACATAATAAAATAAAAGTGACGGAGGAAATAAACGATTAAGCTGAAGTTTAATGGAAATGCAGTAGACTTTCTGCCGTGTGTCCGTAAGATCGGTAAACTATGGCCAGTGAAAAAAAACGAGCGCCGAAGAAACACAATTTAATGATTGGTCGAAATTGATTTAAGGTTTACATGCGAATCGTCTTGAACTGGATTAGCTTTATAATTGTGGGTGCTGCGCAACGGCCCCAGGGAGCTTAAAGTCTTTTTTTCGATTGGCCAGAACAGTATAATCTTTATTTTTTGGAGTGGGGCTGATCAGGCACGGGTTCGCGTCAAATCCCAGGCTGATCTGATTCTCGAGCTACCGTTACCCGCCCACTTCCTTATTTAAAACCCGTCACTTTTTCCCCACGTCTTAATCTTCCATCTTCATAACATCCATCCATCCCGCTCTCTGCATATCAGCCTCATCGCACGAACTCGTGTCAACTCTACAATACCAAAACACTTAATCTTTACCCACTTCTCAACCTTTATTCAATATGACTGGACGTAAGTATTTCATTTAGTATCTTCAGCTGCATCTAGCATCGCCTTGCTTCGTTTCAGCTTGTGCTTCATTAGAGCCTCATCGCTAACGCGTCTCAATCTATAGGCGGCAAAGGTGGCAAGGGCCTCGGAAAGGGAGGTGCCAAGCGTCACCGAAAGATTCTTCGTGACAACATCCAGGGTATTACCAAGCCCGCTATCCGACGTCTCGCTCGTCGTGGTGGTGTCAAGCGTATCTCGGCCAGTAAGTCCCCATTTAACCCATCGCGTCGGTCGCATTAATCCACTAACGCGTCTACTCTACAGTGATCTACGAGGAGACCCGTGGTGTCCTAAAGTCCTTCCTTGAGGGTGTCATCCGTGACGCCGTCACCTACACCGAGCACGCCAAGCGCAAGACCGTCACCTCTCTAGATGTCGTCTACGCCCTGAAGCGACAAGGCCGCACCCTTTACGGTTTCGGTGGTTAAGCATTTTAATGGTTTGGGGAAGGGTTTTTTCACGTCTGTTACGAGAGTCATTTTTCGCAATTGCCACATACTTTTGCACCGTGGTTGGTCATGATAATGGGATCGGGTTCTGCGTTTAGGGTGTTCACTGTACCATAAGGGAATCGGGGGGTCAACTACACAGATTTGCCTGACGAGGCATAATCAATTCGATGAACACAATACATTGCCTGCCTCTGCCTGTGACTTGCCTTCTGTTCCGCGTAGCCTTAATCACCTACCTAAGTAATCTTTGATTAATCATGCCTAGCTATCTTTTGTATCGCGACATACCCTACATTGGGTCGATGCCGTTGGTGTTCACTTGAAAATGTGAGTCATGAGTAGACTAGTTACCCCGCGCGGTAGATGCCTATTGCAGTATTGCGTGACTCATTAACCTACGTTCGTGGGATTCTGGCGATGTGTTGGCTTGTTGGTTCAGTATTCCATACCATCCACATGACACGTACCTTAACCCTCATAGGCATATATTCTGTTGATACATATACACCGCATGCGTCCATGATATTCATCTTTGGCGTGTTGGTTCAGTACGCTCTTCGAAGATAATTTCCCAGTCGCTTAGTTTCTACCCAATAGATCACCATGTCATCAAGATGTCTGACTTAAAGTGTAGGACTCGGAGTACAACCAGACTTACAACCTTGGAGAACATCAACGTGATACCATATTAGTGGGAAATCTCAGCCTTACTCGAGAAGGCAAGGAATCCAATATTACTAGGTCCCAAGTTACGGTCGTATGGTGATAGGTAGGCATATACGCTCATGCACGCCTCGTTCGGTCACGCATGGCATCACATAAGTCCATGGATCAATGTTATTGTTCCTATTCGCTGTCTTATATGGAATATGACCTATTTTCTCCCAATACTGAATTGCCTTGCATATACATGTTGGTGGCTAAATGCCGCATGGGAAGTGAAGCCATATTGTACAAGTATGAATGTGTGAATACGGGACACATGTGCCGCACAATCGTCCGTGTGGGATTAAATATACATATTTCATTTCCTCTGACTATTTCAAATCTGACTTACATGTTGATTGGTTAATATATACCGATGTGTTGTTTGATCTCGAATTATTGAATGTTGTGGAAATGTGTAATATTTACAGATATCCATATATTCACGACAGAAATATTTCTGCCTATTGAGTATTGAGCTCTATTATGCATTCTAGAATCCCTAAAATATTTTAAATATTATATTATTATCTTCGTTTACATGGCACGTGTTTTCTTGTGTCAGTTGCTCGCATGTGGTTTCATTAAGTAGATGACGAAAATACGAATTGTAGATAATATGACGATAAGTATTCAATGAACCCTTTGATATTTATTTAATGTCCTTTTTGGGATATGTTCGTTACATAGAGGTGGATAGCTTTCGTAAAAACGCCTATAAAATATTTTGAGGTTGTTGGGAATGTGAATTCCGTAATTTGATATCAAGAATAAATGTTGAGAATTAATTTTCGAAATACCAAAAAAACACGACATGCCATGATATAAAGCATTTCCATCATATTTACATTCAAATATTCAATTCAATCGTACCTAGGTATTCAGCATTTGTTTGGGCCTTATTGTATTTGCGTGGGTTGAATGATGTATTTCGATTAATATTCGATACTTCTTGGATAACTCCCAGGTCCTATACTCGCTCACCCCAGATAGCATCACTTGTATATCCCATTCTAATAGTCGCATGGGGTAGGCACCGACGCGCTATTTGTGGGGAAATATAATACCAATATTCATTTCTCAAGGAAGAATGTAAGAAAAAAAAATATGGATGTGGCTTATTCGTGTCAAGATACCTCATAATTATCCCAACCATAGAACACACATGACGAGAGCAACATGAAAGCAACTACTTCATCCACCAAGATAAACCAGGCGCTAATACGTAATTCAATATCCTATAAGGCTCAGAGTAGGCACCCGTAAATGTACACGGCGTACGCGTCCCTATGTTGGAGCTATCATGAACACGGATCCAACACGAAACTTACGTAGTACTGCTCACGACACCGACAACTTCCCTAACATCACACTGGAGAGAGAGCTCCATAGCTGACAGTATCGGGTGATAGGATCAAGCAAACCTCAAATCTCCTGGGTGCTCAAAGAGTACCTATTTACGGAGTGGGCTACTCCGACCCCGTGCCACGCTGTTGCCTGGATGACACATCACCTTCATATACTACCACGGATAGGCACATATTAGGCGGCTGAACAACTCCAAGGCTCCCATTCCACGGAATGTATCCGAAGCCATGTATTCATGGGTGATACCGAACACTCGGATCCCTGTGAATACAGCCTCCAATTGGTAGGTATTCAAGGCTGTCGACATTTCACCGTAGATAAAATTGAACAGCCCCGTGAGTCATAATACATATTTATAAGCCATGCTGGAAGCCTCATGCGGCTAACGGAAAGGGTGTATGCACAGGATATATGAAGTGTCACATATGTACATCTAGCCTCATTTTGCAAGGGTGAATCTATCCCAAGTATCTATCCGAGCGGCTACATGCATGATCTGCTTGTATCATGTACTGTACATGGAATATTGATTTAGCACCATTCTTCCGGGCAAGGGTTTAAGTCTATCTAGACGGTATCTGGCCATAAAGGTTTACCGGTCACTTGTGACTGAGACTCGCGGCGTTGGCGCTGGTACAGCTAAACTATCAAATGATGGCCTTCCGGGTTAGGCGCTACTATCTGAACGACTATCTAATATACTAGGTACCTAGCTGTTTCTAGGTAATGAGTAATCGCTGCGGACCACGGGGATATCAAAAACCCGGCTCAGCTGGCCGATGACCAATACTTTCCATGTTATCCGAACTACAATAGGGTTAAACATTCATCCCAGGGCCATGATATTAGACACCCATTTCAATACCTAGGTAGCCACGACATACGCGGCGTGGAATCATGGATCCTTCTCCGTGATGAGTCAAATCGATGAATGACTGCCTCGCCGAATCCCGTCCTAGCGCCACGTATATGCTGGGACAGACAATCTCTAAATAAGGAGCCCCTTCATGGGATTACCGTCGTTGCCTTGAGCTGGGCGAGCGGGATGCTGCAGTGCGGCAGCCACACCTCGGGAAGATGCGTCTGTGTAACCTCGGAACCAATCTCCCTCGATATGCGGATGTCTTCATCCGCAAACCATACCAACCTCCCGATTTCCTATTCCACTAGGAACAGAGCCATCATCTAAATACCCACGAAACCATGTAACTGGCCGTCGCATAAAAATGCGCCAACTCACCAGCCACACAGTGCAAGACTTCTTGCCCCACAAAGAAAGAAAGAGAAAGAGAAAACAAAAAGTGCAAAGAAAAGGGAGAAAAGAAAGGTCAAAACAAAAGAGAAAGAGAAAGAAAGAAAGAAATGCCCTCGGAGTCTACTGGGTTAATATGTCCGACGGCATGTGGGGACGACGCCGTGGCTGATTAGAAAAAAGGAAGTTGGTGGGATTTTTTTGACGCGAAAATACGCGTGGAAATGCCCATTTGTGGGTTAGATTGGGTGGATTAGTCGCGTTTTGCGACATGAAAGGGATTAATTACTAGGGATTTTTGGCTAGGATTGGGATAGTATCGTTTTAATCACTCGGTTCATATTTTAAATATTTAAATGTCCTATTTCCGACTTTCAATTTGTTGATTTAGTCGTTTTATTCACATTGTTGACTGATGGTCGCCTAATCGATTATTAAGCCTAGGCAATATGAGCCATGTGCATACGCCTTACTAATGTTTCTCACCTGATGACTGTAGGATGCAGCGGGAGGAATACTCGAGCATTGCAAGTTTTTGTGAGATGACGATTGCAATCCTTCCCGTTTGGAAGGAGTGCATCTACGCGGAGGTGCCGTGGTTGCCCGCGGGCTACGGCCGGGCGACCTGCGTACCGGCTGACCGGTACCGTAGTAGGTTGTAAAATTCATGACAGGAATGCCCGGCATACGTGCGACGTACTTCGCAAATATGGCTCGGCTATTTTTCAATGCCGGCGCGAGACAATGCGCGGAATTAGCGGATTGAGTAACCCAACGCTTCAGGATTTGGTGTTACTCAAATACTGGGCTAGGCGACGTTACACGACCGCGGCCTCATGTCTTGTAGGTATGTCAGATTATTTCAAAATGCGTTGTGCTGTGTGACAACCCGTGTCCGGCTGGATGATGTATGCTTGGTGAGTTAGTAATCCTTGGTATTCGCATTGTTGGAAAAAGGGGGCTCGTGATAGTGGAGATTATTTTTCTCTGGGACTGCTGAAATGTTACCTGCGAAAATTTTCCCTACCAGTCGGCCAGTAGTAAAATTTTTGCGTGTTGGTAGGTTGCATTTGACTAGTCTTGTTAAATCTAGATCTGTATGTGACCACGATCTTGACGGGTGTGGCTTAGCTAGCACAGGCGTTCGGCAGGCGCCGGGACGGGTGAAAAAACATGGTCGATTATGCGGGGAAGAATGATTGAAAAAGTAAAAGTTGTAGAGGACATGTACCTTAGAAGGGTGCGTGCACTCTATTGTGCCCCTATTGTGCGCCATTAGCCAGGGTGCCAGGGGGTCGGTATGTGAAAGCCACGGTACCGGCCCCGACCCCGACCGAGGCTGTGGTACATACTGAAGATTGTAGAACAATACAACTCATGGGTTCTAGGCTTGAAAGAAAGAAAGGGAGAAAAAAAAAAGTTATGATATCTAAGTGTAACGTAACAATGTCTTAGACCTCGTGTTTCTGAATACCCCATATTCGTAGGTCTGGCCGTTGTCTAAGCGGCCCTATTCGGTGGAAGCGAGTAAATCAGTCCCACGTGGGAAACCATGAAGAGGGCTGAATTGTCATTTTCAGCTACCAATGTGTTGCAGTTGCAGCGGTAGTAGATCGGGGGTACACAGCATGAATGATGGGGGAATCGCAATCGCATTTCCAACTTTCCCATGTTCTAGAAGACATAGATTCGTGCTTTGCTGTCTGTCAGCACTATGAGTCGATACCCGAAAAAGGGCTGTGCGCGCTTATGCCCCTTGCTATTTTCGGGTACTGGTAACCTTGCTGGTTCCTGAAATGGCTGCCTGTCTGACAAGTATAGTCAAGTATGATGAGGTGGGTATTACAGACTCATATGCGATTGAAAGCGATCGTAGCCGTTGGTGAAAAGTGAATCATCGCCGGGTGTATGCGTGGTCAAGGTAGACCCGGCCATCTGTTAGGTGTAGATATTGGGCGGCCTCCCAATCCCTATTGACATCATATGTACCTCCGTACTTGTTGAATTATTTGAAATAAATCGGGAGAAAATAAATACATCCCCTATGTATACTATACCTAAGTATGCGTCCCATTGAATCATAAAGTTACTATACCTATTTCAGTCCCGTGTTTGCGGATTCGGGTCGCTTACACGAACGGTAGAACGGAGTAGATGGGGAAGATGAAGGACGGAAATCGGAAATAATTGACCGGGTCATCCGACATGCAAGGTACCTGTGCAGCGATGCAGCACAGCCACTTTTATTAATGCGTGGTTCCTGGATTTTTTTTATTTTTTAAGTCTTATTTTAGTATGATCACGCATCATGGAGAACCTTCCACGGAAATACTATAATCTTTTCTCTTGAATAAAAATTTTCTTACCAAGCCTAGAATCCAATAATTCTGATTCCAGATTCTCGGGTCTTAATTGTGCCAACGAGGAGTGTAACCAAAATTCAATTGCCGGACAGGGGTATAATGGGGAACCAATTGGTCTAGCCTTGGAACGGCGAACGCCGTTGGCCAGACGTACATATTGTCAAAGTTATTCAGAACCATTCAAACGTTGTGAACGGGCTTTGTGTGTGTCACGTGGTCCTTCGGTTCTGCACACCCCGGGCTCGGGATCTGCGTATCAACCGGAAATAAAGAATGTCACAATTCTGTATGCTACTCATTGGTGTGAAGAAAAGAAGAAAAAAAGGAAAAAAAAAATGAATGTCAGTCATGCTGTGTTGTAATCAACACCATTGTCCTAATGCAGGATCTAGGGCGTCGGACTCATCGGCATGTTGATTAGATTTTAAGGCGCCTAATCGGACATCCTAGTCCGATGATACCTCGTAGGGCTGAATAAGACCTGGATCGAATGCCGAGACATTTGGAAATGTGTGTACCAATATTTCCCCGGAGATGAAATTTTTTATTTTTTATTTTTTCAATTTTTATTCTTACTTTTTGAAGAATTTGAAATCCCGGGGGTAATCGATATAATGAACCAAAAGGAGAATCCGGAATGATTATGTTGCATAATAGCCGCATCCTAAGGCCGTAAACCCGAAGCTGCGCAAGTAATAATGCGGTTCGGCCTTAATTAAATGATCCTTTACTTGTTACATCGTAAACTCCATCAGTTCCGATGCGCTGAATGTCCGCAAGGATGAAGACGAAGCGCCGAGGTAAGACTCATTTGCAGATACATTTCCCGGCAACTCCATTTTGTTCATTTCATGATTGTCGCATTCACTACATATGTTTAATTCAAAATGGTTCATGATTAGTATTATGCGGGATTATGACTGTGGCACGACGGTGACCCGACCAACACGAGAGATGATCTGACTGGTACCTGACATGTGACCCGTTCTCCGCGGTGGTTCTAGATCTTGCGCACGTGGATCTATGTACCATCCCAAGGAGTGTTCTGGGCTCGTACCTGTATTTAGAAGGGATGTATGTATCTTTGTGCATAATTCGAATTAAACATGGCTGCATGCGGTTATCATGCCATTACCTTGCTTGTGTGTATGTGTGTATCAGTCAACGCCTCTTGTCTTAACCGCAGAATTGAGTCTCTTCGGAAAGTCTTGCCAAGAATGGAAATATGCGGAGAAAAATCTGGTCTCGATCCGCTGAGAAAATGTGGCTTGTTAAGCAGTATGAAGCATCTAGAAGTGGCAGTGCACCTGGACGGGTCGGTCTTCGCGAATTGGAAGAGACCCTGACGGATATACATCGGAAACCGAGGAAAGGAAAGGTACGTATTCGAAGGATACTTACATCCTGACGTACATAATGCAAACACAATTGAGAAAATGGTGTGTCGGACAGGTATCGGACTAAGTAGGCCTAAAGGGGGAGTAATGATGCAAAGCTAGGAAGAAAATGAGATAAAATAGAAACTAGACGTATCAGAGTATGTAAGTACCTAGGTACATGAGAAAAGGTCTCAACGATCAAATGTTGTACGACCAATTGAGATCGACCCACTTTGAATGCATCTTGAATCAGTACATAGTACAAGGCCAGCGCACCCCTGTCGGGCCTCCCATCCATGGATAAGAAGTGCAAACTATATACGTCATTTCAGCGCCAAGGGACCAGGGCTTCTCCACCTGTGCGCCCATGTACATTTTTTCCCTACACATCCATCATTCTGCTTCCTTGTCCATTACCCCCATTACCCAACAATACGCCCTAACAACCCAAAGACCCAATAGGCATCAACGTACCTACTACAGATCTCTCTCTGGCTTCCCCGAAGATGAATAATTACATGCTACATGCAATGGGCGCTACTACTACCATGTATGCAGAATGTATTAACAATATGGACCCGTTACCTCCCTCCGGATAAACATTATATATCATCGTCAAACACCGTCTTATTCCGCATCATCCGTCCACATCAAGACAGGCAAAGATAAGAACAAGAGTTAGAATAAGACTCATACTACACACCGACCAAACTCCGACTTGCATTCGACCGGGGCAGCATTACAGATAACATCTTGCGACGGTAGCCTAGAAGCCGAATCGGACACGCAAGTCGAAGACAAAGAAAGACACAGCATCCAAAGTCAATAAACCTGGTTGGGCCACATGACCTAAGTGCTTTATTATCAAGCCAACATCATTGTTACGGGCTCCAGCACCTGACGATTACTCATTCGATTCGAAGAGGGGAGAAAGAGTTGTCTATAAGGGAATAGTCTCAGTCTTGATTGGTGACTTGATTTGGAGCGGTGGAATCCGGTTCCGAGTCGTCAGTACCCAAATAAGGTTACTAGCAAAGAACTTTGAAAAGCTAGGAGGATCTTCCTGTTAGGGTTCACTTTGAGCTTGTTAAACTAGAGACAAGGGACTGGAAACAGTTTCCTTGTACCTCGGAAGTACCTAGGTACTTGTCACCCTCCCTCTCCCCTGGTCCCCGATTGTACGGCCGTCATTGGACCCTCCTATTTAATCATCGACACTCGCCACTCCCGGGCCCTTTACCTTCCACCCCACACTTTATCATCTACACTTACCAAACTAATATACACTTACCCTACGTCTGAACTACATTAAAACTCTTTTAATCCTTTTGAATACGAAATACACACGCAATCGCAAACACAAAAGAAAATTAAAATCGAATATACGTTCCGACACCAGTTTCACTCGTTCGACTCCATCGCATCGTCACACAATATGATGCAGATGCTTGATCAAAATAACTTTACATCGAGAAATCACCAAACCTACCCATTCTTCTCGCAACAGTCCCTCGACGGCAGCTCGAGTACGAATAACGCTTTTAATCCCTCGACGTCGCTCTCGAACCTCGATACCGCTGCCGCCGCCATCGCTGCTACTCAGCGATATAGGACGCCGGCAACGCCGTCGCAACAGGGCTTTGACGGGGGGAACAGCAGCCAGAGTCTCACACAAGTACCCGACTTGATGCCGTCGGATTCGTGGATGCTTCACAGCAATCAGCAAACCCCAAGGGCAACACATCGCTTCAGCCATCAGCGCGAATCTTCGCTCTCCTCGTTAGGGTCCAATGGTCCAGCGTCGCCATACAATGCGAATACCTCGAACCCGCATATCGCCGTCGCCGACTCGAATAGTGATGGGTACCACGACATGAGTGGTGGCGATAACCACTACGCGTATAACATCGGAAAATCGTTGCCTATGTCCGACAACTTCTACACGAACGCCTTGGCCAACTTCAACAGCAACAACCGCGATGGCAACATTACTAATGTGAATCGCAATGGCCACCACAATAGCCGAGATGTTTCTAGCGGTCAACACATGTCGCGCGATGTAGCCTCGGTAGACGGCCTACCAAACCTAGCGAATCAGCAACACAGGTTCAGGAATGACCGAGGCTTAGCACCGCACGCAGAGCTGGCGATTGGTGGTGGAAGTTCGGCGACAAGATCTCATCCTGTATCGGTGGCGAGTTCTATCGCAGGCGGTGACTCACCAGCTACTCCCTCCTTCCACGAGACCGAAGATGACTGTCGAAGACCAAGGAATGGTGAGGCCTCCATCCATGCGGCGCATCTTCTATGCGACCCTGATTATGACCCTGAATGTGAAGATTACTTACACTTTTTTGATGATTCAGTTTTTCCCAACAACAATGTTCCGAAGCTAGACCGCACAATGACAGATATCTATAACGACGAGTTATACAACCCCAATTTTACAATCACGTCAGCTTCTCCACCGCCTCAAACTCAGCTCGCTATGTCACCGACAAGTGAGATATTTGCCCAGAGGCTTCAAGCCGCCAATAGCCAACACTTAAGTGCGGTGCAGTCGCCTGTCTCAAACCCTCCTCGAGATGACCAGTCTCCATTTCGCCAAGGTTCTCCATACGCCTCCGCTATCAACGACTTTCCTCAAGTGGGCGTAGAGCAAATGCGACTTGGATCCGCTCGACAGATGCACCAGCAGAGAAAGGCGGAACGAGACGCAAAAGAACTACAGCAGCAACTAGCACGCGGCTCCGCACAGCAACAAGGCACTCCTAATACGATTTCGCCCAAGGACGCGATGCTTGACTTCAACGAATCTGACGACGGCGCTAACATGCCTCTATTCCCGCCACAGGAGACTAATAGTTACAATATGGAGCCGGCTAGCAATGACAACACGCATGTGGTTTCTAGAAACATCTCGCAACAGTCGAGTCCGTCTTTTCAGTCGGTATCCTCGACCCCGATACACAGCGGGTTCAACTTTTCCATGCCGAGCAACATTCAGCTGCCCCAACAATATCCATTCGTCAGACAACAACCGCAGCATGCGACGCCCACAGCCTCGACATATTCGAGGGTGAGTTCTACTGAGGCCACGAATTCTGATAGCGGCGATGCGCCAAGTCAGAAACCAGCAGGATCCAGCGCCGATGGTGGTACCTACACTTGTACGTATCACGGTTGTACTCTACGGTTTGAAACGCCAGCCCTGCTACAGAAGCACAAGCGCGAGGGACATCGACAAGCCAATGCCCTCAGCCAGGTTAGATCGTCACCATCTACATCTACCGGATTGCCGGGCGCCGTATTAAACAGTCAGGCCGGGCCGCATAAATGCGAAAGAATCAACCCTAGCACAGGCAAGCCATGCAATACGATATTCTCTAGGCCCTACGACCTTACGCGACACGAAGATACGATTCACAATGCACGCAAGCAAAAGGTTCGTTGCGACCTTTGTACCGAGGAGAAAACATTTAGTCGTGCAGATGCTCTAACGAGGCACTATCGCGTGTGCCACCCTGACGTCGAGTTCCCAGGCAAGCACCGCAGACGAGGTGGTGTTGGCGTATGAGCTGGCGAATAGTGAAAGTCTGAACTCTGCAACGTATTCCTCCGATGCCAAGGCAGTGCGAATTTCGAATATGCAGGCGATGATGTTCCTGGGCGGAGAGGGCACTCGAAAGGTCTGGAAGCTGGACCAGGCCCCAATGCAGGCATACATGCATTAGGGGATGCATGCAAAGCCGAGGTGTACAGGTGGGGGTTCCGTTGACGTTGGAACGAAGGATCGATATCAGGGTCCAACGTCAATCTGCAGGGTCCTGCGGGCTAACGATGCACCTGGCTATTTACGGCATGGTCGCATTTTAGCGATAGTACGGCTTCTAGGTAGGACCCGCGGGCCAGACTGCTGATCAATCAGGATCCTGGGATTTAGAACCGATTTAGAACCCAAACTCATCCCCACAGCACCCATGACTGGGCACCCTACCGCTATGACGTCTCCCCATGACGTAACTTTTCAACCCTTTCGAAGGGCTTTCGGGCGTGGGGCCATTCAGTGCAACAGCATCACCACCTACATCATATTCCATATCGCTTATCATCGTTTTGCATCATTGACACCCATTTCTGGTACTTTCTACCGGAACAGCTCATCCATGGTTCCGTTTTCTGACGAGCTCCATGTAACCATCACGATTGACCGATCAACTTACGGCTCTTTATGGGATACGCATTATGATGTTTCGCATCTGTCATCACTTTGCATCGATTCAGACGCGCACACCTCTTTCTCTTGCGGATATCCGCAGGGAGTGGGCTTGGCGTCATTTCGGGAGCAGAATCTATCTATCTAATCATCAAATTGTTTTGGGCCGTAAATGGATGGGTTCTGTTTTTCCCTTGTCCATTCATGCCACTCTGCTTCACCTTTAGGAATTTTCCTTACGTCATCTATATATTCCATTATTTTTTTTTCTTCATGGGCTTACGGGTTCGGGTAACTTATAGACATGGGGAAACCAAAAAATTGGCCGGGATCGGATCAGCGATTGAAATTTCTTCCATTTTTACTCTTTCTATTATCCATTTAATGCTTGTTCAACTGTACAATTTTTTCGTCCCGCCAATGGGCAGCTGTCTATGACCATTACACCACTATATTGTTGCACTTTTGAGGGTGCTCTACTTGCTGTACGATTCTCTGGCGGGGAAAAGAAAGACAAAAGCATTTGAACGTGATTGGGGAAGAGGAGGCATATGACGAGACGAATACTCTTAATTACGACTTGTACGATCAGCGGCTATTTTTTATTTGTTTTTTTTTTTCCAGTGCATTTCATTTCTTTCAGCTATCGCCTTGATCGGCAAGCACAGCACTGGGTCGGCAACACAGGACCATTATTAAAAGCAGGGAGAGTTTGATTGTCGGTAAAAAAAAAGATTGGTATATTATTTTTATTGTACGATAACGGATTGACGGTCAACTAAAACAAAAAGAGGAGAGAAAAGAAAGCCGATGCGATGCACGAGCTTCCTCCTTCAACGATAGATTATGTCCTGCGAGGGTACACTTAATAATACTACCTACCTAACTACCTAGTACTGTATACAACATATTATAATATGAGATGTTTAGAAATGTTTCTTCGAAAATGTGCTTTGGTATAGTGTCTGTCGAATATCATGTTATTGTCGAGTGCATGCATACGTGTTGGAATCCTGACGGTGTGTGCAGATTAAGCTTATATTTTGAGGCGCGCAACCTATGGTGCCTCGAAAAACAGGCCATCTCTCAATCGCAAGGCTTGCTATTGGTTCCCTTGGCTAACAAAGAGGTCCCTTGCCCAAGGGAGCGGGTGTAAGTGCGGACCCTGTTTGTGTGCATAGTGTAAGGGAAAGTTTGCTTGCTTACTTCCAAGATATTATCATGTACATATGTATTTACTAGGGTATTAAACGCATGTATGCCCGGGCTTACACAACATGTACTATTTACGCCGTCCGTACGGCTGTCTTACTTAAATCTTGGAAATATTATGATTTATCATTATTGTATTTTTTTTTTCTTCATTCTACCTCGTTTATAATTGTTCTTTTTGTTACGCTCCGATGTAGGTAGACATATGTATGTGTAAGGTAATTACCGCAATGCGCGTGGGTTTGGTGCGCGCATCGTAGATATGACTGGCATCTGATGTCTCCACGTATCTCGCGATGGCTCAACGAATAGACAAATGCCAAGGTTGGTCGTAATTGATGCGTATTGGTGACAGCTCCGAGTCTTCTCGTTTGAACTTGCTTGCTTGCTGTAAGTAAGATAAGGTATGTAGGGCAAGAAAAAAAATGAAACGAATTGAATGAGAGAGCCTGCTTGTTAGGTATCATCGTCTTACCCCTACCTACCTCAAGCTCTTCCCTAGATAGCTCTCATCTCCTGCATTACATACATGTAGGTACATCTACCACATCCACCCATAAAATCCATACTCATCAGGCATAACAGAACCGAAAGGGAAGCGTAAACGAAGAAGGGTTGTTTAGAAATGACAAGTTACATTCAACACAATCACCCCGTGTAAGCACTTTAAGCAATCGGAGCTACGATCTATTTCTATTTTTACATTTACTTTCATACGATAATCTTTTTCTCCTGTGATAAATTACCAACCTCGTATGTTGATGTATTGTATGTATTAAAAAATTGATAGACGGATTTACATACATATGTAGCAGGGAATTAAGTACATACCTAGGTACATACATACGTGATGGTGCGTTCGTATACCCGTGTGTAACCCCCCCGAACAAGGATCCTCTAAAATAAATACGTACATAAAGTATCGACCTAAGTAAGGGTACTTGCGGGACTACTGCACGACATCATGTTCGTTTGCATGACCACCTCCCTAGGCCCAACAATGACGTAACCTGGCATAGGGATGAAGGACCTGACCCTCGTCGCTGTGCAAGTTTATCACTCGTATATTGAGGCATACTCCATTCGATCGTAAATTGAACAACGCTATGGTGCAGTTTGCAGTGTGGTATACGGAATATGTACCGGTCATGTACGTATGTGTAAAAAGGAAATAGTCGCAACACAAATCCTGGTTCCTTCCAAGTACTGCATACATACTTCGTACCTGGTCGAGAGCGAGTTCACTCCATTGTCAGTAACCTCGCTTTGTCAGCCAGTTTTTTCTGGTCTGTTCTGGGGTCTGCGGGGGTAGCCGGGGCCACCCGAGCGTAGTACAAATGTACTTCGCCCGCTGAGCCACACGTTTACAAATGTGGCTACAAGGTCATCTGTGGCGGTGACGTATATACGTGTATACGTGCTCAGGAACAAGCCACGCGGCGGCCAGGTACGCGAATCCTTTGCTACCTAGAACCGTTTCACACAAATGGGATCTCCGTATATGTGCAATTTAACTCGGCATCTCCTTCATACATCTACATAGATCAACAAATTGCCTCAACAAAACGCGTAGGATCTCATCAAGATATCGCCTCTTATGTACCCTCTACATTCCGCTAAAGACTATTTCGCTATTTGGAATCAAGGCTACATGCATAGGTTTACGTGTCTTATTGAATATCATGATCCGTATACTACTGCCGAAGCATGCTCCGCCGCAAGAGCCGCGTCACGTGTGCTAGGATGATCATTCACTTGTAACCCATCTCGTTTACTAATGCTATACGAATAAGAAGGCTGTGACAAAGAGTAGGCTTGTATAGACCCCGAAGGCATATCATCCAAGCTGAAAGTGAGTAAATCAACGAATTGTTGCCTGTCTTTCGGATATCACGGGGCTTATGACTCGACCCTCAGCTACCAGGGCAACCACTTGCTTCTTGCCCCAGGAGCACCCTGGGAGCTCCTGCAAGCCAAAAAAGACTTGATCGGTGGCAGCAAAGGAACTAGGCATCCGATAAACGAACTCACGAGACGAAGCGAGGTGTATGCGTAAGTGTCAGTCAAATCTGCCAACCGCGACGCCGATCGAAAACCCTATACTAATACCAACACCTGTAGCAACACATAGGTGAAGAAGAAGACGCTTCCAAAAAGGTACCCTCGGCGGCGGCGGAGGTGGCGGCGGCGGCCCTAGCACAGGTTGTCGTACATCCGGGAAGAAAGGTGTGATACCAGTCCAAAGTTGGAACTATAAAAATGGTTAGCAAATGAATGCAGTAGCATCGCGACTAATATCCTCATAGAATATTACACACCTGATAATAGCCTTGTGATGCAAGGACCTCTAGGCCTGTGATTGTGAACCAATGGTGGCTTTCGGCTAACTCCATTAACGGCGTGTAGCGGGGATTGTAAGCCATTTCCAGCAAGAACCGCAGTCCTTTAGTATCCTGAGGTTCTTCTAGAATGGACTCAAGTAGCCTCTTCACATTGCTGTCGACGGGTTTGTCGGCAGGGATTGTGCTGATGATGACATTTGGTATGTGTTGAACATCACTAGGCGCTTGCACATTCTTGATCCTGATGTGACTAGGGAATGAAGATTGAAGAGTTTTGACGGCGTTGCTATTTCGCGCCACAACGTATATAGGGCTGTAGCCGAGCGAATGTAGTGCATAGATGGCTGCCCTGCTAGTACCGCCGGTCCCTACTACCACCGCACCCTTCTCACTGGCTTCGGATGGTAGCGTGAGTCCGGCCGTACGTAGGGAGTGAACCATACCTCTCCAGTCCGTGTTGTCGCCAAGAAGGCGTGGCTTTGATCCGTCTTGCGAAGCTATAGGTATGATTGTGTTGACGGCGCCAATAATATTGGCCGATTCTGAGACGTCGTCAAGTAACTTCATGATGTTAATCTTTAGTGGGATTGTGACCGAAGCGCCCCCAAATTCGGACGACCTAATCAAGTCCTCCAAATCCTTCACATTAGAGGTTTCTTTGAGATAATATTCATGGGGCAATCCAGTCTTGTTGAATAGAGTATTGTGCAAGACTGGCGACCTCGAAGCTTGGATGGGTTTCCCAAATAAATAAAACTTCTTGGGCTCTATCTTCCCGATTATTGCTAGAGCCCTGCGAATATCGGCCGTAGACACTTGGCCGGGAGCTGCCTTCTGCGTCATAGCGGGATGTGTGACGGGTGTAAAAAAGCTGTTCATCACTCGAGACAGTTTACCAACGTCGCCCATATTTAAAGCTATGATGGGCTTACCGTGCGCAGCAAACATCCTATCCCTAAAGTCAAACAGAGAGTAATTATCTTGTTCCTTCTTCGCGACTCCGACTAGTTTGATAATGTCACCGTATTGAAGTGCTCGGTTGTACCATTGTTGCCAGGCGCCATTTTTCCACGATAGATTACCTTTAGGGTCGTGATGCGATGCAATGATGCGCGTAGAAGTGCTTTTGGACTGGATGATCGTATCTAGGGTCTCATCCGATAGTGTCATTTCAAGGTCCACGTACTCGACCCCTGTACGCATAGCCGTCTGGTATAGTGGGAGCAATTCTTCCTCGGACTTATATTCGAAACGGCCACCTTGTGATTTTGATCGGACCGTGAATATGATTGGTATTTTCGCTTCCAAACGTAGGAACGATATTTGCTTTGCTAGCGATTCGGGCGAGATGTCTTCAAGTAAATCAACGCGCAGTTCAACGGCATCAACGCCAACCACAATTTGCGGAATCGTTTTAATCTCCGACAAGAGGTCTGGCACGGTGAGGTTCACGAAGAAAGACTGAGATTTCTTCTTGGTGTCTTCGAAATGAGTGCTTTTACCACTAATGGTGGACACGAATTGGACGAAGTCAGCAGGTGGGTCACTAACCCCCTCAGGTGGATCAAGGTGTGGGCTGTGATATTCGTAATTGCTGCATTCCTGGAATAAGGGTCTGCGCCGCTTATAGACACCAAGAATCTCCTCAGAATAGGCAGGACGGGTTTTATCTTGCATTAGGTATTGTACCATTTGTTCCACGTCGCGGTTGACGAGGAGAACCGCACCACCATTGCGGTGGTAAGAGATAAGCAAATCCCGAGCTTCTGGTGTCTCGACAATGCCACCACCGCAGGAGAAAACATGACCTTTGCCTTGATTTTTCATAACATCCCGCAGAAGCTCAAGTTCATCGCTCCTAAATCCTTCCCAACCACGACCACTTTCTTCTATGATCTGCGGGATTGTTAGGCCGGCCCTACGTTCTAATTCGTGGTCGAGATCAATAAAAGGACGTCCGAGGATTTTGGCTACCCATCTACCGGTCGTGGTCTTTCCAGCGCCTCGCATTCCAACGATGAAGATAGATGACTCGGTTTCGGTTTGTTTTGTCTTTTGGGAAGCACCAGGCACAGCTTCATCGCCAGTTAAACTAACCTTGAACGATTGAGCCAATACATCCCACCAGCCGGGCCATGTCTTTCCAGTACATTCGCGTTCAAGAATGAGTACTGGACCCGGTGCTACAACGGATAGAACACTAAAGCTCATGGCTACGCGGTGGTCGTCATAGCAAAAAATACTGTCAGTAGGTTTAGAAATGCCCGCTAGCCGTTTGCCCGCGATGACAATTCCGTCCTCAAGCTCACTGCAATGTACACCGAATTTTGCAAGCTGCTCTCTCATAGCTTCGATACGATTGCACTCCTTGACCCGCTGATTTGCTATTCCGGTAATCCGTGTCTCGCCAGACGCCACAGCAGCGAGGACTGAGGCTGTCAAGAATGCATCTGTCATAGGCTCCATATCAACCTCAATGCCCTTTAGGCCACCCGGTTTCGGTCCAGTTACCGTGGTTGACGTAGCAGTCTGTTCTACAGTACATCCCATCGGACGCAGAACATCCGTTGCAAAACGAGCATCCCCTTGTAAAGAGGCTGCGCCGATGTTGGGGATTGTGCAGGTAGTGCCAGTGATAGCAGCGACCGCGAGCGGGTAAGTTGCCGAGCTAGCATCGCTCTCTACGACATATTCATCGGGATTTTGATATACGCCTTGGGGAATGTGGTAGGTATGAGGTTCATCTGTGGATTTCGTGACGGAAACACCGAACGCCTTCATCATAGCGATGGTCATGTCGATATAAAGCTGCGAGATTGGCTTACCACCCACTAAACGGAGAGTTACGGGTTTCTTGGCGTAGGGTGCGCACATTAGGATAGACGACACATATTGAGACGAAATTGTCGCAGCCAACTCAATAACACCTCCGTCAAGACCACCAGCTGCATCAACTTGTACAGGGAGACTCTTTTCCTTCTCTAGGTATTTTATGTTGACGCCGTTAGATCGTAGGGCGTCAACAAGCGGGCCAATCGGTCTCACTTTCATCCTTGAATTGCCGGTTAAGATAGTGGAAGGTGCGGTAGAAGGCGAACATAGGGCTACCACAGTGGTTAGGAAACGAGAAGCCGTTCCTGCATTACCGAGATAAAGGGGATCTTGGCTTGCTTGAAGTTTGCCGCCTTTCCCAGTAACCACAAGGACTTCCCCAGCATCTTCCCACGAGTACGTCGCTCCGTTTAGGCCACCGATAGCCGATAACATATACTCGGTATCATCGGAGTGAAGTAAGTTCTTAACTCGACAAGTTCCATTACCGAGTGCAGCAAGTACCAAAGCCCGATTAGAGATACTCTTGGATCCAGGTGGAGTCACCTGCACACTGAGTTCCTTAGGTACTCCTGGTTGGACTCGGATAGCAGGAGACAAAACAACTCGGATGGCGCTATCATCAACAACGCTTGCTCGCGGCTCGTAGGTTTGGCCTACAGCAGATAGGAGAACGATTTTCTTCTTCTTCCCCTCGTTTTTCTTATCGACAGCCATCTTTTGCAGCAATACATCGACGGGACATTTCTTCCCGGCTGTCAACTTCACGATACGCTTGTCATGAAGAGAAGTTGGTAAGTCATAACTCGCGATGCATTTGACCAGCCGTGCTACTGCGCCTGGTCGCAAAACACCTAGGTATCGGGCTAATTCGGCCTCCTTAACCATTCCAATTGCTACGGCCTCGCCATGTAAAACTTGGGGCGTGAGGATAGCTTCGAAAGCATGACCGATAGAGTGACCGAAATTAAGAAGATTTCGTAAACCGCCCTCCTTTTCGTCCTTAGAAACAACCTCAGCCTTGACGCGGGCAGAAGCGAGAACAATGCGCTTAAGTATGGTGCGAATCGGGAGTAGCCTTTCACTAGGATTGGCGGTTTTGGACCGGATGGTGCTGAGGATTAAAGCAGCATTTTCTTCGAGAGCTGTAAATTCGGACTCATTCCATATGGCAGCGGTTTTAATTACTTCGGCCATGCCATTTATGAACTCGCGCACAGGAAGTGTCTCAAGAAATGCGAGATCTATGTAGATGCGCTGAGGTTGCCAGAAAGACCCAATGAGGTTCTTACCCATGGGTGTATCGATGGCAGTCTTGCCTCCGATAGATGAATCAACCATAGAAAGAAGGGTGGTTGGGACCTGGACAAAACGGACGCCGCGCATGAAAGTGGCTGCGACATAACCAATCATATCACCAATCACACCGCCACCCAGCGCAATAATGACAGTATCCCTCGTACATTGCTGAGACAACATCCAGTCTTCTATCTCGGCCTTCGTCTCGCGACTTTTGGATGTTTCGCCAGGAGGAATGGTGTAGGTAAGTACTCTGCTTTGTGCATTGCGGCGCTCGATTGCTTTGTTGAAAATATCTAAAAAGGGAGGCACATATCGGTCGTGAAGGTTGGTATCGGTAATGACAATATATGTAGAAGACTTGATATTGTCGAGGAGATCATCAGGCACAAAGGCTTGCCAGATGCCATGGTCGACAATGATAGAGTCAGACCCTAGAATTGGAATACGGGTTGGACCCTCGGCGCTGGTCGTTTGACTCGCCATAGTGACTGTGATAAAAGGAGCGGTATATTAATGTGGCTATCCTGTGAACACCACCGACGAGAAAAGTAGAAGGAATATCTAATACTCCGTAATTAGCTTGAAAGAAGGAAGAAAAATTGCTTTTACGTGGGTGATATATACGTGGTGAGGGGTTCTTGGAAGGAAATCCAGTAGCTAGATCTCGACAAATTCTAGCAGAATTTTGATAGTTCACTCCATGGAAATAGAATTAGATCTTCACCTCTCGTGGAAATTCAAGAAGGGATTGAGGGAATGTTGGCACGAATTAGAAAGCAAAGAAGCGAAATGCTTGGTTGAGTATTAACAATGAATGGGATGTTGTAAGTGTAAGAGTGTGAGGCGATTAGGCCGACGACCCTTTGAGCTAGGGTCCGATGCGGTCCTCCACCAAAAAATTCTGGCCGTTCCTGCAGAATCTTTGGGATGGGTCCGCCGATTGACCAATAAGAATTGAGCTATGTGACAGCGATAGCTCAAAGTGCTAATAAGGAAACTCCGGTACGCGGGGCATTAGTAGTGGGGTCCAGAAGCTTGACAGATACATACCCGCGTTTTAGCCGCCGACATAAAACTCACCTTAATCACGATTTACTCTTTTATACAGTTGTGCACAATTGTGCATAGTTGTGTACAAGAATACACGATCTTCATACGAGATTGCGCCCATCGCGTCTCTGACACTGCTTCGGAGATATGACAATGTGGCATCGACCTACCTACAAAAGTACTAGGACTCCAGGATGAACTAATCCGTTCATATTTAATAATATCTTCGATTGGTAATAACATGGAAGAGGCGATGAAAACTATGGAAGAACATTCCCGCTGGTTTTGGTTGACAGGCCAATCTCCTTTATAACGCCAAGCAAACGGGCGATCTACCTTCGGCGATAATAAAAGACCGCAATTCGTATCTCCTACCACCTACAAGCCAGCCAAATCCCGAATTTTCACACACCGCGTCTCTCTAGAAATTCGGCATCACGAGTACCGCTTATTTTTGTCGGAATATTACGGGGATATCTTCTGCTGCTGTCCAATTCAAATGAGTTATCTGATCTTGATGTTTCACATTGTAATGTCGGCTATGTCGGTGTATGCTTTTTTCTTACTATGCCTCTCCTCTTTTTTGACCATATCCAAAATGCGCCGTACGAACTGACAAAATATCCATGTATTTTCTACTATAATCGGGGCTGTAGAAATATTGAAAATCAATAGAAAGGCTGATTAATAAATGTATATAGGCTTTAGCTACCTTCTTATAGATCCAGGGCAATCTTTCCGCCTAGTACGTAAAATGTTGACCATGTTCACAGGGGTACCCGCAGTCCACTCTTCGCGGCCTCGCGTTTTTCAGCCCTCCATTTGGGCAATTCTAGTATGGTTACGTGTGGGTCCATGGAATGACTGAATTACTTACCTATAATGGTACCGTCATTGCCAGGCTATATATCATGACTCTTTGTGCCAACCCGAGCAGTTTTTGTTCTTGTGATTTTGTGCCTTGTGTCGTGAACTATTTTATTGTTGGCTGACCTACAGCATCACCCCCCCAAACAAAAACATTAGTAGACTGGGGTTATCGTTACATTGGACTAACTCAAACGATACCTTAAGTCTGGGAAGAACGCTATTGGCTTGTCCCATTTTGGGGGGATTTGGACAATATGGCTTCCGCTATCGACAAAGACGTGGAAAAGCTTGAGGTCGAATCAAGACCAGGCACTGGCCGGGAAAGGTCCCTTGCAGCACGTTCCTTATCCCAAATACGCTCCTCGTCGATCACTCGCATCCGATCAAATAACGGGCATGGTGTTGCCGACTTAGAAGACGGCGATGCCACAGACGACACACTCACTCCCGCTCAACCTCAAACCGAGAAAGACCCTTTCGAGGTAGCCTGGGATGGTGACGATGATCTAATGAACCCTCGAAGTATGAATATAATCCGAAAATGGCTTGTGGTGATAACTGTCTGTATGGGGAGTTTATGTGTGTAAGTCCGACTCATCCAACCCACCGCCTCACAACAAAGCCGTACTCTAACAATGAAGATAGTACATGCACAAGCTCTATCTATGCATCAACGTATAACCAAATGAATCCTGAGTTTCATATATCGAGTATTGTTGGCACGCTTGGGTTATCACTTTTCGTCCTCGGTAGTACGTTCTCATTAAGGCTCCTGATGAGTATCCTTCGCTAAATTCTTCATTTCAGTTGCTCTTGGCCCGCTCCTCATGAGCCCCCTGAGCGAATTCGTTGGCCGTAGGCCGATTTATCTTGCATCCTGGGCAATGTTCCTAATATGGTTGATACCAAGTGCTGTTGCACACAATGCTGCGACAATGCTAGTGGTATGCCTCAACTTTATTTTCATATAATAATGTCCACTGCGAGGGGTTAACATGGGTTATAGGCACGATTCATCGATGGATTTGCTGGGAGCTCATTTCTCAGCGTTGCCGGCGGTACTGTCAATGATGTATTCAGACCCGACATGATACAAGCGCCGATGGTGGTTGTGTCGTTTTCTCCTTTTATTGGCCCAAGGTGAGATCCCATATTATTATCGTAATGTGTGATAAAGTCGAACTAATATAATTAAGCTTGGGGCCTTTGCTTGGCGGGTTCATTAATTACTACTCGACCTGGAGATGGACGTACTATGTATGTGCCCTGATCTAACCCCGCTGGTATTGGTTTTAGGCAAGCCTGGAATACTGACCTTCGGATTGAATTAGGCGATGATTATCTGGGCTTTCATTTTGATGGTGATGGTCCTCGTTTTCGCCCCTGAAACCTACCGTAAGCACCCAAGTAACTAGGGGTCGTTCTTTGGAATACTGATGGGTATAATAGATCCAATCAAGCTTCGCGAAAAAGCCAGACATCTAAGAAAGGAGACTGGGGATGAACGATGGAAGGCTCCGATGGAGAAATCAACCAAGTCTGTGGTTAGGACCGTTGGATATTCCTTGCTACGCCCATTCCAATTGCTCATCTTCGAGCCAATGTGCCTACTGCTCTGCCTATTCTCCGCCATCTTACTTGGCGTTCTCTATCTATTTTTCGGGGCATTTGGCTTAGTCTTCGGCGATACGTATGGCTTCAATCTTTGGCAGACCGGCTTAAGTTTCCTTGGTATATTTGTCGGAATGATTTTGTGCTCTGCGACGGATTCTATATGGCGTCGCACGCATCAAAGGCTCCTGGCAAAAAACAACGGTAACCCCGAGCCTGAATTCCGACTATCACCTGCGATCGCTGGGGCAGTCCTCGTTCCTATCGGGTTGTTCATCTTCGCATGGACTGCGTATCCGTGGGTCCACTGGATTGTGCCTATCATTGGGTCAGGCATTTTTGGCTGTGGTACGCTGATGGTGTTCACCGGAATATTCACATTTCTTGGTAAGTGCGATTTCCACGCGTGGTATTCTTCTAGTCCCGTATTTTCGCATTGGCTAATTATCTTGGTAGTGGACGCTTACCCACAATACGCTGCTTCAGCTCTTGCCTCGAATACCTTTACCAGGTGCATGTTTGCTGGTAAGTAACGTGCGTCCTTCCATCTGTACTTATTGTTTGCTGACTGAATTTCGCAACAGCCGCCTTCCCTCTCTTTGGAATACAGATGTACCACAAGCTTGGTTACCAATGGGGCTCGAGCTTACTTGCCTTTCTAACGGTAGCGATGATGCCATTTCCATATTTATTCTTCCGCTACGGGAAGCAAATCCGAAGACATAGTAGATTTGCTACACAGATATAGACGTGGATCTGAATTTATTAGCGGAATCCAAGGCCTCTTTCAATGTGTCTAGTGTTTATCAGAATGTATATACCCACGAAATGGAACATAGATTATTACCTTATAATAGCGACTTGCCGTGGGCCTTCCCCAGAGATTATACTTGCGAGGTTCCCTAGAGTAATTTAGGTAAAATGCTAACTTGTATGGAGTATACTGTGTTAGAAGGAGCTGCCTACTATTCGGACTAACGATATATTGTGATTGGGTATCTGCTTGTAGGATAAGGTAGTAGCTCGCGAGGTAGTCCATACAGCAGTCACACGACACGCGTGGACCAGTTCAGGAGAGCGGCTGCTAGCTACCCACCTATTGTAGTTGCCCTCTCGTGAGAATAACATGCATTCTGGCCCCGCTTGATCTAATTTAAGAGACTTTGCATGCTTCCTGAAATTCCTCCCTGATCCATTCAACTTCACCACACGACTTTGAGTGCTGAAATCCAACCCAGCAAACCAACCCAAGCCTACCAGAAGAACCTCTCACCCCGAATACCCAATCTAACAAGAGATTGTTCCGATTAGAACATCACGATGTCTGCCAGAGAATCTCTGTGCGTTGGCCTCGAGTGCGAATGCGGTCCGGTATGTATCCCAATTAAATCGAGAGCTAGACTAGCGAAGAAATGCATCCTGATATCTTACTCCGTAGATTTGGGCGCAGATCCGTCGTCCTCAATCGCTTATAGTAAGTTACACCTTCACCACTCTTTCTCCAACTGCTCCGGAGCTGACTAGATCAGATGCGCCGGAACACGTACAGTGGTCATGTCGATGCGACCGGCACCCCGCTCGATTGCATTTACTGGGCCGTTTTCCGAGGCGATTCCCTCATTTTTTATAACGGTATGGTAAACTCCTCGGCCCTGATGATTTGCTTGGTGTAGTTGGTATTGACTATTGCCCAGGGTGCACCAACGTTTTCTCTTCACCAGGTGTCAATCGACCTAATTACTTCATCCGTTGCCCCGAGTGCGATACCTTCATGTACTGCCGCGGCCTTGACAACAGGGTTCCCAGATCCATATTTGTCTTCGACGGTACTATAGTCCCGACCGAAACCTCGATGCACTAGAACTCGGGTTACGAACCTGAGGAAGGCGGTGGACAATATTCTTGCTTTCGCGTAGTAATCGCATGGATCATTATACCTTCATCTGGGCGTGGTTATTTATCGGGCATTTCGGGTCGATTCGGTCGCGCATGGTCTAGATCGGTCATGAGTTAGCGGCGACAATTATCACGATGGTTTTATAAAATAGTTTACTCACAATAAAAGAGTCGTTACCTATCGTCATCTTGACGGCAATATCTTTCTCGCGTATTCCCGTCCTAATTTCAGCATAGCTCTGACGTGATCCTCAAGTCGCCTATCCTTACGCCTTCGCATCCAAAGTAATACGAATATCAGGATCGTTATATCTATTGCCAAATGCTTCGTGACGATCCAAAATATCCAACTAGCCCATGCTGTAAGACTCTTTTCCTTTTTTAGCCTCCACTCGCGCCCTGCTGTGATTTGTTCTCGTAGTGCCGCAACTTCAGCGGATAGCCTGACTACAGCACGCTCTACTTTACGCGACCACCTATCACCTTTCTTTACGTATTCCCCATCATCTTCGTCGCCCTCTCTTTCCCGATACTCCTGTTCGGCGGCGTCGTCCTCGCTCATGGGGCTGAGTACCTTCATCGGGCCTTCCGTCCCGCTTAAAGGTTGCCGAAAATGTCGAGGTTCGGCAAAGGTTTCGTCTTTCGGCGATGTGTTCGAGGACGAGGGGCTATTATTCTTGATCTGATCCCAAACAAACTCAAGCTCTGCGACCAGTCCTTTTCCATCCCTATAACAGCTCCTTATTAGTTTTGCTCGTAATCACGCTGCCGGCCAATGACCATTCGGATCGATCCAAGCATTTATATCTTTCGATCTCTACACGGAACTGGCTGAAATATCGCATGAAATATTAAAATGAGAAGACTCACGGAGTAGTAGCGAAACGATGCATAGTTTCGATTAGCGCCTCGATATAGCGCCTCTTAGCCTCGGTACGACTGATTCCACGTTGCGAATTCCAAGCATCCCACTTATCGCGTTCGCGTTGCAATTCGTCTACATTCACACCGGGCCGTCGCTCGGGACGTTCCATCACACCATCGACATCCCCCTCCATCGCCTGTTTATACAATCCATAGAGTCGCAATCGGTCGCCCGGCGGGGGTCGCGAAGCCCCCGTCTTGGGGATCTTCTTCACCGTGTTCAGCGCGTGCACGAACACGCGGTCTATCGGGGGTGGGTCATCCATTAGCGAAGGGATAATCGATTGGGAGCTCGGGAGTAAGACACGGAGAGGAATGGGATGCTTGATTGGGCAGACGGACTGGCCCTGCGGGCCTTGATTCTCAGGGGACATACCAACGGAATCCGCCATTGGGAGCGTCTCATCTGTAATGTGTATGTGTGTACCCTCTATTGATCTGGATCTCTTTCTCTTTTGCTCTGGACCTGACCCTACGCTTCTTCCTATCTATATACCCCTATCTCTCAACATCGACCGACGAATCCGATTCGGGCGCAGGCGTGGCGGTCGGAGGGGCGTACGTATGCGTAGCAAGGCAGGTACCCGGTTGCTCGAAGGGCACGTCGACACAAATCGATAGCTGAGACCTAGGTATGATATGATATGGCCGCCCAATGCGTTGGTTTGGAGGCTGCCAATGGGAGCCCGCGGGTCAGGAACACGTCATCTATAGAGGTGGGAAGACCGCAGGTAGATCAATAATAATAACTCGGGGGGTAATTACTTGTATAGCTAACTCTGAGCTGGTTCGATATGACACGATATTACACGATTATATAAGTCGAAAAACGAAGGTATGTTAATTGTACAATGATTAGTATTTAAATAAGCTAAATAGCGATGATGGAGTTTATAGAAAGATTACTGGGGGTCCCTCATGGCTGATCCGATCCGGGTATTGGGTGAAATCAGAATTGCCTCGGCGTAAAGAAATTAGTTCCTTTTGCTAGCTATTACAGGTACATTTTCGGCTCTGGCCGTTCGCGTGCTAGGTACATTACGGTGCGTCACTGAGCCGATTAGCCCCCTGAAGAATGTGGGGATTGTCTTAAATTAGGCACCTTAGGGGGTATATCAGGGGAACATTATTACCCTTCCTTCACCTTCGGAGAATCGCACGTGAAGACAACTGTCAGACGGGGTAGGAATAATAGGCTCTGTTAATCATGGTTTGTTATTAGGTTATGATTAAACGTGTATTAGTTCCCTATGCATTCTTGTGGAAAATAGTGCAATGCTTTAATTGGTATGCACTGAAGTTTCTGAACCGGCTGAAGCATAGCGACTGTACGTCCTCGGGAGTCCTCTTAGAAATGAATTGGGCCTTACAACGTAATGGGTATCATTGAAAACATTGTCAACTTGGATATCATTTCGCATCCTTTCGATCGGAAATGTTGCAGGATTAAGACCAATTGTCGTAGTCTAGCTGAGCCGATTCTGCGCTTTTTGCCGAATTCAAAGAATCTTCCTTCTTTTTTCGCAATCGTTTCATTAGGTCCTTATTCTCTAGAGCTGAACGTGCCGCGTTGGCCCCAGCTTCTTTCTTGGAGAATGCGCTTCCACGACCCAATTGGAGATTTTTCTCACCGAACCCATCAAAGAACACACCGACGGTGTACCACGGTAGTTTTCCCGAGTGCTTGTCCTTCTTCGGCTCGCCTATGTCATTGTATGAAATCTTGACGCCTTTTGCACCGATAACCTGGCTTAAGACAACCTTGGGATTTAAGTCTTGTTGGGGGGCCTTCTGGTTGTCTTCGTTAACCTGGCTTGTCGGATAAGAGCTCGGAAGGGCTGGTTGGGCTCTAGATTCTGCCTTGATCTCCTGTGCCAGTGTCGTGCTCCAAAGAGATTTCATCCAACGCGAAACTATCGACAGGCCTTCTGCGTTGCCTAAGATTGCGGCTGCGACGTACGATTCGAAAATATCACCTAGAACCTTTCTCTTGGCGTTCTGAGATGCTTGGCTTCCCCCAACTCTACCGTGAAGGTCAAACTCGGCAGGAAATCGCGTGCGCTTATTGATTCCATATTGTAGGGTATAGCTAGAGAGTGTTTCGTTCTTGATAAGCCTCTCACGTAACTGGGAGCATCGTCCAACGCTCAGATTGGGAAAGGTTTGGGATATGAAAGACGTAGACATAAGGTATAAATACGCATCCCCAATCCACTCGAGCTTCTCGTAACTCATTTCTGTCGGCTTTGCCGTCATCCCGGAATGCGTAAGTGCCGCCTGCTCAAGGACTGGATCCTGGACAGGAGGTAGGGGCGGTAAACCCGAACTTGGTATATCTTCAATTGTCCATCGAGTTAAAGCCACTGGAGGGGGTATAGACAAGGTTGTAGGCATATTCACAGATTTTTTGCTGTCACCTTCAAGCTTCTGAATCTTGCGAGATTCAGGCTCATGTCTGTCGAGAGTATTTGCCTGTTATGATATGAGTAAATTATATATATGTAACGTTGATGCGATTAAAAAAACACTTACTTCATCCTGAGTAAGTAGCTGGGCAGTCAGTAATATTTTTTCGTTGTGGCGCTTTAGGACTGATATTATTTGGTTGTTTGGCTCGGGGGTGTCGCGATAGGCGTCGAGCTCATCTTTCAGAGCCTGTGCAGATCTTAAAAGATCTTCTGCATGTTTCAAGATTTGCGAAATTGATGTTGCATCCTTGGAGATAAACTCCGCGTATGAACGCTTCGACATTGCAAGAAATATAAGGAATGTGTAGTCAAAGGAAGACTTGAGGCAACTGGATATGTGAAATGTTAATTCGTGTTGGCGCAAGAGACAAGGCATGAATTACTAGACGCCCGGACCACATAGATTCTCGATAGAAGCACGTGCTGCTTAATTCCACACGTGAGATGTATGCACGGACCGGAGATGAAGGTATCTACGTACCAATTGTTTGTCCGTAGTGAAATTAAGCGAGAGTTATCCGAAATCCCCGATAATCCGATTATTAGCCGATAGTCTAGTTTGATTGAAAGTTTGACTTCGACAACGACTTTAGTTCGTCTTCAATCCATCCCCAGGACTGCGAAAGTTGTCATACTAGACACAAAGATGGCAGCAGTTCCTCGCGCAAGGCTGCTGAGCCTCATGAAGGTGTGTATATCGATATTAATGGTGTCGCTGTACACAATTAGCTAACATTCCAGGCTCAATGCGAAATATTCTCCACAACTTACAACCCCGACGGCATACGGATGGGCAACAAGATCCTCCGACAACGATTGAAGGGGCCGACACTTGTGAAGTACTACCCTCCGAAGGGCCCAACTGTCAGTACACTCGAAAGGGCATTCAAGGATTGGCATTTAGAGACCATCAATGAAGTACAAGAAGATAGGCTAGAGCATTTGGCAGGGTAAGTTACATCCATGCCATGTATGGTTGTAGACGCAAATCTAACCAGACGACAGTGTGAGGGCTCGTGGGAAGGCACCACCAAAGAAGAGAAAGTCTGCAAAGAAACTTGGTACGATATATCTCCCTCTTCTTTGGGGAATGATGCTAACTGGAAGTAATAGGGAAAAACTAAGAGAGGGGTCAACATGGCTTTTATCTGTACATATATGTACAACCATCACGGTGTTTACGAGGATACAAGACAAGACAATGACTTATCCATGCAATTGCTACGAGCCCAACCATATGGAAAAGGGACCGAATCAACGCTCTCGGGATGTGCCCAAGCTCTTCAGCATACCTTGGGATGTTCCTCGAGTCAATTGGATTGAACTATCGGTATCCAAGATGGCCGACTAAGGAACTCGCAGCCTGGGTCTATGACCTCAACCAAGCCCAGACAGGGACTAGGCGATAATGATATCTGCAAGAGCACCTGCATGTTACTGTTATGAAACATAATCACAGCTCCGATAGCTTGGATTGGGACCCCTGGATGGATTAGAAAGCGCGCTAGTCCAAATTTCTCGACATCTAGGTGGATCTTCATTCGATGAAAGACCGAAGTGAGTAACAGCGAAGGACCTTATCGTACTGATGTATCCCCTTGGTCTATGCACATGCAGCAATGGTTTGACTGAATAGGCAAATAGATACATAGATATGGTATGTCAGGGTCGAACTGCCTTACAGTTTTATCTGTTTGACTGCCGAATACTCGTCATATTACTTGACGCTTGTTACAATCGGGATAGCGTCTCATGTGCACGGGTCAAGTGTGTATTATCGGAGAGGGCAGGATGCAACGATCATCGAAGGAACGCTCCAGGGTACCTTGGTATTCGGCGTTGTACCCGTCAACCTGCAGACGCTAAAGGGGGGGAGCAACAACGCTGTTGCCGTTCTTATGGTTGTACAAGGGTACGTACATGTACGTATCGCTGGCTGTCGGAGTAAACTTAGAATCTTAAGTGAACTTTAAGGAATTAAGCGTTCCTGCATTGGAAGGTTTGAGTTCGTTATTTCCCTCCCTGGAAGATACGCCTAAGCTTGCCCTCTCCTTTTACGTCCATGCAAACCAAAGTTCCCTTTCTCCCCCGGAGTTGTTGTTGCTCTATTCCCAGTCCAACAACCTCCACTCGTTTTATTATTTATTCCAGCTGGTTTTCAACCAACTTGTTCCTTTCTACTCTCGTTCATGTTCATGAGCAAGATATTCTTCGTATCCATCATATCTTCTCACATATTCCGACCACTTTCACTCCGAAACCATTAATACCAATCTAGACAGGCCATCTGGTCATTGATCTGATTTGTATTCATCGGTTTTTACCAGTTTCGCTACGCTGACGCGAATAGTAACTCCGTACTACGCGATCTGTTGATCAAGTGTACGCGTATATACTTGGCAGGTAAGTCTTGCGTTTACTCGAGTATCTCTTTCTTTTTATTGTTCATGTACATCTTCGTGCATGTATGTCTATTCCTCCTTACTATCCGACTGATTTACTACGTGCGCTTGCCTTGCCACGATTTTATTCTGGTAGAGACTATCGCGATTCCCAAGATATTCAAATAAATCACCTACCTGCCAACTCTAATCCAATATATTTTCTTCGATCTCATCCATCAAATTTGTCTATTTTCTTCACCATTCATCCCCTCGCGCCTCTTTTGCCATACATCATTCATCATACACTCAACCACTCACTCCTCCCCTTCCACCCACACTATACCATCTACTTTTTTTGTAATCAAGACATCTCTGCTATTTGTGAACTTGTGTTATGATCACTTGGTGGTTTGATCGTCAATTCGATTCTTGCGGAGCAACAACGTCTTCCCGTTTCTAAAAAACTGACCAAGAAAAAAAGCCATGTCCGGTATCCCGGGACTCTCGACCGGGTCTCCGACACCTCGTCGTGCGCCAGCATCCCTTAATGTTCCCAAGGAGGAGAACATTAAGTTTGGCAAAGAGGATTCCTCTACTGCCAATGTAAGTGATGTCCTTACACGCCTCCTTCGTTATGTAAGTACCTAGGCAGCGACCACAATTGACTTCAAGAAGCATCATTTATTTTGCGGGCTTGTTGATTGGTCTAGTTTCATTCATCTTATATACTTATTCACCAGAAAAAATGCCACTGTTTCCTGTTGGATGATTCATTCCCGTTCTTTTCTTCCTCTTCAGATGACGCCAGAGCTAACAATATCTTTTTAGGAGACGGATGGCCCTGTATCCCAGAAGAAACCGGTCTCCGCCCTCTCGACCTCTTCTTTGGTCAACCAAAGCTGTCCTAAGGTAAGCAACTCAGCTCAAAACTACATCTACTCGTTTCCTTTAGCTAATAGCAACAGAAGATGAAGCTTAGTCACGAGTCTTCGGGAACTCCTAGTTCTCCCGACCCGAATCCTATGGACCACCTGTTGGAGAAACTCTCTCACCAGCAAAGCGTCCTTCATAAGCAAGGCGATAGCCTAAAGACTGCCGAAGCCAAGAACGCGTACCCCTCTACTCTTGAGCATGCTTCCACCAGCATCTCGGTTCCCATTACCCCGGCTACTGAGATCTTCGGTACCACAGCGCCGACCACTCGTCCGGCTAGTGCAGCCATGGGCGGTGGAAGCATGAACACCGAGGAGGTTCTTCGTTTGAAGCTGGAGCTCGCCCAGGCTCGAAACAAGATCAATCGACTTGATCACGAGCTGTTTCAGACTCGTCAGGTCCAGCCTACACCTGAGCCCGTTGTGGATAGCTCCATGGCGAGTTCTCCGGTCGAGGTTGAGTTTCCCCCTGGACTCCCGGCGGCTTCGAACCCGTCACGAATTCTCGGCCCTGCGGATCTGAAAGTTGGTAGTCAGCAGTCTATTGGCAGAGATGGTGGCCATCCCTGGACTACCTTTGACGATTCTCGATCGGATACTAGCGATGCATTGTCAGCCACAGGATTCAACCGTACTCGTAACATTTGGGGTCCAAGCAAGAATGGTCAGGGTTCTTTCCAAGGTGGCTTTTCGGGAACTAGCCAGGCTCACAACAACCAATGGGTTGGACGTGGTGCAAATCAAGGATTTGTTGATCAGACCTTAGCATATGAGCCTTCCGTGTCCGGTAGTTACCACGGAGATCGCTTGACGCCAGATTATGACATGACTGTTCGTCCCTCTGGCAACCGACGAAACAACCGATACGATAGTCGCCTTGCGATGACGTCCTTTCCGTCGACTTCGGGATTCGGTGATGGTTATAATTACAACAATGGTCGATTCGCATCCGACAATGCTATGGTCGGACCTGCTATTAATCCATCGGGATCGTTTTTCTCTAGCACACCACTATCTCCCCTGGCAAGTGAATTCACTTCCGCTTCAAGTGGTGCGCCTTGGAAGTCAGAGGTAAGCGTCAATTTCCTTCTAATGAATGTTTGTCGCTAACGTAGGTTACATTATAGTCCGCGACCTCCGAAGGTCAGACGTATCTTCCCACGACGGAGCCCCTGAACTATCGCCGCTTGCTCGACCGTAACGTCAATTGCAACTGGAAGTATATCGTTGACAAGATCGTTTGCAACAACGACCAGCAAGCTTCGATTTTCCTGCAGCAGAAGCTCAAGGTTGGCACTCCGGACCAGAAGTACGAGATTGTAGAAGCAATTGTTGCCCAGGCCTATCCTTTGATGGTCAACCGCTTCGGCAACTTCCTCGTACAACGATGCTTCGAGCACGGAACTCCGGAACAGGTGATCAAGATCGCCGAGGCTATCAGGGGATGCACACTCAACCTATCGATGGACCCATTTGGCTGCCATGTAGTTCAGAAGGCTTTCGATTCCGTTCCGGAAGATTACAAGGCTATTATGGTCCACGAGCTCCTTCGACGTATCCCCGAGACAGTCATCCACCGATACGCGTGCCATGTTTGGCAGAAGCTCTTTGAGTTGCGATGGACTGAGTCGCCGCCTCAGATTATGAAATACGTCAATGATGCCCTCCATGGTATGTGGCACGAGGTTGCTCTTGGAGAGACAGGAAGTCTAGTTGTCCAGAACATCTTTGAGAATTGCCTTGAAGAGGACAAGGTATGCATAGCTGAAAATCGATATACTGTTTGAGACTAAGCTAACTATTTCCCAGCGTCCTTGCATTGAGGAGGTCCTCGCCAACATTGACATTATTGCTCATGGCCAGTTCGGTAATTGGTGTATCCAACACATCTGCGAGCATGGCGCGCCGGCCGACCGAAGCAGGGCGATCGATCACGTCATTCGCTACGCAGCAGAGTACAGCATGGATCAGTATGCTTCCAAGGTGGTTGAGAAGTGTTTGAAGATTGGTAGTGCTGAGTTCTTGTCTCGTTATCTCGACCGAGTCTGTGAGGGTCGTGTTGATCGTCCCAGAATTCCCCTCATCGACATTGCCAGCGACCAGTACGGCAACTATTTGATCCAATGGATCCTGACTCACGCCTCCCCTCAACACCGTGAGATCGTTGCCGCACACATCAGAAAGCATATGGTGTCTCTCCGCGGATCCAAGTTTGGATCGCGTGTCGGAATGTTGTGTACCAACCCTGCCGTTGCCACTCGACCTGGTCCCGGCGTGGGTGGTGGCCTGGGACGTATGCCCGCAGGTCCCCGTTACAATAGCCGTGCTTACCAATAATTGCACTTGCTATTTGGGCTTTACAACCGACTTGGGCGGTTCTTTCACAACGAAGATAATGTTATGTTTTTTCGGGGCGTGCCTTTTCGGCAGGTCATAATGCATTTCTGATTTCCTTTCCCGCGTTTACGTTTGTTTTTCGCTCTTTTCTTTTCCTATAATCTGCCTCTCGACACTCGGAGACTATCGATGAATTTCATTCCGGTTCTCGGACGGACCGATTTACGCATGGCAAGTCTCACAGAAAGAAAGCATCATCTCGAGCAGAAGATTTACAAAAATCATACCTCTATGACATCCTACACCCGGTAGGCTACTGCCCGGCCTGGGTGCCTTGGACACATCATGGTTATGGATTTTGCGATATGAGATCAAGATATTTTTATCTTTACTCTAATCCGCCATCCTTTCCTGATTCCGACCCCATTCAATCCACTCAACTCATCTCGACCTTGAATCGGACGATGGCCAAACCTTCAACCGATTAAACAATGACATAATGTCTTACATTGACTTCTAATATAGTTGCGTGGATTGTTTTTCCCGATCTCATCGATCTCAACCAAAGTGGACATTCTGCAAAAAACTGATACCTTTTGTTGGGAATCGAGTATTCAGGGTTGTACGTTGTCTTCAAGGTTATTACGGAAAAAATTACTAAAATACAACAAAAAAAGAGGAAAAGGAAAACTAGAAGGCAGAGGTGGGCTAATCGGGGGAGGAAAATCAACAATGTTACTGTTTGTATTTGCGCTATAACCGAAGCCTCGCATATGCTGCCCGTTGTATTACGCCTAGTTTACTTATTTACGCTCGCTCGTCGATTAGGTACTCATAGGCAAAATTCGATGCTTTTAATATACATGCGCCGTAAGAATTCTCCATGGAATAGTAGGGGCAACTGCTGTATTTCGATATCGCTACTAAGCCCATATGAAGGTAACACACCACTCGCTTGGTGTATTGTATAGCTCTAGTTTTCTAATTGTTCAACATCTCAAGGCTACGCCAGGCGTCGGACGTCTTATCAAATCCTCAACATGATAACAATCCTGTCCACTTGGGTACTTAGAAAGACAAGTACGTAAGCTACATTTACACAACGATGCGATGGGGATCTTGGATGCTTTATGTACTTTCTTCTTCTCTTCTACTCCGTGGACCTGTGCTATATGTACATTACGATGCCATCATATCTGCGCCGGTTTGAGACAAAGAAAAAGGGACGGATGGATGTAAGATATAATAACGGATGCGCAGATCATTCCCAACCCAGATGGCAGTAGCAGCAGTTGTAATAATGATGGACTCGAAGCCTGTCCCTTCTCTTTTGGAGGTTTAAGTTCTATTTTTTGGGTCTCGTTATTCTTGGTATAACAATTAACAACAACGCGCATCTCCTCATGAGCCGTAAGCTACCTGGCCCATCGGTCGGTCTTCGGTCATACCGGGAGCCATAAGGTTGTTGTCGGAGTTGCCGGTCGCTTTAGCGACTGAGCATCGTGCCATCGTCGGCGAGCTGTAATACGTATTAGTTAGCGTTGATAAGAAAGGGAGGAAGAATATGTGTGGGGTAACTACTGACCTTCTAGAAATAACGTCTGTGAAATAGAAATCTTGGATAACCTTCTTTAGGGGTTCGTTGGTGGGCTTAGCGCCCTTATTTTGGTCTACTAATTGCACCTTGCTCAATTGCTTTAATGATGTGGGTTCGACGATGTCGTATGAAGCAAGCGCCGGGCTGATCTCAACCATTCTGTCTCTTAATTGCGCAACATCGTCGTATGGTAGAGGGGCTCCGAGGAACTCGCTGATCGCTCGGATGATCTTCCAGTCTGTTCGGGCAGCACCAGGTAATGATGTAGCAGCACGGGTCATCTGTGCACGGCCTTCCGTGTTGACGTAGGTGCCGGCCTTCTCAGTGTAGGCAGCACCGGGTAGGACAATATCGGCGATCTGTGCGCCACGGTCACCGTGGTGGCCCTGGTAGACGACGAAAGCGTCCTTGGGGATATCGGCATCGGCGAATTCATCGGCGCCGAGAAGCCAGATAAACTTGGGCTTAGTCTCAGCGACAGCGGGAGAAGGCGTCGTGAAGCCAACTTCGAAAGCACCCGCCCTGGAAGCGGCCCTTTGTAGAATGTTGAATCCGTTGTGCTCTTCAGTCAAGAAGTTTGCTGCGTTCTTCTCGACGAAGGAACCAATAAGCTCATAGAAAGCCTTGGCGTCAGGGTGGTCCGTTACACCAGAGCCGACCACAATCATGGGCTTCTTGGCTGATTGGAGCTGCTTGCCGAAAGGACCGGACAAGGCTTTCTTCAAGGCAGCAAAGTCGGTGCCGAGGTGCTCGAACTCGAAAGTCGACTCGAAGGTCTCGCCAACGACACCGATCTCTAGGTCTGATCTTAACCATTGCTTTCGGATACGGGCGTTCAAACCGGCCGCTTCATGTCTCGGGTTAGTACCGACGAGGAGTAGGCAGTCGACATCTTCAACAGCAAAGATCTTGGAGTTGAAGAGGTAGTTAGATCGGACGTCGATACCGTGAGCGAGGGGTTGGCTTCCTTGGGGTGTGTCGATAGCTAGGTTATCGGATCCGAGTTTGTTGGCTAGGTCCTTCATAGCGACTAGCGACTCAACCTCGGTCAGCTCACCAGCAATAGCCTTGAACTCGTTGCCCACGGGGGCGAGTTGTTGGTATGCTGCCGCGACCTCCGTTAAAGCCTGCTCCCAAGAAGCCGGCTCAAACTTGCCTTCCCGTCGGACCAAAGGCATAGTCAGACGTTGGGTCTTTAAGCCGTCGCAAGCAAATCGGGTCTTGTCATTAATCCATTCCTCGTTGATATCATCGTTGAGTCTGGGGAGAACTCGCATAACTTCGAGACCACGCGAATCAACACGAATAGCAGATCCTAAACCATCAAGTACATCGACTGACTCGGTCTTCTTTAATTCCCAAGGACGAGCTCGGAAGGCATATGGTTTTGATGTGAGGGCTCCGACGGGGCAAAGGTCGATGACGTTGCCTGACATTTCGGAGTCTAAATTCTTTTCTAAGTATGTACCGATCTGGATATCGTTTCCTCGTCCGAAAGAACCCATCTCGGGGGCACCGGCTATATCGTTCGCGAATCGGACACATCTCGTGCAGTGGATACATCGGTTCATCGAGGTCTTGATCAAAGGTCCGATATTCTTATCTTCTACCGCTCGCTTGCCACCGATTTCGTGGAATCGGCCTCTGTCGGCACCGTATCGCATAGATTGGTCTTGGAGATCACACTCGCCACCCTGATCACAGATAGGGCAATCTAACGGGTGATTCGCTAGGAGGAATTCCATCACTCCTTCGCGGGCTTTATGTGTGAGGGGCGAATTCGTCTTTACCACCATGCCGGGTTGTACGGGCCACGCGCAGGAGGCAACGGGTTTCGGCGCACGTTCGACTTCGACTAAACACATACGACAATTTCCGGCAATCATTAATTTTCTATATAATATTATCAGCAATCGGGGTCGTCGTGGGGGAGATTGGTATGGTCGCAATCGTACTCATGGTAACAATATCTGTACATAGTTAGCAATGTCTCCTCGCTTTCGAATACATTAAACATGTTTGACTAACCTAGGGACTGTGGCACCGGCCTTTTCGCAGGCCTGAATTAAAGCTGACCCGGCTGCGGGCTTAATTAGTAAAGACGCTCAACCGCTTTGAAGAGGCATATTATGGCTCTATTACCTTCTATTGATACCTTCTTTCCATCTATACTAATGTTAGTAACTAGCCTAGACTTCGCAATTGTAGTTACAGAACAAGTGGCTCACCAATTGTTAGCTCCACCTCTGCCGGCCGCCTTGACGTCGCAGAAAAAGCTCTCGAGGATTTGGCAGCATGTCTACCCGTCCGCCAAGCCGAACGAGCTATGGATTGTCGGAGCATCGTATCGTCTCGACGGGATTAAAGGGTTGTCGGAGGGGGGTATAATTAGGATCGGGTCGGGGTGGCGGTCAATTGGGAGAGAGAAACCCTTTCTAATCAAAAATGTTGACGTTTCTCTTGGGGAAGTTGCTTGTCAGGAATTAACTTGGATTACTGAATTACTGCGGTCTTCCAGTGGCGCTAGTGCGGTTAATCGCGATTATTTCCAACAGACTCCATTTGATTGGTTCTAGCTATGGAGATATGCTTTTGGCCTGAAGTATAAGGCATGCATAAGTGTCATGTAATATATGAGCTAAAAACTGTGACGCTCTGACCACATTGAGATCGGAAGTCGGAATTGCGCAGGCCGAAGATTCCTTAAATCAAATTTTGCCCAGCCAAAACTTTTACCTTTCCTTTCTTTTTTCTTCATCAATTGTACACGGGCACATTTTATTGTAGGTGAGCTTGGGCGAATTCCTGGTCCTCCAGGTTGCTCGCTATTGTCGAGTCTTCCTCTATCTTGTGCTCCAGAGTAAAAATTATTTATACGCCGATTATGGAAGCATGTGAGAGCTTCTTAAATCTCGAGGATCGATGCCTCTTACCGCCGGTCGTTACATCTACAGAATAATATTCGCTAGTATCAGGTTAAACTGAGGGGTGATTGAATTCACGGCATCCATCATTCAATTGTCATTTTACACATTGGATTGCTTTGAATTAGCATTTAGTTTCGTCTACTCTAGATTGCAATATTGCCTAGATTGTTTGAATACCACCAGCAAGGACAATTAGTTTGGACGAACAAAAAAAATCATTACCCATAATGATTGCTCACATCGTTGTGTTGAATACGATCTTCGTGTAGCTACCAGCGGCCCCAGATCCGTACCCCTTGCTTCAAGCAATAAGTGCATTCCCGTCCGAAAGTGTGGGTAGAACTCAGAGCCTCTAAATTTGAGGAAAACAATATACTCAACCAGATTCTGAATAATCATCGAATTGTAGGTGCCAATACAATCTGCTCATTGATAGATATCGTCAATTCGTAACCTCCATCCCTACTGCCGTCTTGCCTTTTCTAAGAATTTATCTTAGATCTATAATACATTATAACCCTAGCCACATTTCATTCCGTCCAATAATATACACAACATCCCCTAATCCTACCCCACTACACGAGTCACGAATTTCTCATTTAAGAGGCGCCACAGCCGATCCTATACCAACATAGAAGGTAGTGTATACCTAAGGTAGCATAGGCCAAGACCTCATGGCTGAAGCGGACTATGCCCACTCGTCTATTTTTTTATTATTTTTTAGACAAGTCGGGCTTACCTAGGCGCCGAGATAATTGCCATTGTAAATTCGGTAGAACATAGCACCAAGAGGTCGCCTCCCTTCACGTACCTCGCCGTATAAGTGAGTGATACTTGGCGTAGCCAGTCGTTTGCAGCGGAGAGGCACGAACAATTCCGTTAACATCTCATTTGCTAACCAAACCGCCACCCGCTGCCTTTACAACCGCCTAAAGTGCTTGATTCTAGATTCTAAATCCCCGTTATCTAGATCCTCATTTGGTTGTCTCTTTCGTATCGATCCCTGTTCCCGTTGGCCGCTCAGCTCACAAACGATCAGTCGCAACAACGGCGCGGCAATATAAGTGGGACAGCCTTGCGATATCGCCATTTCTAGCTCTCTCAGATCTTCCTTGTCTGAGCAGTGCAGGATAAGCTTCTCCACGATGGACGAGACGAACGCCGCTCGGCACGGATCCGCTGCTAATCTCGTCATGAGGCCTTTAAGTTCGGTGCAAAACGACGCCAGCACCGACTCCTCCGGCCGTCGTCTCGCGAGATTCCCGACGGCCACCTCGGACTCTGAGCCTACCTTGTTAGCGAGGTCGGGAACGCCGAGGCTTGCGCCCGCTCGTAAGAAGGCGTCTAGGGTTCCGAGATAGTCTTCGAAACACTCCTCGCCGAGGAATCTAGATAGAGATATGTCCAAGAAATGCGAGAAGACGGTGCGCGCGTTTGAGCAATCTAGGAGAGGCGCGTTGGGATCAGCGCCGTGGGATATCAGGCGGCCGAAAGTAGCGTCTTTCAGCGAATTATTCCACCGTAGGGCGGGGAACATGCAGGGTCCCGACAGCATGTTAAAGACGGACATAGTGCTCCGCGCAAAGAGCACCCACGGCGATGCCACGTCTGACACACCCAAAGCGTCGGACTGTCGCGGTCGCACATTAGGATCCTCGCCGCGCTCGAGGAGAAGATCGAGAACCGTTGGCACGGGTGCGGGACTCTCACCACTGCTGCGGGACATGGGCATGAGCGCAGCGAATAACGGCGATTCGTCGAATACGTCGAAATAGCCCGGTTGCTCGGTAATCTTCTTGGCGAGATAGGGCGTTAATTCGTGTCTGAGCAGCTCCTCACGAAAGAGTAGTCTTGGATCACAACTTTGAGCATTGACCCCCTTGATCGTAATGTAACTGAGGCTTACCATGGACTGGATGGTTGCCTCGCATTCCTCTAGCAATTCCTCTATTTGCTGATATTGGTGAGCGCCATGCTGGTCTGCCTGTTTCAATGCCTCTGAGACGTATACCAGAGCCTGATTCAGATGCGCAATGAATGGGCCAGTGTTCAGCCCAAGCCCCTGCCTTATAACGCCTGGGACAAAGGGATGGCTGGTACGTTCAGTTCTGAGAAAACCGAGGTATGCGGCAGCGATAGAGACGAAGCCATTATAACTAGCCGGGAGCTTGCTTGAGAGGTATGAGCCCGTATCTTTGGTTAAGACAAAGTCCTTCACGGTTCTATGAAGAAACTCGACCCGGTTATCTACGAGCCTGAGTAGGCCCTTCGTCTTTTCGTTGATGCTGTTGATGGCCTGCTTTCTACGCACGAACATATCTTCGGGTGGTCCTGGCCCTGATGGACCGCGGTTCGTGGGGCTGTGTCTTTCAAATTCTTTCTCCAGATGCCAGTACAGATCGACGTGTAGAGGCTCGAGCGCGTGGATTGCGGCCTGCAAGAATCCCGCCATCTTGGGATGATCAGCCGGGTCCACACTTTCTAGCATGTGTTGAAATAGCTGGTCTAAATCTGACGGCAGGTGACGGAAACGTCTATTCAGGTCTCCGATCCTCTCGCCTTTGGAAAGGCCCTCTCGCAATGATCGCGTTACAAAGAAAGCCCAGAGGAACACGCCGTCGGCCTGGGCCACGATTCGATTCACCAGCTCGGCTTTCTCCAAGCTGACCTCCTCAGACACCTCAGCAGTCCATCGGGGGTGGGTCTCTAGTTGGTCATTTACAAATCTCCGAATATCGCCCCGCGTCAATTCGTGAATATCTAAGCTCTTCTGGCTATTGTTGCCGAAACTTTTCTCGAATACAGACCACCGACGGCTGGATAGACACATTTTGATGTGGGGAGAGTTGGCCATGATACGGAGAACCTCACAAAGCTCGGCATGGTTGCTATCGTATTCGTCGAGTCCGTCAATGAAGAAACACATCTTCAGCGATGTGTCAGCTATCGATAGTGCTCGCAACACGGCAGTTAGCTCAGAAACAGACCATGGTTCTGCAGCAACCTGCCACTTCCCAACCTTAGCGGCTGCCCAACGAATACGGCTGACCAAAGAGATAACGTGCGGGCGTCCACGAAGAAGATCGAAGAGCAGAGATTGGAGAAGCCCCTGCCAGGATTTCTGGATTGGCGTGCCTGCGATCCAGAAGAAGTGCGCCGCGACAGCTAGCGTGTCGGGAGAGCCTGCCCAATGCGTCAAAAGCTCTGTTGTTTGAGGATGTTTGGAGATGAACTTCATAAACGTGGATTTTCCGGACCCTGGCCTGCCCGAGATCCAGAAGGTACCACGACCGGAGAGGAACCAATCCGAAAGGTGCGAGTCGAAGGCCCACTGGAAGGTATCTTTGTGGGCCTGTGGGACAGAATCGAGGCGAACAGGTCGGCTATCGTAATTCAAGCTCGACACAATCCCGTCCGCAAGAAACGCGTTCTCCGACTCTGTTAAGTCGGTTAGTTGGATCCTAATTTGTTTGACTTCGGCCTCCTTGAAGATGACTGGAGAACTCGCGCCTAGGTTCACCGGCCATTTCTGTGCTTCTATCTTTAGGTCCTCTAAGCTGCGGGTCATGGCGTCGATTCGAGACTCCTGCTCTGGCCCAGCGTATCGTCTCTCATTGTCTGACGATGTCACCGTTTGGCTTACTTCGGATATCCGAGAGCTGGCCTGGTGTCAGAAATTGGCATAAAAATACCCAAAAACACCAAAAACAAAAAATTCTATTTGACGCTAGGTATTTACACTACCTACCTCATAATAGACTTGACCTGTCGCGAAACAACATTGGAAAGCTGCCTTAGCTTTTCAATGTAGAGTGTGCCCGTGAGTCTAGATCTCAACCAGGCTCTTGCGTCTGTATCCCATGGCTGTGATCTTGGCTGGCCGGGCGACTCCCTCAGTGTATTAATGATATCCTTCAGTAACGCAGCGGAAGCATCCCGAGAAGAGATAAGCTCTTTCAGTGCTAGCGCGTTGCTTGTAGATGAATGATATTGCAATGGATGAATTTGAACATTCAGTAGCGCAATTCTCAAATCCTCGAAGGCTTCCAAAGTGGTATAGTCACCTCTACTCTCTGACAATAATGGCGGCCGTGTTTGAGAAGCTTGGGAAGTCGAAAGCAACCCAGTAATGAATTCCGTAACGGCGAGGATGCATGCGGCGCCGTCGAGCGCTAAAACGACGTCCATGACGTCTATGGCTGGTTATACCAACTAGAGCCAGAATCTATTCTTCAGCATTTCGATTTTAAAAATGATTTTTCTCAGAATTAGGGGTTGTGGTGATACATTATTCTATGGGAGCATAGAACAACTCACGAGACGAAAATGATGATGTCGCTACAGCAAGAATTGGAGAGATGAACTCTCAATGTCGAAGTTGAACCAGTTTAAACTGGGCCCTAACGTTTTACCCCGGTCATTTTTGAGAAAACCCGCGCCGACCGGCCGTTTCAACCCCCACAGCGTTCCACCCGATACCACGCTTTTATGCACAGACCAACATACATATACTTATGCACAAGCAGGTTTGCGCACGGACATTTCGTAATAATACTCCGTGTCAAATGCTATGGAATACGTCGTAACTACTTAAGTACAGTATATCCATTATCTTCACTCTATCTAGCCTTCCTCATCCGACAATACGATTCCCCCCCTTTAAATAATCCTCACCAGCGATATATATTTATGTTACCAGAGTTTTCCTACCACCAGGTACCGGGACGCATGTGGTCACAGTCCGCACCCCTCTGCTCGACATGTTCAACGACAATAATATCTCCTTTCCCAAAGGCCGGCGTTAGCTAAGTATGGTGTCCCCAATTCCATGCGTGTAGTACGTATAACATAGAGCCTAGACCCTAAGGCAACCTGAGTGATCCTATCGACGTAAGCCCACGAGCTGTAGCTGACTCTCGACTACGCTCCGTTTTTCACCGCCATTATATCCTCCTCTAAGGACGAGGCGTCCATCCGACACAGTGGCTGCCAAGAACGAAACCGACAGCTTGCGCAAGGAGATCGCGGTAGCGCAGTCCACTATCGTGACCGATGCTAGCCAGACGGGCATCAAAGTTGTCGGTGAGTTGAGACAAGTACATGAGCTCGCGAGGACTTAGGAGGTCACACTGATAGCTGATGATACCTCGGACCTCTATATTTCTACCCGTGGCATACAATACCATGCGTTCTTCGTGCTAGCCATGCTTAACACTGACGGTCGACAGGAAACACGACGATGCGCATGTTAATTGATCCCGACCGCCTGGCCAGGCGCGCCATGTTTACTTATAATGTCGATGATAGGTTCGTGTTCTCCCTCACCATCGGCCCTTACCGCGGTACCGACCAAGCCAAGAATTGCCACCAGTGAAAATGGATAGGTCGTTTGAGTGTTGGCAAACACCTTGGCGGCGACTATGCGCCCTAGATAACGGCGGGAAATAGGACCACGGCACAACTAAAATGATAGATAGTTGTGATTTGGAGTTAAGTTTACTTCTTCGGTAGGTACATATTTGAACGAGTCGAAAAAGTATCTAGGTGTTAAGTAAGTGGCTTGAGTGAACCGTAGACTTCCTTACTAAATAGGGTTTAGTCTTCTGTATCGTAGATCATAATAATGTATTTGCTCACATGCCTAAATTAGAACATAGGAGAAAAACTAAACTTTAAAGAGTAATACATATCTTTTTCTAAGGCAATGCGCCCCAAGATTTAAAGTTCACTAGATCTAATCGAAGATGGTTGGATGGGTCAATGAATACATCGCAACCCCTCCTTACAACTTGGAGCCTATAATACACTACCTAGGTACCTATCCGAATAGAGGCATCAGGAACAAACAACTCTCTAGATTTATACCCCTTACTTGAGGTACCATATTTGCACAAGATAGTAGCCTCATAATTTACATAAGATAACTACCCACCTAGGCGGGCTCCGATTTACGGTGCTGACCGAATAGTACCTACATGTACGTACTGTCGATCACGATTCTACATGTAATGACGCATTTATTAAGACATTATCATGTCGTTACAGGTAATGGTTTATCCCTGGATGGTTCCCTCATCGGGTGTAACTTGATTTTGTGTTCGCATTTGCGCCCGCCCTTCCGAAATGGGAAAGATGGTAAGAGCATGCGATCTTAAACGCAACATGAACGTATCCTTTTCTTATAGCGTATCATTCTAGACACCTCATCTTCATAGAGATACTGTTAGTATCGAAAATCCTGTACCTAGGTATTATTCGGATCTCATTTCATCATCCACTAGATTCCCGTGTTCCTATTGGTCCGATCGACCCACTTACTTGGACGATTGGTCGTGTTAGTGTTTGTTGGTCTTTTCCTGGTTTAATCTATATAAGCCTTAACCTGAAACTGACTTCCAATCAACACACCACGGGAACTTGAGTTCCCATGAGCCAAACTGGCCTCGTGGTCTAGTGGTATGATACTCGCTTAGGGTACACCCTCAAGCTCCGTTTGCGAGTGGTCCCGGGTTCGAGTCCCGGCGAGGCCCCAACTTTTTAGTATTTTTTCGAATTATTTCAATTAATTGAGAAATCAATCAATATCTTTTTTTTTTCGCCTCCATATTAATTACCATAGACACGGGAGAATTCGTACGACTCTCCTAGACACTCATCAGATCTTTTGACTTTAGTACTTGTTCTTTTTTCTCTCTTCACATTTTAAAAAGACACTTCTAGGAACCCTTGCCTTAGAGGTGACTTATTACTGTTGTACAACATACACCGGAGTTTTGATTTCTATGTAGCGGTGAACTAGAAACTCCGAATTCCTCTGCGCCCATAGAATCGTTGAAACTTGCGCAGACACAGGCCTCCCATTTACTAAGTTGCCAACCTTTCGCTCAGGTGATCAAACGCGTGCTTACCGAGGCAAGTATAGACGGGTGGGAAGGAGAAAAAAAAGTTGGCCAAATGTCTCGGCTTTAGGAGAATACCCCGAGGTCGATATTCTTAGAATCCTATCCTTGGCTTAGGCGGCGATCCGAAGAAAGGTCCAGGTCTCGCTTTTCATGCTATAGTACACAGTTGGTAAGTATGCATACCAGAGTTTTATTGACTTCACCCCATGGAAAATTGATCATTCGAGTTTGTCTCTCATTTCGGCCTTAAGAGGTCTGTAGTATCGCAAGTGGAGTGTACTCATCTTGAAAGGAGCTGGGGTTGGCGTCCTAGAATTGCCAAGGTACGTTACAAACATCGCTTAACAACAGAGGACTTGGAATCAAAGAGTTAAAATACTTTATATTATTACCTAGGTAAGCTCGAGTCGAATTGCAGTAACACGAAATATAGTTGTGTATGTCGACAGTACATACTTAATATGTTGTGGGCGTACATGACAGCATCACGGCTGGACCGGCGCTATACTCACCCATGTAAAGAAAAAAGATCCAAATCCAATTCGGGGCAGTAGCCTAAACGTTCTAGACAACTAGGCTAGCTTCAGCAGGTTAGAATAACGTTACAGTCCCGGCACCAGCACCCCTGAATAGAAGCTATGCCTAAACACATCATGGTGCATAATGTTGTTGGTCCTGTTAAGGGGCCTCATTCCAGAATTTTGTATATAAGGGAACTCGTGAGCCCTTCATCTCGTCCTGTCGCTCATTCTATCATTACGTGTTAGCGGATTTTGCATCAAAAGGTCAATTTCATCGACCACCACACTCGTTTAATAGTCCGACCACGACAAACCATTAATACCAAAAATGTATACCAAGACAGCCATCATCGCGACGCTTAGCGTCTGCGCGTCCGCCCAGCACCTCCTACCGCGCCAGACATCCAGCGCCTCCGACTTCTCCGACGATGACGAGAACTCCTCCCCCGAGTGCATCTCCCGGATACAAGAATGGTCCGCCGCGATGCCCACCCCAGGCCCCGACGTCGAGAGCGCGCTTAACAAGCTCTCGGGAGACGGCCTACCGGAGTCGGGACTTGCGGGCTTGTGCATCGTGGCCGCTAGCCTGACGGGCAAGGACGCGCAGGCGTTCTCGTCTTATCAGATCGATATGTACTCCTACATCTCCGCGCAAAGCTCCAACCTCAACGCCCTCGCCACCTCGTGCTCTAGCGACATGGGTGCACCGCCTTCCGTCATTACTTCTGAACTCACTGAGTACCTTTCCGTTTACTCGGGCTTCTCGGCCGGTGCCTGCAAGGATATCGCTACGACTGTTGATTCCAGCTCTTCGGCTTCAGCTACTGCTAGTGCTGGTGCGTCGGTTACTTCCGGCTTCGTCACTGGTGTGTTCACCGTAGTGAGCGCTGATAACAGCGCTGCGACTGCTAGTGCTAGCAACACCGGATCCGCGGCCAGCAGCACGACTTCGTCGCCCGCCACTGTATCAGCTAATGTTGGACCTCGGGAGACTGGTATGCTCGCTGCGGCTGTTGCGGCCGTGGGTGTTATTGGTGCTGCTGTTATGTTGTAATAAGGATACCCAGTTTATATACATTAGCACTGAAATGTAAAAAATGGATTGTCGCAGCTTGTATTGTTTTCTGGCCCATCATGTCTTCAGCGTCCTGACCATCATACGATTGACTTCCTTCGCTTACATTTATAGGCATTCCACCATACAAACAGTTCATTATCGACATACGTCCATTGAATTACAATCAAATGAATTCATAGCGATGAGTTTGGGAGTTTGAAGCGTTATTTATATTGTGTTGTGGGGGGGTTTGGGCTTGCAAAGGGGGAAATTACAGCGAATATCATCATCTAAAACAGTATCACATCTAGATAATAAAGAAAACCACCGACGTCATATCACTCACTCTACTAAGCCCCTAGTTTCATATCTACAAGCTAAACAATGGACTAACATGATTTCAAGTTTCTTAAGTTTACTTGCTGGCATCATTGTGCATGTTAAGAAGACCCTACTTGGAGTGTGTCGCTTACGTAGAGAATACCATATTTCACGCCTCCTGGTATGAGATATCACAGGTAAAACAAACATCCAGGAAATATCGCTCTCAAACTGTCGCATAAACTATATCCAATTACTCTAATATACTACCACCTCATTCACTGCACAACAAATTGCTCCGCATGCGATTTATACAACACCGAAGAATCCAACACCTCCCCCGTCGCAGACCTTATAAAATCCACCTTCAAATTCTTCGCATCCAGGAAACTAATCGTAGCATAACTAAAGTCATCAGCATACGCGAAAGAATTAAACGACACATTACTTCCCACAGCACTCAGACCCTCAATATTCCCCGCTCCGCCAGCGACTATGTACATAGGCGCCTTCGGGTCACGCATACCCTTCGGATCCACCGTATTGTTGAATACAGGTTGGAACCGTTGCGAATTATGCACATGTCCGAGAATCGCTAGGTCGACGCCGTACTTATAAAGCAGTGGCTCGAACGCGGCTTGACACGCGGCACACCCGTCACCGCCGGTTGTGTACCAGGGGCGATGACCACCGACGAGTAACCAAGGTGTTACGGTACGGTCTACGGATGCTAAATCCGCTTCTAGGAACTCAAGTTGTTGCCCTGAGGTCCCGAAGGGTCCGCTGTTGAGGCCGGCTGAACCGCCTGGGCCGTCGGGCGCAGAGTCAAAGTCGGTTTCTGTGTCGATCATGACGAAATGTAGGAGTCCGTATTCGAAGGAATACCAGAAGGGTGGCTTGGCTAGGAGTTTCGCTTTATTGGCGTTTACGCGGGCGGTGTCTTTCGCGGAGGTCGAGGGGAAGGCTGTGGACATGGTGGCGCCGAAACGGGTCATGAAATCTGTGAAATTATTCTGGCCGGCGGGACAGAGGCCGGTCGTATATGGTATTTCTTGACATGCGGCTTCGTGATTGCCTGGGCTGGCCATGTATGCCTTTCGCCCGGATACTGGGGATAGTTGGTCGTAGAATTGCTCGAGGATGGCTTGGAAGGCGTCCTCGCCGTCGAGTAGGTTCTTCGTCTTTAGGTACCAGTCGTCGGCGTATGCGAAGTCTCCAGGATGCACGATGAACTCGTAGTCATCGACGGTCTCAGCTAACCGCGCGATAGTCGTGTGGTTTAATGACGGGTCAATGGTCGGAATCGTGTCCCGCTTGGTTTCGTCCATTTGAATAGTAAACCCGTCAGCGCCATAGACACCGAGGTCGATCACGGCGTTCATGGAGAAGGGCGTTGTATCACCGGCCACTCGCGGACTGAAGAAGTGCTCGACGCTGGAGTTTGTTGACACTATCTTATAGTAGTAAGTGGTGGCTGGTGAAAGTCCTGTGAGAGTGACTGCATTGGAGTATGTTCGCGATGTTGCGTAAGTGACCGAGGAGCTTGAGCAGGCCTTTGAAGTGAGAGCATTGCTCGATGTGCCATATTGGACACACGGTTGATCTATCTTCTGGTATGTATTCCAACCGATAGCGACGGCTTGAAGATGGGGGCATCATGTCAGTAAGGTAAGATGGAATTTATCTCATTATAATCATGTGTAGTTCATATGGCCACCGACTCACCATTGGGACCGTTGATAGCAAGACGCTGTTGAACTGGAGTAGTCAAGTCAGCAGGTTTTGGTGGATAACTAGCCGCGGCACTAGCACAAGAAGCTAGAACCGGGAGTCCCTTCACGATCTTAGACGGGTTCACCATCATGCAAACTCGCTACACCTTAAATGAAGCGTAGATCAATGCCGAAACTTACATCTCACCTAGATATTCAATGACCTACCAATGTTTGGAGTATTTATGATACGCGCGTTCTATATGGCTGACGAATATGCACCCACGTGCGGTACCGTATCTAGAACCGCGCTATCGAATGTGTAGCTTCTCGTAGTGTTGCGTAGCCAATCGTGGAGATGTTATGGTAGGAGTTGCATTGGAAGGGTTATGCCCGCGGCTCGTGCCAAGACGATTGGGTGAGAAAGGAGGGACCCGCGGCGGACCGGGAACAAGGTCGATATATGGCCGGTTGGTTCAGCATCATAGTGCCGAGGGGATTACCTAAATAAGAAGCTAGTCTCCGTCGTGGAACCTGACAGTGAAGAATTATTAGCTGTGTATCTCTATGGCTTGCATTAGTTCTGAGATGTATTGAAACTGATGAGGAAAGAGGCTTATAGCTGAATATAGTACGTGAATGAACTTGACACTGTCTTGACCGGGAAGTTGGAGAAAAAGTAAATGGCGCAGAATTTTTACACTTGACATCTTGTTTTCAGGGTCACCAAATCGACAGTCAACCCATGGCTTCTCAATGTTGAGATCAACAAGTTCAGGAACCCATGATATATTATAACGAACGACAAAAGCTAACCCTCTACACCATCGAGAAATTCAGGGGTAAACAGAACGCCATCCACCACGAATCCAAGTACAATAGTATACAGTTTAAAACCATCCTGCCCTGCTCCATAATTCTCTATAGCCACCTACTAGCCGAGTAGAAGTTCCCGACAAGCTAGGTACCTTTTGAATCATGTCGCCTTAATAATAAGTACATTCAATGAAATCCCTGCCAGGGCCGTGACGCATAACACCGCACAACTTCTCAATAACCCTGTTGTGAGAATCCCAGGAGACCGAGAATACTATACAAGTAAATCCAATTAGTTATCTATCTCTTCTGTCATGGACTGTATGGGTTACTCACCAACTCTATCAGGGATTTGCTTGACGTTGTCACCGCCTCCCTTCCTCCAGGTCTTGTCCTTCATAAGAGGGTACTCGTACAAGGTTCCCGTGCACCCACTAAAGATCCTCTCGTAATTGTTGAAGACGTGAGGGTAGTCGCGGGATTTCGGCCTCCAACCTGGGCCATTGCGCTCTAAGACGGAGGCGCCCTCCTGCATGGCACGGTCGACCCGCGAGTAGCTAAACTCTGTCTCTTTATAGACGCCGTATGCCCCGTTGTCCGTCTTCGGGCACCAGAAGCTACCGGCCCTCTTGGTGAGGTCGAGGTCAGCCTCGGCAGTATTGATGGGCTCGGAAGTTCGAACTCCAAGGGCGATTTCTCCATCGCCCTCAATGATTGGAGAGGTAGTGGCTAGTGAAGCTAGGAATAGGCCGACGGCCAGAAAGCTGCTTGCGAACTTCATTTTAAAAGACCGGAAAACTTAAGGAAGTTTTAATGTGATTTATATAGTATATCGGATGATGGAGGAGGATATATGTGTTGGGTTGCTTGGTGTTTGGATTGTGAGACAGAGAGCTGGATCGTGGTCCCTTCTTATACACCATATTTCAAGATCTCGTCCGTCGAACATTGATCGCCTTGTTGATAGCTCGACTACCATCATGGTATACATTGCTACGTAGCCACCATGTCTCTATACCATGAAGTGCTGGTTTCTGCTACTAGCTTCAGTATCTTTCGTCGCATTTCCCTTTCCAGAAGAGTGATGGCATTGATCAACAAGTAGGAAGCACTGCAGCCATGTAATTGTTTCTTTTTTTATTATTTCGGCATTGAGGCTCTTCTAAGTATAGGTATAGCACGTGCTGTGTCTGTTGATCGTTTTATCATTTCTCTTGTCGTTAATTGACCCATAAGTTGGTTAGCAAGTACAACGGTTGGTTTGTTGGTTGGTTGGTCGATCGTGGATTGATACACACTACAACATGCAACTCTGCAAGGAGTCCATTAAAACGTGCCGCCGGTGCCACTTATAAATGCAACAACTTAACTCCTACGCGGGAGTAGATCGGAAAATCTGAGATGTTAGATGTTTTGTTTGGTTGGTTCTACTGTGCCGCCAAGGTGCTCCAGAACATCAACCATCTACACTCCAATTTATGATCCTATTACGTAGGGTACGACGTCACTCCTCCACCAAGTAAAAGTGTCCTTTTATTGAAATAAATTGAAAAAATATATCCATCTCAAAGGAACCAGTCTCGGATAACTACAGCTTGACCTAAACAATCAATCATCTAAATTCAGAACATCATTCTCATAACTTCTTCAATAACCCCGCAATGTGCGCCAACAAAATCGACGCTTGGATCGAGGCCCGCAAACAAGAGGACGACCCTCTCCGCCTCACTAATACCGAGGCAGAAGCATGGCGGCAATTCTTAAATGCGCCCGCGAGCGAAGTCGCGCATCATGCAAAACAGATTGCCCTTCCAAACATAAGACCAATCCAAGACGATGATTGTCGTCTTCATGAATTGTGGAACGCTCTGGCTGAAGCTGTCAATGATTTCACCGACCAGAACGACAAGCTAGCTCAATTCGTAGTAGAGTTGCATCGCTTACCCGATGGGAAAGGGATCGCAGGAGCTTGGCCTTTTTTCGAACCTCTGCCTGAGTTTGATATCTTCTGGACCGAATGGATCCAATTCCAATGTGAGTTCCGCTTGCCTACTATCATGTTCGTTTCTAACACATTCGCCTCTGGAAGTCGACCACTCACAGCTTGATGAGTCGGACCCTGAGCATCAGAAAAACCGTCAGGCTCATATAAACCAACATACCTTTCTGGCAAAAATCACAGCGCAGGGAGCTCCCGATAAAGCTACGGGCGGCAATTGGAACCCCGTCCTGGACCAGCGGGAACGTGGCGGCCTGGCTTTCACTTGGGCACTGGAAAGGACGCCTTGGGATGAGGAATCCCCTAGTTATGATCCCAATGGCTTTAGAATCAATGCCCTTGATGTCCACGTACTCGCTGCAGCACCGTGGCTTGCATACTGTGCTGAAGGCATGTATGAGAAGGCTCTAGCGGGAGGAAGAAAGTCCTGGGAGTACCCGGGTACATTATCGAACTGGGGCGTTATGGGTGGCTGGAGCAAAGAGAGATGGGATTTCTGGCGGAAGAGATTCCCCGAACTTTCTAACATGTCGGAATTGAAAGAGGAGACTAGAACCGTTGCGAAAGAATGCGCAGAACGAATGGCTGAGGCAGAGAAGTCCAGGTCATAATAATATCCAGTGTAGAATGAGACAATCCTAGTTTGGATACCAAATAGAAGGCCACTCACTTTATGATACCATATATACAGTTCTGTATGAGTTGAGATGCCTCTTTTCAACACTTAGTCCTTAACGCCTTGATTCCCTTTTCGTCCTCAAACAAGTTCATACTTCGTGCCTCCAAAAATTGGCGCCATACATCCGGGCATCTCCTTCTCAATCGCAACCTTGAACCGCCATCCAGTACAATGTCCCGGCATAAGAACCTTCGGCTCTAACGCCTTCAAATCTCGCATTGACAGCTCTAGCTTTTCTGGACCACCGTCCGCTAAATGGTACCCACCCACCACTGTGTATAGTGGCGCTCCTCCGCCAAGTTCGATCGCATGTCGCGACACATTAACAACACCCGCGTGGCTACACCCCGTGAACACCACAAGTCCCTTTCCTTTAAGGTTACACATAACCAACCGCTCATCCATGATCAACTCATCCGTCTCCCACTTCCCATTCTCAGTATTATACCGAATACCGCCGCGGATCCCACCTTCATACTCCGTAAGCCGCGGGATCTCACCAGAAATCAAAAACATATCATCAAGCGCAGTATGCACCTCATCACTCCTAACCAACTCCGCACCCGCGTTTTCAATCTCCTCAAAGCTCGGATCAGGCTCGAGCGAGATCGGCTCGGACGTCATAACTCCGCGAAACTCCGGACGATCAGGATGTACATCGACCACCACCTTCCCAACCTCCCCATTTCCCCCCTTCTTCTTAGCATCCTCAATCATCCTCACAGCACTCAGCAAGCCCCCCGAATGATCTCTATGCCAATGGGATAGCACAACCCTCTCAATCCTCCCCGGATCCAACCCCAACCTCGTCACATTTCTCTCCCAGACAGCTTCCTCGGGTCCAGCGTCAAAAAGCAAGGTATGCGACTTCCCGTCTTTAGTCGCCGTGACCAATAACGAGAGGCCGTGGGCGCCACAGCATAGCGTGTCCATGCGCATTTGCAGCTTGGCGCCGCCACGCTGTGTACCCTCGGCTAGGGGGCGGAGGGGTGCGCCCATGAATGATTGGGGGTGCTTTATTGAAGGGTGGGGAGACGGGGAGATTTGGTCGATTTCGTCGTTGACGATGGCGTGGATTGTTAGGGTGTCTACTTCTGTGAGTTTAGGGATTGCCATTCTGAAGGTATTTTAATTAGGAATTTGGTTATTGAGGTGATAATAGGTATGTGTAAGTGTGGATGGGTTACTGCGTGATTCCATGGTATACCGGTAGCTACGCACGATATATATTCGAACGCAGCAGCCCTACTTGACCTATCCTCTTGCTAGAAACCCGAACGCCGTAGCGTTCGCCGATTAGCTAAGACATAGCGAGCGCTCAGGTATAGATTCCCGTCGATCTCCCGTCTATACTGATTACCCACGTGGAAAACGTAGAGAAGGTGGAATTATTTCCGCTACTCTCTATACAAGTTACGCTCTATAATCGCCAACCTGGGGGCTGCGCCGCAGTCCACGTAAGTAATAAGCCCTTGCGGGAGGTTGGTTCCGCACTTGCAGTTCGATCCCGTAGATGGATCCGATTTTTTGGTATAGGCGGAAGTGGGAGCGGAAAATGTCCCGTCGTTATAATTATGACTCAACTACGCCCCGGGGATTATCTCGATACTATTGACGTTAGCTTGTCTGCCTAGTTCTCGTTTTTAAAATGATGGATCTCGGATTGTTATAAAACTCCGACTTGTATAAATACCTGATATATAAGGCATCCATCTTCGCATTAGATAGCTTTATAATGTTTCCTACTACACCGAAATAAAATACTGAGGGGAATTCAATCTGCATTGGACTTATCACTTGGAACTCTAGTAATGCCAAGAAAATGCGTGGTCGTCTATCAACAATTTTTAACACAACCCTTACAGGGAGAATAAAATCTCAGCACCCCTAAAATGTACTACACTCCCAGTCGCCTTCAACTCCGCGCTAAACACCCCTCAGTTTAGAGAATAGACATCCCCAATTAGAACCAAAACATTCAGTTTGATAGAACAGCTTGCTTGTCATCATGGGGAGGAAACCCAGTATCCGCCGTCTTATTAACCAGACCTAGCGTTAAAACGTAGCCATACTTCCAGCTATCTGCGCCCTCGACAATCGGTGGTGGGGGGATATCGGCGCGTGATTCCCTAATCTCTGTAGTGTTGACACCAAAGAGCTCGTCTCGTTTGTTGACAAAATCAGGGGTAATCTGATCGTCTCCCGTGTAGCCCATGACGAGTTCCGGGATGCCGATCGGGTAGGATGAATTCTGTTGGTCGTAGCGCCAGGTGTGGAATGTCTTGCCGTAGGTTCCAACCACTGCAAATAGAAAATTAGTAATTGCTATAGTATAAATGGCGTTAAATAGGGGCGGGGGGTACGTACAGACGTCCTTCATAATGGTATGGTCAACGGAGGCTGGCAGCCCTGGCTCGATGAGGAATCCGCTGGTGATTTCGTAGACATGGCTATGCCAAAGTTGGCGTTCTGGCATCAAAATTAGCCCCCTACCCCTGAACTTAATAGACATGTGTCCCCACCTTCGTAATCTAGAGTCTCGAAGGCCGAGGTAGTGATGATGTATTCGATACCAGCTAGGCGCGCAGGGGTCGTGGCAGTATTGTACACAGCGCATTGCAAAGTGTCGTCGGCGATGATTACGCAGTAATGGTTGGCAGACAACTCCCAATCGCTATGCCCTGAAACAAAGTGGAAGCCGTTCAGAAATAGCACGGTTCCTTCAGGGCCATAGTGACCAAAGGGGAGCGATGCTGACAGGCTTAGGGGGAGAAAAGCAAGCGCGGAAAGGGCCGCAGAAACAAGCTGACGAGAATACATAGCTCAGACTTTGTGCGGGTCGGCGAGAATTAGATAAGCTAGAAGCTGTAGACCGGAGGACCTGTTGAATCGAACGAAATTCCGTTGACGAATCGCGCGGATATAGTCTTTATATACTCCTCGAAACACAGAAAAAGCCATCGCGTCTCCATCGAGATTTGATAGACAGCTTTTCTTCATTTCCAGCTTTCTCCTCGGGAATAAGGGGGACAAAACATCCTTGGCATCTAGTATCGTCTCCCCGAGGATAGCGACTCCCGCGAGCAAGAGCAGAGGATTTTGCCATGAACTCATAGACTTGACCCGCGAAGTCGCCGTAGCCCCCTGGCCTTCAGATCTACGCGCAGAAATTTCCTTCTTTCAGGCATTCTGCTCACATGAGCGCGGGGCCATCGGGACGTGCCGGAAGTCGTAATAGCCTCCCTAAATCTAGCCGAAGACCTTGAGCAATACCGTCACGATAGCGTAGATACGCAGAACCCGCTACGATCAACCAGAGCATCGTACGGGTTAACTCCACAATGATCGCCTAATTCGTTTGACTCATCATCTTCCTGTCTGGCATCGAGGTCGGCGATTACACGACGCATAAAGTCCTCAAATTCGTAGCCATCTAGTGGTCGCCGTTCAGATCTAGCACCTTTAACACCGCACCAATTATAGGCTACATAGAAGACCGACAGCCGACGAGCCGTCCTTCCATTGACGGCTTGGTGAGTGGCTCCACAGATTGAGCAAGTTTGTCAACACGTCGCCCGTCAGAGTATCCGCTCCGTCGAGCAATTCCACAAGATTTTCCCAGCAGAAGAATCAGCAGCCCCTGGTTTCGCCGCGGTATGCGCTTTAGTGAAGTATGTAGCCCGCCGCCTCAAGAACAGGGGAAAGGGTTCGTATCCGCTACATAGTCGATTGAGTGTAAATCCTCGAAATCCAGCGGGAAAAATGCTGTGAGAACGAGGTCAGTTGGTGTAGTCGATTTACATCTTGTTCGAGAAGAAAGAAGTCAAAAATAGCTTAAAGATGGAAGGGGAAGATGGTCGTACATATAGTTCGTCGTAGAAGTCGATGGCTTCGAGCACGCCATCGCCCCTGTCACTGCGCTGAGAGGTTTATTTCCTTTTTCGGCCCTGTAGGGCTTCGGCTTTGGCGTTCCAGTGGACACCTTTCGCCGAGCCGAGCGCTAAAGAGGGGGTTGCGGTAGGGCCCGCTCCCGCTGTTACGCTGGGAAGATCACTGGATCTGATTACCTAGGTACGTACTACGTATTATGATGCCTCGATTAAAATCACGAACTTAGAGATATAGGGGACAAATTATCGGTTTAACGCAAGCTACAACATTTGCTTCATCTTTTTGGGGAGGCTATCGTACGTGTAGAGTGCAATATCCTCCTATCGCGAAATCTCTCACTATTCCGCGGAGCTTCCCCATCAACTCGCCGATTCATCCGCAAACGAAGACGAGGTCCTCGCCAAAAGCCAGTCGCCAGTTATTTCACCACGAAAATTGACCTGCAGCACAATTTATAAAAGCAGGGCCGTGTAGATGTCATAAAATGACGCAAGGATGATTATCGATCCTCAACCTCTGGTTCTTGGGTATTTCCCTAGGCACCTCCCTACTCCCGTCGTGGTTCGCCCAGTCGTCGTCGCACTCCTAGAATACCCCAACACCAAAATACCTTCTCCTTTATCGCCTACGGCTTCTTGGATCGACGCCTTTCCACTCTGCTTGCAGCTGACTCGATAATAATTTGTCGGCGCCGGTATCCTTTATGCGAGCCTCGTCCCACATCACATATCCCCATTCGCGAAGCTTGTTGGGAATGTATTCACCGTAGAGATTGCTGTACGTTCCACTCCACGTCAGGGTCCAAGCTGATGACGGGCGCGTCTCAGAGTCACCCTCGAAGGGCAGCGGATCACGAGCCGCTGATAAGTAGTCCTTTTCGCATGGGTGTTTATCGTATCGTAGACGTTGCATGAGCTTGGACCGATAAGAAATATTTACACCTATACCGTGATGGGATAACAGCCGATATTTAATGGCTGCTAGGTCGCCAGTATCATCCAAGAAATTGCGGATGCTGGACATCATCTGGAGTCCACGGGAGATATACGCGTCTACGACAATTTCCCTCAGATCTATTTGAGTAGGGTGGTGATGTTAGTCTATAGTTGTAAAGTAGCACTAAGGGAAGTAACTTACACCAGCCATCGAGATCACTCAGGGTTGGGGAGAGCTGGGGATGATGGTATCGGAGGAGTTCGGTGACGGGCTCAAGTTTTCTGTTTATCTCTGGGCGGAAGTATTCGAGCATTTCATCGTAAGTAGTCTTGGCAAATAAGTAAACGCACCAAAACTCCTCTACCTCCCAGGGTTCGGAATCGGCAAAGAAGAGCGATGAACCTAAAAGATGGGCTTCTCTGTCTTTTGTGATGAAGCCCGACCCTAAACCGTTATGGGGCCCAACACTGAAAAGGTGGGAATACAGCTGTAATCGGTAAAGGCCACGAACTACTCTTGTCTCTTCCGTACTACTAAGCTTCGTCGAACCACAGGCCGGCGATACTCCAATTGATTCGTTCAGTTTGGCCGCCGTGTACCGGACGTATTGGCGAATTGCTGGCCGAATAGCTCTGAAATAGCACCCCACCATCTGAATCGCATTGTCTTCTGTCATACGTGCCGAAACATCTAGTAGTTGGAGGCTGCGATAGTCTCTTAGATACTTGACTACTCTCGCTGGTGTACGGGCTTCTATGAACTTTCTCGACCTGGAACAATGAACTGCGAAAGCATCGATGGTGACATTGCTTAGTGTGTTGTATAAAGAGGATCGGAGTATATAGAGACGGTCTTCTCTATATTGCGCATGGTAGTAAGGCGACGCCCGAACAAAGTTCCTAAGGTCGCTTAGTGGCAAGAATGAGAGTATGTGCCGGCGGAGCTCAGGAGGGAGATCTTCAACGAGCGATTTGAGTTGCTGCTTAACGTGGTGGGTGTCCATGATTGACGACATTTTGAGATGGCCGACTTTCTCGATGGAAATTGGTGTAGGGTTTAGGGGGGATGAATGGAAGGGGTCCTTGGAGTTGACAATTGACCTGGATGTTATGGATGTGTAGGTATCAAGAGAAGAGGTTGTGGGAAAGAAGACTGTGACGAGAGAAATGGGATAATTAATTGAAAACCAGAAGTTTATATACCACTGTAGTATGGGTGGTAGGAGAAGAGGGCAAACTGTTAACCTCGAAGGAGAGAAAGAGTACTGTACATATTTCATCCCAAGTGACGTGGAAACGGTTGCTGCACTGGGTGGTCAAACCACCTAGCACTTAAGCCGCTAGGGAAAACAAGTGATTTGAATTGTCTGATAATAAGTTCGGTCAGTTGACACTGTTATTAGAACCAACTTACCTGGAGACTGCCATTCATGCCGGAATATCAGGAACGGGACTTGGCTAGGATAGTTGCACTGGGTGATTCCAGGATCGAAACCACCCAACTCACCAAACAAAACGTAGAAATACACGGTAAGCTCTATGTCGGTTTATCTTGTAGGAGAAGATCCTTTAGATAAGCGACCTACTAAGAAGTTTGCATTTCTTTGCTATCATGAATATCACATCAATGGAGGTTAATGCTACGGAAAGGCATCGATCACCAATCACCCGACCACGTTGAACAGTATTCATAGCATGCTTGACTTCTCTATTGTCTATCGAATTATGGCCTAACCGTTAGGACCACTGTGTGAGCCTTTTGGTTTATCTATTATTACATGCCATTATCATAACGCGTAACTTTTCATTAAGTCCTAACCATCATGTCTTTTCCGTCGTCCGCAAACCAGTGACCAATGCCAACGTCCCTCCCTTGGGTATAACTCGAATTTATCTAATTCGAGGGGTATACAAACCGTCGGAACGATTTATTATTAATATGTTTGTTGTTTTCTCTCGTGTCTATACGTCGTAAAAGGGGAGGGGCAATCCTCTTGCCACCTCATGCAGTGTTGTACATAAAACTGTTCCTCATGAACATGCGAGCTGTATAAATTAACAGAAAAAATAATGGATAGGGCTGACCCTTGTTGTTTTCTCTGGTTTGGAAGTTGTTCGCCCCGAACGCCGCGTAAATGCTTCATATGAAAGTCGTGAATGTGTCCGTGGGTTTGGGGCTAGTCGGGATTGGAGAAAGGGTCAGGTTAGTAGTTGGAGACGTCTCATCACTGCTCCATAATCATATTTCGAAGTGCCCATCTTAGGTCAGTTCGGTTGTGGGTGCCAGTAGTATTCCACGGTCCACACTTTCGACGCCATCGCGTCTCTTCTTCGTGCTGGCGTCTAATAAATTCTGGACCAACGTCGAATTCCTCGCCTACTAGCCAATCATCCCTAATGTCGCTTCCACGACCATGACCACCTGAGATGGAGTCCTTATCCTTCTCGTCGAGATCGGGAATGTCTTTGAATGGGTCATCGTCGTCCAGAGTATTAAAACCCTCCATAGGGTCGCTAGTCGTAGGAGTTGTAGTATCTGCTTTCAGCCAGCACATGTTCTGTGGATCGAAAACCATGTCGCCAACCCGCTTGACACCCTTAGTAGCAGTCATGTTGGTAATGAGCACCGGTCTCGACGTTGAGCCTTCTCTTTCACGTGTTACGTGTGGAGGCAGGGATGCTGTTATGGGTGATGAAGTCGGAACATCAAAGGCGTTGAGTACGTTGTCGTTTCCTTCCCAGCGGAATGTCGCCGGGTTATATGTCATTCCATTAACGACTGATGTCTGAGAGTTAGTGATGTGAACTTTAGAGCGAGATTTTTGAAATTTCTGAGGTATGCGGGGAATTGAGAGATTTTGAGACTTCTCGGGTTGCTTGGGCTGTTGAGATTGCTTAGGTCGTTGAAGTTGCTGAGACTGCTGAGACTTCTAATGCACCAGAGCACTCTGCGACTTCATGAGCGTCCGCGGCTTTTCGATAATTATTTCCACTGGGTTTATCTTCTCCATCATCTTCGACTTCTGAGATGTTTGGGTCTTAGGGGTTGTGTGGATATTTTTGGGTGGTACTTGTGGGTTTTTAGGGGATACGGTCGGCTTCTTGGTTGCTAATGACCTGGGTTGCTGTGCTTTCAGCGGGGAAGGGGTCTTCTGAGAAGTTCGGGCCTCCTGTAGTTTGCGGAGCCACTCAGGTGTGTGGGGAACTTGGGATGCTTGCTTTGGTGATATCTGATGCTCTTGAGGGCTTCGAGATAGCTGATGCTTCTTGATGCGCTCAGGTGTTAGAGGGATTCGAGACGGTTTTTGTCCCTGTCTTTTCTGCGGTTGTTCAGGTGTTTTGGGTTGCTGTGCCTTCGGTGTTTGGGGTTTTTTGGGAGTTGTAGGCGTACCTTTAGTCTCCTTCGCTGAATTAAGATTGGAGATCAAATGTGGTTTAAGTTGTGGCGTCTTTTGAGACTTCTTGAGCCGGGGTGAATTATGACCGTGTAGTGGAAAATTCGTCCTAGCGGATAACTGGGCGACTCGCTGATTGGCGACGGGAGCTAGGGGACCAGAAGCGGGTGCTCGTTGCGCAAGAATCGTCTCCCTAGCAATGCGGCTGGCGGCCGTATCTCGGGCAAAACGAGGTTGAGAATCTATTTTGGCGGGTGAAAAAGGAGACACAGGACTGGGAGTATTTCGATCCGGTAAGACGTTTTGATAGAGCTTGTTTCGAATATTTGTCCTGTTCCCGCTTCCGATTGGTTGTTTGACATATTTAGATTCAGCTTGTGCCGATGTTGGGAGATCATCAAATGAGTCAAGTTCATGGCCGTCGCCAAAGCGACGTACGCGACGCGGCTTGTTGATCTGTTGCCACACAGGTTCGGCAGCCATCCCCCCGTTACGCGTTCTCCTTGGGCTAGGTGATCTAGCGGCAGTACGAGAGACGGTGCGTGATAGAGGTCGAAGTTCTGGACCCTGATCGGAATCGTGACGACGGAAGGGTCGAGGGGCTTGTGTAGCCTTAGTACTCACATGTTGAGATTGCGATTGAGATGCACCGGCAGGTAAGAAAGGGAGTCTTCTCGCCTGTGCTGCGCTGCTCTCATAAACAGGGCGGGCGCGGTCAACTGGGGTCTTGGGTCGTAAAGAAGATTGGGGCCTGTTAGATTCGGCACGTGAATCGGTGCGAGAGGGTGGACGGTCAAACCGCGAGGCTGTTGATTTCGCGGCGCCTGGAGTATGGCGCATAGCTGGTAGAGAGCGCTTTAATCTTAGTAATTGTGCGCTGGTGGTAGTGGGTTCGTTGCGCAACGCTCCCGTCGACGCTTTTTGGTTCAATTCTCTTCTCCGTGGCGTGGAAAATTGAAGCGATTGAACTGATGAAGGAGTAGTAGGCGTGTGAACACTCGATATAGAAGATTGTGCAGAATGGCCAAGACGTGATTGAGATCTTCGGGATGGCCTCGGAGGTATGGGCCCACCACTTTCGGACACTGGTTCCAGTGAAGGCTGGGTTTGTGTACGCTCATGACTGCCCATAGGTCGAGGAAGACGAGAAGCAGGCGTTGAAGTAGTCGGCTTGTTGGTAAATGTTACGGAAACTGCCGTCTTTGGTCGCACAGGACTGATTGGTCGAGCCTCCTTCACCTTTACGTTGCGATGTAGCGACGGCTTGCCAGTTTGGAATACGTCGCCATCGCCAAAGTCAAGACCATCCAAGGGGTCCTCGCTATCTATCACAGGCTTGGCTGTGCTCTTAGGTGAGGGGTGTTGCTTATCTAACATGAACTGCTCGGGTTGTCTCTCAGGGGATGGGTCTTGCTTTCGTCGTTTCAATCGCTCACCTAGGTCCAAAGGACCATTCGGTATCGTTAGACCGTCAAAGATCTCGTCTTCGCTCTCAGCAGTGATAGAGCTAGCAAGACTCGGACTAAGGGCTGATACAGACGAACTACGAGTCGAAAATGCGTCGCGTTTCGTACCACCAAATCGGGTTCCTAAACTACCCTCACCCCAGTCGAAGTCGTCACTCGCGCTTAAGGCTGGGGTCTTAGGGATATCCATTCTTCTAGAGAGCTTTAGTAGGCCATCTGATGGGAGTTCCAAGTCGCCCTCAAATTCGTCTTCGCCCCTCTTCTTTTGAGGGGAGGGTGTGGGCGGGGTGATTAAAGATACAGGTCTAGATTGCGGTCGTAGTTTAGACGCTTTGATGGTCGCAGCTCCATCACCAAACACGTCGTCGTCGTCGTCGTCCGTATCTCGGAACTTGTCTAGGTTGATGGGTGCCGCTAACTGCTTCGGCAGTATTTGCCCTTGAGATATTTCTCGAGCAATGGTGGGAGCGTCTCGTTTTTCTGGACTAGCGTTCCAAGATGCGCTGACCTGTCTAAGTGACTCGGGGTATTTTTTGCTATCCTGGGGTTGCAGGCGGAGCGGGCCGGCAAGAGGAAGCTCTAAATCATCGCCGTAGTCTTCCTGGAAAATCTTCTTCATCTTTCTTCCCCCTAGTCGCTTGATGGTGCCTCCCATTAAGGCAGACAGTGGCGTATTTGAGGGAATCGGTATGCCTGCATGAGTTGCTGCAGCAATCGCGTCCATTGTTGATTTCTCTTCGTCGTCTCCAGTAGGTAGATGTACGTGTCGTTCGTCGTTTCCAGGTAGGGACTCACGATCAGATCGGAAGGAAGAATGGCTGTCGCGATGATGAGATTGTGGGTTCGCAGAGGTAGAATTGCTTCTGAAAGTGAGGTCATCATTATCGATCATAAAGTCGTCATCATCGCCCCAGTCCTCAATGTGACTACTTTTTCTACGAAGATGCTGCGTCTTCTCGCGAAGCTGTACTTTCTCAAGTTCGAGTCCCTTCCAGATTTCCATATCCTCTCTATTTCGTCGAATCGCTTCTTCTCTCTTAAGATCGGCATACTGGGCAGCGTAAATTTTCTCCATTAGGTTCATCTCCTCGTAGGGAATATCAGGAGGGGGATAGTGTGGGTTAGCGAGGGCACCGCGAGGAAGGGTATTGTTTGAAGACATTGTGACGGGGTTGGGCTTGAGGTGGACGGTAGAGATGATCACCGCGTCTCAATGTCAACGCCCCAAAACAATGCTCCTGTCTAATGGTTCTTCGTAGCTTGTCGCATCACTCTGTTACGATGTAAAACCGAGTCCAGAAATAGGTACAAAATTGATGCGACTATTAGAGAAAAGACGCAGAAAATTCCTTAAAGTGTCTGCGACAGTAAGGTCGAATGCGAAAAGATTCAAACGTATGTAGAGATAGGTGGAATCAATTGATTCGGTACAGATGGTAAGTGGGAATCAACGATTTGATAGGAGCGCTACCAAGTCAGAGTGGTAAAAGGTAAAGACATGGGTGGATTGGGTGGATTGTAGGCGGGTGCACGGTTAGAAATAAGGTGCGTAAGGTGTCGGGTGTGTTTGGTTGGTTGACTGCGACAGTATCAGATTGATAAAGCGTAGCGCAGTTAGAATAATTCAATGATGTCGCAGTTGCAACTATTACTGAATAATATTTTTCCGTATTGAAAATTGTACATGTACTTGGTCAAGAACAGATTGCATATGCTGAATAAATCGCAAGAATAATGCGCTTGATTGAATTCCTGAGATGAGATTCATACGTGAGTACAGAAGGTTGTGTTGAGAAACAAGTTGGATGAAAAGTGGATGGAGGGTGGTAAGGTGGGTGGGTGAAAAAATGGAGGATGGATCGGTGCACCAAGGAAAAGGTTGGTTGACCGGAAGTTCCTAGGTACACTACTTGATTTTTGGGTGGTTGGGATAAATGTGCACAGACCATATTTTAGGGCTATGAGGTTTCAATAAATAATGTGGCCAATAAATACCCTTCTTTAGGGCGGTCTTTTACGGCAGAAAACCCGCGACAGCAACGCGACACCCATAAAAACGCGGTCTTGTGCATGAGTACCTAGATACGTAAATACGTTTACCCCTCTTAAGGCACGTGCGCTCTTTACTTTCAATGTTGCGAAATTAGCCCCGAAGGTACCTATAGTATCTAAATAGGTACCACCTTCCACTGTATTTAGGGTCACTACAGGCTATATAGGTACCTACATAAAACATTGCATAGCTGCCTACTCAGCTGACTGTAGACCTATAATTTACCCTTCTCCTATCCATAGACTATCGATTACAAGGCAGCAGGACCTGCCTAACCAACATTGAACCTATTAGAAACATAATATTTTTGTTTTATTTTCTTAATCAATGAGTCAATATCTCTCGATAGCTTAAATATAAGCACACACCTTGCCTGACGCTTTGATCATCCAACTCGCTCGTGATAATTCGAAGAGACGGTCTTTGTTATAAGTTCAACGACAATCCAATAGACCGTTACGGCCCCGTAGCTACTAACACTGCCTAAGATGGTAGAGACTGCGGTTCTACGGTTCCCCATATCAGGAAGAGAAAACGAATATTTCTTGTTAGAGACGTCCTCCAATGGGTCGAAACCGCTAGACCTAAAGCTGGTCGGATCAGAGAGCACAGCTGTGTTCATGATGAAGCGTGAGTATTATCCAACCCTACCGATCATCCGCGTCCCCGGCTTCATGCGCCCAGATCCGATCCTAGCATGCACATTTCATGCATTATTATATGTTCACATATTTATACCGAGTTAGGGAAACTAAACAATTGTATTCTTGTAGTACGTCATAAAAGAGTAGCCGACTTCAAAGCCTCAGGCGGTCCTTGTTCTCATGAGGAGTGGGAAGAAATCCTAACTTCGATCTTAATTAACGAGCACCTACTACCCGATATCGAGATCAGAGCAGACGTCCAATCAGATGGCTCATCGGTCTCGCTCTCTTTTCGGAAGAACATTCAGGGAATTACGGTATATAATTCGTTTGATGACCTTCACATCGGCAATATCACTAACTGCAGTTTATAGCAACGGGTTGGTTCCCTGAAGCTAGAAGAAGATGAGAAGACAGAGATATCCCCCTTTGATTGGTGTGTCTCGGCTATTGGATCCCGAGAAAAGATTCAAGAAAACCTAGCTACTACCAACGCCAAAACCCAAGCCCTAGAAGATTCCCTTAAAGAACTCAAAGATCAATTGGACGATTTAATCAAGACAAAAGAAGAAGACGAAACCCATCTTCTTGAAAAGTTCCGGAATTTACTTAACGAGAAGAAAGTCAAGATTCGACAGCAACAGCGTCTCCTAGCATCCGCAAACGTAGACCCCGAAAAGCTGGCGAACGTTGCCGGCAGCCAGAGTAAACAAAAGCACGTCGCTCAAACATCACGTGCTTCAAAGCGAAAAGTAAAGGAGGAACCTGAAAGTAGCGACGGATTTGAGAGGATGGATGTTGAGGAGGACGGTGGTGGAGACGGCATCGCACAATCGGAGGCCGACGACGACGAGGGTAACACGACAGCAGATGAAACTGCAAGTGGATCGAGTTCAGATGACGAACCGGCGCCGCCGCCACCAGTAAGATCGCAGAAAAATCAAGCCGTGGCGCCAAAACGCGCCACGCGGGCATCCACGTCGGCGAAAGGAGCCCCTAAGCCCGACAGTGGCCCACTAGACGATGACGATGAGCCGTTACCGCCAAGACGAGTTCTGCCATTTATGAAAAATAAGAAACCCACAGCTCCGCCGCCAAAGTCAGCGGACAGTGATGAAACGGAGTCAGATGATGAGCTATGATAAAGCTAGATACGATTATACCAATGAGACCATACATTTACGAAACAGATATGATAGGGACTTGGCAATGAAATCCGTTTCCTACAGGTTTCGATACACCGCCCCAAAGTATCAGGCTCGCCATTCACTAACTGCACATTCAAGAGTCAATTTCTTTGCTGATATCATAGGACCCAGACCTTTCTGATTGAATTCAGTCATCTAACTAGCCTAAGCGATGACGATGTCACGACTGTCGATTTCTTTATAAAGGCTTTACATATCCAATGAACCTTATCCCATCCCTCCCAATATGAGTTTGTACTCATTCAGACATCCTAGAAATAATGATAAACCAAACCAACTCCTCACCATTTAGCGCCTGTCGTCAGCGCCGTAGATATCGTTGAAGTACCCACGGAAGTGCTTCCTCTTTCCAACCTCGGAGATATCCTGGATCTCACTAGGCGTGAGCTTGAATGTGGGTAGTTTCCTCTGGAGACCTTGCAGGCGCTCCTCGTTGCTGGTTGTTGTGACGGCGACGATACCCTGATCTAGGACCCACCTTAGCATGATGTCGACTTCCGAGACACCGTACTTGCGCGCGAGCGCAGCGCAGACATCGTCGACGGGGCCGGGGAATGCCTTGGTGATAGGCGATAGGGTGGCGTAAGCAGCGGTTGCGATGCCGTGCTGGCGGTGGTAGTTGACTAGATTGCCGTGCTGTAAGTAGGCGTGGTACTCAATTTGGTTGACAGCAGGCTTGACGCGGGCGGTCCGCAAGATGATGTCGAGGTGCTCTTGCAGGAAGTTGGATACACCGATGGAGCGCGCACGGCCAGATTGCTTGATGGCTTCCATCTCGGCCCAGACCTGCTGGAGCCGATCGGGACTGGTGGCGATTTGCGGCCAGTTCACCAGGTATAGGTCGACGTAGTCGAGACCTAGACGGTCAAGGGAGGCGTCGAAAGCAGCCTTGACGGTGGTGGACACAGTCCATACCTTGGTTGTGACGAAGAGCTGCGATCGCGGGACGCCGGATTGTCGGATTGCTTGACCAAGTTGCTTCTCGTTGCCGTATACTGTGGGGTTTTTGTTAGCAGAATGAAAAATAAGGAAGAGATGATATCGGTTTCTTACCCTCGGCTGCGTCAAAGTGAGTGAAGCCACTCCTGATGGCTCTTAGGGCTGAGTTGAAGACCTTGTCTCCTTCTCCGTCGAAGAATGCCTGACCGAGGCCGAATGCAACCTGCAATTTCACCGTCAGTTTCACGCTCACAACTTCAATAATCTCCTCTGAGTACTTACGACAGGCATTTCATTGCCGTCGTTCAATTTCAGATTTGGGATGAAAGGAGCCTGCCTCGATCCGCTACTGGGACCATTGGACTGGTATGTCGAGCCATTACCATATGATGGCCCGTTGGCATATGATCCTCCGCTGGAGTATGCCCCGTTCGAATACCCCGTTCCATTGGAATAGCCTGCCCCATTGGGATGGGCCGGGCCTTGGGCATAAGTAGGCCCATTGGCGTAGGCTGTTCCGTTGGAAATCATTTTTGGGTATGGTAAGGATAGTTGATGTCTTCGTAAGGGAAGATAAAGAATCAAAAAGTTCTTCTGAAGATGAAGGGAAAGTTGTGTTTAAATATCCATTCCGAATCCTTTACGGTGGCAACGAAGCCATCTTTCGAAGGTCGATCGTCGCCAGCCGCGCTTTGGGTGCTGTCGTTGATTGTTGTCAATAGTGGACATGGTTTAGGAAGGGTCCACGACATCGCCCAATTGGTACAGTTGTTCATGATGACGAAGTCGGGCCGCTATTGTGTACGGCCGTGATGGGACGAGTCTCTGTCATAAGCTCGTGTTGGAGGGGGCGTTTGCAGCGGGACTGACAGGTAATTACATCCCATTCGAAAGCTGGACGTATTGAGAACCAAATCAGATTCTATTCTGTTTACTCTGCATTAGCCTCATTGATGATGCGTTCAATAGAGCTGGCGGAGTTGATAAACTACCCCTACTTTCTCGACTAATCAACGTTGGCTTACACCCTTGGGCATAGGTAAAGCCAACTACAAATGGATATCCACCCTGACCAATAGGCGAAGTTCCCGCCGGTGTGGATTGCTTCTGAACCATGAATATCGTGCCTCACATCTACAATAAAACACACAACGAACATGTACAACATATAAAAACTCCACTTAAACTGAGATCCGTCATCTTGGCGCTAAGTTAGATTGCCAGGGCTTGTTGTCATGAAACATCCTCACATGCGCAGCATTTGAAGAGTCATCAACGAGTTGGTCACCGTACCGATTTCCTCTGAGAAGGACCCGAGGTTTATGAAAATGGATCATATCTAGATCATGGGGAAACAGCAGGTTTCCATAGTCATGTAGAATGTCACAATAACAATTATTGTCGTCTCCAGATGAATCGCCTTATGATTTCATGATAAATAGGGGTCTACCTGAGGTGCATAATATAATTACTAGGAAAAATTAATGTTCTTGTAACCCGATTTAATAGCTACATAGCTGGTATACACGAAAGGGAGGGTGAAGTCCTCATGGACTGATATATATCATATTCCCAAGCACGCATTGTAGAGAAGTTTTAAAGCAAATTTCTTACTTTCACCACTTAAGCACCTTTGAGACCATCGCCCCTAGCATAACTCCAATGTGGAATCCTTCCGTTGTTACTTTGATGTTGGGAGGGTCTCGTGACTACCAAGTAAACGACATTTAGACAGGAACGGCTCTGCTTTCGGGACGTCTAAGAGTCGTGACTTTGGTATCTGTCTGATTTCTTGCCGCTTGGGCACCTTCCTTGAAATGATATAGATGAATAGTCTCTATCACAACTTCGATATTAAGAAGAACGTCTATCGAGGTAACTACCAGGTATATGGTCTTCGAAAAGGAACGACTCTGCCGCTAGAACATCTATGGGTCGTGGTTTACCCCATTGTCTATCCACCTAGGTACTTCCTTCAAGATGAAGTAGGCAGAATATAGAATCATTCAGTCATTACTTCGTTAATAGGGGTAGTCTCTATGCGTCACTGCCAAGTGTATAGCCTTTGAATAGGAACAACTCTACCTTTAGGACGTCTAAAGCCGTGACTTACTTCATTGTCTAGTTTCTCGCCGCTTCCTCTGAGACTTTGAAAATCCCTAGGTACGACCCCCTTATCTAAATACAGTCTGGGTAGTAACGTCCATGGTGTGAGAGGAAGAACGACGTCTAGAGTCAAGTCGTCGTTACTCTGAGCGGAGGGGTTTAAACTGAGCCCCGATACGGCCATTACGAGTCGGTCTGCGAGGGTAGTGCGCAGAGAACCCTATCTCCTAGTTTACCTAGGTATCGTCATACGTGTCGGCGCTAGATCAACGTACCTAGATGAGGCCCTGTGCGCCGCCTTTAGGTGTACTAGCCCCCGTAATACATCCATGTAACCACTAACAGCATCTCGCACCATCTCGTCGCTACTTCACCCCACCGTGATTAAGTACCCCTCGTTCAAGTTGACTAATACCAGTCAGCAGCACCCCCGTTATTGTCGACGATAGAACCACACGGAAGGCCATAACAAACAAATTTTTTTCGTGGTTTGTTTAGCCCTAATCACCCATCCTTTCCCTCCTCTATAAATTCTTCCCACTCTCCCCTCTCCATTCCCTTCCCTTCTCTTCTCTTCTCTCTTCTTCACACACTCTTCACACACTCTTCACACCCTCCTCCCACACAAAACATAAAACACCACCAAAGCCAAGCTGCTTGCCTCCCCACCTCTTGCATCTCTACCCAAGGTAATTTTTCTTGCCCTTCTCAACACACCGAGAATACTAAGACCTTGAGATCTTAAAAATATTCAGAGTGGCCAAGCAGTAGCTAGGCTTGCTTTCCTTTTCGTTTACTTTGTGGAAAAACAACTCCCACAAATGATTCCTGCCCCTTCTCTTAACCTCTTCATCATCATCCTTTTCATCACTGTCACCATCACCATCACCATCACTCCCGTCCGCTTCTCCTCGACCTACTCGTCGACCATTCTATTCGCCGAGCAGTAGGCCCGAGTTGCCTCCAGTAAATTTTTATTTTCCTTCTGTCACCGTTTCTTTCCATACTGGAATAAATCGCCAACCATTTTTAGGACGGCGGACGAAGTTGATCGTCGCTCCAACACCACCTTCACGTCAAGTGAGCCTCCAGTCAAGGTACCATACCGTAAGTTTCATTTCTCTCGCATCATCGTCAAAGCGCCGAACAGGTTGCTGACCATTTCAGAGGGGGGGGACCCCACTCATCAGTGCCAGGACTGGGGCCGGCGAGTTGTGCAACCCCTCAGTCATTCCCACCATAGGCCCTTCCCATTAACAACATACACGCCCATCTCAGGTGTCGGTGGGGCGATGGTGATCTCAATGGCCTCCCACACTGCCGGCCCCATCGCCAGCACCCATGGTCTGGAAATCGGTGACACTTGGGGCTTCTTCGAGGTATACCCGACCTAGCTCAAATGGTATACCGGGGTACCCCCCAAGCACCTACTCCTGGCCCCCTTCGTTTACTACCCAATAGAAAAACGAAGGGGGCCGGGGACAACCTCGCTAAACTTTAGGAGTCAGTCGATCAGCTTATCCGTGGCAACTGCCAAAGCCTTGACGGAACTAAGATAGAACAGTTTCTGTCCCAAGCCCAGCTCCCGAGTTCCAGCAGTATCTCCTACAAGGAATGGCAGGGCAGCCCAGTCACGCCTTTCTTGAAGTGAGTCCCGGATACTCCTACTGCCAACATGCCGCTTGAGAAGTCCTGGGACTTCGAGGACTCCGATGACGCCTCGGATTCTGCCATCACGTATCATGGATGGCGCCAGATCGCCTTAGGCTCTATTGTCGATTGGATCATGGGGATTGATGATGAGCTTGAGGGCCGCGGCCTCGGCTCCCCCAAACTGCAGACTCGTCTTATGGTCTGGGGGCCGGGGCCGCTTCAAATCAAGTCGGCGTCCCGCCTCTATATTGATCCATTTGATTTATACGGAGCGACGTGGAGCTGGGCTAGGCTCAGGGCTGGGGAGTTGGAAACTTATGTCTTCCTATAGGGAGTGTTGTGTTGTGGCGCTGCCCACACGGGGGGTAGACAGCATGTTGTGGGAAGAAATCACGGGCGGGGTGGTGGTGTTTCGGCCTAAACCTCCGCCCCGCCCGAGCCGAGGAATTGGCATTGTACTCAGCAAATTTCGTAAGTCTTCTTGAATAAATGTTGATCACGACGGCTAACAACATCGCAGGGCGCACCGTACGGGGCGCCGGGGACTCTGAACCCGCTGCAGCCGTCGGTGCCGCTTATGTTCCATTAGGTTCTTCGCCGGCGGACTTATCGAATGCGGCTTATGCGAATTTACCACAGGTCCGGCGAAGAACCTAATGGAACATAAGAGGTATAACCACATGGGCGTGCACTGATAATGGCCACCCACTGGCTGGCCGCAGGAGTTCCTCAATGCTACTGCGGGAGCTATTCACAAAAGTAATAGCCAGTCAGTGGGGGCCACAGACAGTGTACGCCCCACGTGGCTGCCCGAGTCGAAGAAATGACCTCGCATTTATCGGCGAACTTCGTAAGTTTCTCAACTAAAACAAATATTAATATCAGTGGCTAATCACATCGTAGGGTGCCCCGTACAAGGGGAGCCGGGGAAAGCTCGACATAGTAGTCGAGCGGAGGACCCCAAATTCTTCCCACGGACGCAGTGATTGGATTCTTCGTGACGCGTTCTCACACGGAGCGAGCTGGGGAATCGACTTCTCATTTCTCGGCAAAGGTATGTTAATCTTCTAAGTGAAATAGATGTCGAGCATTATAACTAACTATATCGTAGGGAGTGGAGCACCATATAAGTTCGGTGTAATGGTCGGGGGGGCCGCCCTCTCCTCACTAGGCCGATGTGATATTTGTCTCGAGGGCGGCCCGGACCCGACCCGAGAAACAGTTAGAGCACCCACCCCCCATCTTGTTTGATGGGCGGCTGGTTGAGAGGCGGTCGGATTCAGCATCGACAACATGGGCGACTGGCGTTGATGTTACCACTGCATCCAGGCGAACGCCGATGGAGCTGAGTCCGACCGCCTTTGAACCGGCGAAGTGCTGCAAGGCCAGGGCCTTCTCACACCTGGAACGAGCTTCTCCTCTTACCGACAACGGCGAGATGTAAACGTACACGCAAAAGCTCGAAGAGCTGTCCGATGCGGGCGCCTGGTTGTAGTGTCATGGGATCATGTGGATAGAGTAGATTAGGTACCTAGATAGTTAATTGCGAGCTCTTCGCGCAACATCGTTGTCCATTTTTTCTTAATTTGCTTTGGTTTTGTGAAGATGGTTGAAGGTCCGTTTTAAACAGAGATAAGTTAATTGTGAATGGTGTTATGACGTAATGATTCTGCATATCAATTGGTCCGTTTAGTACGGCGAGGGGCACCGTTATCGCAAGTAGCTAAGCTCCGAGGACTGACGTGATGCCGATATAGCTCGCCACCTTCAAAGATACAGCATCATCGGATTTGAAATGCGAAAACAATTACCGCATTTCTATTTCATAACAATTCATCATTCCCATAGAGTCAAATAATTCGAATTAATTTCCCTTTTAATACCCACGACAATTGCATCGTTTTCTATACTTCCCCCTCTAAATCCGGCCTGCAGAAGAGCCGTCTATATGCTTTTCCACCGAGTCCTCCATCGAAGCCTCCCACAACTACGACTGGCGCAAATGGCGTCCCAATTCTCAACCAACGGCGCAAGTTCAACCGCCGCCGCCAATTCCACATTCCACTCCATGAACGACATACCCAAATCATGGACTTTCACATCCAAACTCCCACCCGACTCCATCTTCCCCACTCCCGCCGCCTCGCACAAAACACCCCGCGACCAAATCGCCCCGCGGCAAGTCCGAGACGCCCTATTCACATGGGTACGTCCACAGACCTTCGAAAACCCAAAACTCCTCGCCGTAAGCCCCATCGCAATGCGCGATCTCGGGATCCAATCAAGCGACGAAAAAACCGAAGATTTCGTGAACACAGTAGCAGGAAACAAGCTCCAAGGCTGGGATGAAGATAAACTGGAAGGAGGGTATCCCTGGGCGCAGTGTTATGGCGGTTTTCAGTTCGGTCAATGGGCTGGTCAACTTGGCGACGGACGCGCGATATCGTTGTTTGAGACTACGAATCCGAGGGGGACTAGGTATGAATTGCAGTTGAAGGGCGCGGGGTTGACGCCGTATAGCCGTTTTGCGGATGGGAAGGCCGTGCTTAGGAGTAGTATTAGGGAGTTTGTTGTTAGTGAGGCGTTGAATGCGCTTGGTATACCGACGACTAGGGCTCTAAGCTTGACGCTATTGCCGGGGGTTAAAGTTAGACGGGAGACGCTTGAGCCTGGTGCTATTGTGGCGAGGTTTGCGCAGAGTTGGTTGCGGATTGGTAATTTTGATATTTTGAGGGCGCGGGGTGATAGGGATCTTATTCGGAAACTTGCGATGTACGTCGCGGAGGATGTGTTCGGTGGTTGGGATACATTACCTGGACGCCTGGATGATCCCGACAAACCGGAGGAATCGGCGTTGCCAAAACGCAATATTCCTGTCAACACAATTGAAGGGCCAGCCGAGTCGGCGGAGAATAGATTTACACGCCTGTATCGAGAAATTGTGCGACGCAATGCACTTACGGTCGCAAAATGGCAGGCTTACGGTTTTATGAACGGAGTATTAAACACGGACAACACATCACTCTTTGGATTAAGTATTGACTTTGGTCCGTTTGCATTTATGGACAACTTCGATCCGAGTTATACGCCTAATCACGATGATTACATGTTGCGATACAGTTACCGCAACCAACCCAGCATCATATGGTGGAACCTAGTACGCTTAGGCGAATCCTTAGGGGAATTGATTGGCGCTGGGTCCCAAGTAGATGACGCGACATTTGTTGAAGACGGCGTTAAGGAAGAGGAAGCCAACGGCATAATTGAAAGAGCCGAAAAGATCATCATGCAGATTGGTGAGGAGTACAAAGCTGTATTCCTCGGGGAGTACAAGAAATTAATGACCGCCCGCTTGGGATTGAAGAATTACAAGGACGGAGATTTTGAAGAGCTATTCAGCAGCATCCTAGACACTATGGAAGCATTGGAATTAGATTTCCACTTGTTCTTCCGACGACTAAGCTCAGTCAGAATTAGTGAGCTAGAAACCGAAAAAGAAAGGCAAGATAGAGCGAGCGTATTTTTCTACAGCGACGGTGTCACAGACATCGGTGGAGAAGCTGGGGGTCGGAAACGCGTAGGCGAGTGGCTGGACAAGTGGCGTCAGCGCATACTAGAAGATTGGGGAGACGGAGAGACTATCTCGGAGGAACAAGACGGAGAGCGGATGCAGGCTATGAAAAAGGTCAATCCGAGCTTTGTTCCCCGAGGCTGGATCCTCGATGAGATTATTAAGCGAGTTGAGAAGGATGACGAAAGAGACGTACTCGACAGGGTCCTGCATCTAGCCCTGCATCCGTTTGAAGAGAATTGGGCCGGTCGCACATTCGACGGCAAGGAATATGAAGGTGACAAAGACGAAGAGACAAGATGGACGAGCGATGTACCGAAGATCGGTCGGGCTATGCAGTGTAGCTGTAGCTCATAAGTCTTGATTCTTCGGAGGGTTTAAGGATAATAACACATGTCTTATGACGATTAGGATATGATTGCATCTGTGGGGAATCATCTGAAGCAGTCAACTCGATTACTGTTGGTTTCTATTGATATCTCGAAAATGGTCTTTGACCACGAGGTATAGCGGACATTAATACCAAACAGGAAATGCTCTGTAGTTTATTGCATGCTTTACTGCAGAATCGATTATGTAGTGAGCCTGCATTAGCACAACTGCATGCATGTAGGATTGTTGTTGGTTCTGAATTGCATCGTTGATCGTCGATCCGTGGCGACGTATATCAATTCATAGCTTGAACAGCCCCCAACAGCAGAACAGGCTGCATGCAGTATCCGAGTATCTGTTGGGCGGTTATTGAAACGCCTCGATGCATTGTTTCATAAAAAGTCCTAGACGCTGTAATAACTTGGCACAGCTGAAAGGTAGGTAGCTGGATGCCTAAAACCGATTACTTCGCCACAAATCCTTCTTAGATCCCATAAAAGAGAACTAGCATCCCCGCTTCAATTTCAGCTCCGTTTCGTTTTCTCTTAATTTTTGACATTGCATCATTCGTTGTTTTATCTTCTTTTTTTCTTTATGACTGAAACAATATTCGACATCATGGATGCTATTCGTACTTTATGGCCCAATGTGGTCAACGGGGCCGAGACTGTGAAGGAGGTTGTTAAGAATGAAGTAATTGCGAAACTCCCCTCCAAGCTCTCAGGGCGTTCCCTTGAGGCCCTTGTAGCACGAGATGGAGAACACGGCCATTCAGTTATGCAGACCATCGCATCGGTTCTTCTATCTATCCAGACAGCCGTTGTTGTCTTATTTCTTTTGACTGTAAGTGAATTCTAATAGCACTAGATGAAGATGAGTCATTACAAGTACAGTATATGCTAATTATTCATTGCAGCTCTCATACACTCTAGGCCACATCTTCCCGACCTTAGCTATTGTTGAAGATGCCGCTCCCCCTCCGTCCTACACGGCCATCGCCGACCAGGAACCCGTCGATTCGAAAGATGGAAAGGACACCAAGACCGCATTCGCCGACGAAGAGGCTGCGCCCCCCGCCAAGCCCGTTACTGCGAGCCTCCGCGCAACCTGGAAACTCTTGAAGTCCATCGATGGCAACAGATCCCTATTCCGAGGTCTCCCTATGGCCATCGCAGGTAACGCCGCAGTCTTCGCCGTAGCCCTCACCCTTTCCATGCTACCATTCGTCCACCCCGTCATCGCTGTATTCGTCGCCAGCATGATCACCCTTCAATTCAACGCCGCCTGGGTACACGTGGTCATCTCGGAGCCCAGCAAGAAGTCTCTCTGGCAGCGTCTCCCTCCTCTCGGCCAGACATTCCGCGCCACTGCTCTTCCGGCCGTAATTTTCAACCTATCTTCCTCATTCATGGGTCAAATCGCCTCATACTTCACATCGTTGATGCTCGGTCGCAAGGCCAACTCGAACGATGTTGTGGCTTACCTGCTCATGACCGGTCTTTACCTACTCCTCTTGGTCTTCGTTAGCATTCCCTCCCACGTCGTCCTAGTCCGTGTCCAGGCTTCCCTTCTCCCTAAGGACGACCAGACTATCGTCGCGCTTGACCGTGGCTTGGCGATGCACCGAGCTGAGGGTAACGAGTACATGACCATGATCCACGCCTGGCGATCGTTCTCCCGCGCCTCGTGGGTCCGACTTGTTAAGCAATACGTCAAGGTTTTCGGCCTGCACATGGTTATCTACATGATCTTGGCCGGTATCGCGATCGTCGAGTTCCTTGTCGCCTCCCTCTTGGCGTAATTTCGGTCCGTATAAATCGTCAAGGATCGTTGTCTCAATAGTATGTTATGATATACCACTAGGGTTCGGATCGGAATTCGGGAAGGTTCTTTGAGTCTAAGAATAGGAGGATTTGGTAATATGCCGCTCCTTACATGGGATTCTGCTGCTTTACTCTATATGAAAATCAAATAAAAAAACTGATCACTGTTTACATTAGATTAGATAAAAAAAATTGTATCGATAACTGACCTTATTCACTCATTATACTGTCGTACTCAAAATTTCTAAGGTTAAAAGGGAATAATGTCTTATGTTCTATCATAATTCACTCGTTGCCCCAGAATTAGATGGCGTGGGATTCGCATTCTCCCAATCTGTCAAGTTCAGAACCTGAACACCCCATCCTTCTAGTTCCTTGATAGCAGCCGCCTTATCCTCGGCGCTAGTGCTCTCGGTCGCATCTTCAATCAAGATAACCTCATAACCCAACTTAATACCGTCAATACTTGTACCACGTACACAAGCATTTGTGAGAAGCCCCGTCACGACAAGTATCTCAATGCTATGTAAGCTCAGTTCGGAGTGCAGCGTCGTAAATCGGTGGTATTGGTTATCCGCAAACGCCGAGTATGAGTCAACACGATGGTCTTGCGCCTTTTTGATGTAATTGACCGGGCTTTTATAGCCCTCTATTGAGTGTACTATGGCGGCGGATTAGCGATTCATTAATTCAATCAAGCTCCCACCGTGATTTACGTACGCCGTGTCTGGACTCCACGCTCAATCTCAGCGCCCCAGGTCTCCGGAACGCAGTGAGCCGCGTATAACATCTGCGTCTCGATTTTCGTGGGCGTATCTACGAAGCTGTCGTTCACACTATCACCCGCTACTTTTCCCGGGTGGCTTGAGAAGAACGAGACGTGATCCGGCGGATGCCAATCTAGGTCATTAGTTAGCCTAGCCTCTCATTTGAACTTCTCCGTACATATTACCTTGGGATGCAACGATGAAGGGCCACTCATGATTGTCTAGCAATTGATAGACCTTAGGTAGGATAGCCGGCGCTCGTGGGTTGGCCAAGGAGCCATTAATAAAGTCGTTCTGGACATCTATGATAGCTAGAGCTGTGTTTTTATGCAGTTTACTCGAGTACTATACATGATGGTTAACGTAAAAGTGACTCCATTTCAAGCTTCCGAAACTTACTGGAACAGCACATCCCAGGCTGCCGAGAGCTAGCATACAAGATATGGTAGACGTCCGCATTTTCGGTCTTATATGACTATCATCCTTAGATTTTTGCAGAAGTTATATGTGAACTCCGAAGCAATGTTTTTTTTCTTGCTGTCTTATCGCATCCTAGTTGGATGGCCAGCACGCTATAATCTCACTACCAGGGCAGCGCAGCTCTTATGGGGCTATCCATAGGCACGATATCGCGACAGTGAGCGGGGTTAAGATTACGAATTTTCTAAGCTGGACCATGATTTGCAATCTGGATCCTTCGAATACGTTCCTAGGCAAGGTGCGACAAGGATTTTAACAAAGACTAAACGAGATGGAATTTTAGCCCATGGGATAACAATAAGACAATGAGAAGAATCTTCGATATGTCATTTTCTTCTGGCAATAGCTCCTCCCTCAAACCTATTGCTGTAATCAACGAGGTTAATTCCATCTTAGTTATCTGAAACAATATGAATTATGTTTTCTCCAAATAATATGGATAGGTATCTCGGTACTCGCCTTGAGTGGAAGCGGCGATGATGCATATGGCTGTCGGTTGAGTGACTTTGGGTTCAATTGTGATGTCGCAACATTTGATCCAGTTTCATGATTTGAGTTAATATTTCTTGCTCGAACGTGCGGCTCTTATTATTTTATATGGTTACATATTAATGAATACCTAGACATACCTACTACATCGAGCTCGTCTGCTCGTAAGCTGATGACTTTATCGACGGCAAATACCATCCTGATGCCGAGGCATCATCCGCTTTCATGCCTCTAGGCCTCGCTCCGATGGATCCATACGTAGGAGGTAGAAGAGTTCGCGCTCCATCTCAAACCAAGGAACGTCGGAAATGTCTGTGTAGACAGAGGGAGCCATACTCTATGGAAAAGCGGCCATCGTTTGGCTTGTGGTTGAGAGTAACTTGGCTTGACATCCTCACTATGCTTCTCCTTGGCGTGTTAGCTATTTGCGCAAGTTTGAAAACGTCCCCTAGAATTGAGTACCATTCTGACACCTTATAGATCTATCACCTCCCCCCTGCTGGCAAACGAATGTTCCCCCTTACGGTCATAGATGCGCGCGACGGCGAAGATACCGGTGAAGTCGTCTATCCCGAGTTCGCATATCCGTATCGTCCTCAAATCATACCCTCTTAGTTAGATGCGGTTCTTGCGATCTTAGTCCCTGTTTTTTCCATCCTGTTAGCCCAGATTCGCATTCGGAGTTTCTGGGATCTCAACAATGCTCTGATTGGCTTCATCTACGCCCTAGAGACCTCGGCTGCATTTCAAGTCATGATAAAGTGGCTAATCGGTGGCTTGAGGCCAAGCTTCTACGACATTTGCCAACCCGACCCTACCTTAGTCAATAATCCGGATTTCAACGGCACAGGCCCGAATGGTGCTGGGTACAGGCAATACATGTTTACAGCGGAAATATGCACGGTTGAGCAAGGTTGGGATCTATGGAACGCCATGCAGAGCTTTCCAAGCGGCCATTCGACGACTACATCCGCTGCAGCCGTATACCTGTCTCTCTACCTCAACGCCAAGCTCAAAGTATTCGCAAATTACCACCCCTCAATGTGGAAGCTCATTCTGTTCTATTGCCCAATCCTGGGGGCGACGCTCGTCTGTGGCTGTCTGACGATCGACGAGTCCCATAATTGGTACGATATACTTGCAGGTATTACCATCGGCACAACATTTGCATTCTCAGCCTATCGTATGGTATATGCTAGCGTTTGGGATTGGCGTATCAACCATATTCCCCTGAATCGAGGATCCGAATTTATCTGGAGCGACGGGTGTGAGGGTTCAGACTTGGTGTTTACAAACCGAGCAGGCTGGAGAAAGGGGCGTGTGGACAGTGAAAAGGGGGTGTTATCGAGTCCGGGAATAAGAAATGAGAATTTAGAGGGCGATTCTGCAGGAGACCCTAACGGGAACACTAGTGGGAGTCATGCAGGCAGCCACAGTTCAAGGCCGCCTCAGTATCCTATCCGACGTTCGAGAGATAGGGATAGGGGTGCGGATATGGTATAGGACGCGCAATTATGATGGGCTTCAATGGATGCGATAAGTGATAATAGTTTCGTTAACACCAGTTAGTATCATAATTCATACTGTTAATATCCTTCTTCTTAAAACATGCCTCATTCACAGTCAGGATTACGCCGACATGTAGATACGTATCTAGGTAGAGATCTGGGCAACTATTAGCATCCCGCTCTCTCGTGTCACACAGTCTGAATGAGTCTTCTATCAATTAATTGTTAAATATCACCTATCATTTTTGTGAGTCATAGCTTGAATTTTTTTTTTTTTTCTTTTTTTTTTTTTTTACTCTGGTACGTATGTATGTCCGGTTTGTCGATACATCTCTGGGTTTGTGTCACGTACCTAACTGATATGAAGTATATACTCATACCCGTGCCCCTATAAAGGCAGCTAGAACGTGCGGAGACACTTCACTTATGTACCCACGGACCTTCCAGTATTCGACCACTTATCTCGCGTGTGAGTTGACGCCACGGTTCTTTCCCTAACTATATGTACCCTCCCGCTGCATGTACCCCTGGATTCGATCTCGGAAAGCGATTGCCATCTATTATATTCAGGAGTACCTTCTACTCCTATAGGTACACGCAGCTCTGAAACTGATCGCTAGAGCGCGGAGCCCCACAATTCACTCTATTAGCCAAGAGACGGAATCAGATGAATGGTGAAGCTCCTTCCTGGTACTGAAACGAAGAAAGAAGCGCTTAGAGGTTGTAAACAACTCAAGTAGAAACCTCGCCCTAAAAAAAGCAATCTCTGCCTCCAAACATCCAAACTCTTTATCAGCAAAAACAATATCATTTGCATGGTGCCTCATAGGCACATAAAAACATAGGTGAAGAGCAACTATCGTCATTGATATGATTTACGAATTCAGGCCAGAAACATACTTAAACACGCAGCGAAATACCTTCCCAGAATTTCGATGTACTTGAGCACCTGCATTTGTACCCCAATCCTACTTTAAAGTACCTCCAAAATCGAGGCCTTGACTGAGTAACTCCGAGCCGAGCTTCTCGACCTTTACGTTGCACAAGTCATCCGAAAGAGAAAGAAGATGGCAGCCTCCAGCAATCCCCCGTCGGATACCCCTTCCGGACCTATCATCGATATCATCCGCCATGGCCAATCTCTTCACAGCGTCGAACAAGCTGGAACTAAGCTCCACGACCCTGGACTAACCCAAGCAGGTATACAAGATTGCAAAACTCTGGGCGAGAAATATCCTTTCGCCGATAAAGTTACTGATATCTTCTGTTCCCCTCTACGCCGCGCCATCGAGAGCGCCATCTACACCTTCCGACCAATCGTCAAAGATAATCTCGAGTTAGTCCTCCTCCCCGAGCTGCAAGAGATCAACGATACCCCTAGCAGTACCGGGTCCCCAAATGAGGAAATTCAGAAGTGGTGCCGCGAGTTTGGCGTGGGAGACAATGTGGACATGTCGCAGCTGGACGAAAATTGGCAAGAAAAAGGCCCCGATTCTCTCTACTGCCCGCACCCCAAAGAGGTCGAGAGAAGAGCTCTTGATGTTCGTGAATGGTTACGCGATGCTGCCAAAGACGAATATGAGAAGGGAAATCATGACGCGCATATCGTGGTTGTGACGCACGGAGAGTTCGCACACGTAAGTATTTTCTGTCTTCATTTGTTACCTCTTTTGACCCGGGTGAAGATTACTGATCCCATATGAGCTTTCACTCCCAATTCGCAGCTTTAAGATAATATATATACTGAGCTTGACAATTACTGACACCCGATGTTTTAGTGGCTTACTGGTGATTTCGCGGGAGTTAGTTACTACCGCAATTCCGGTTGGGCTTGCACCGAACTTCGTTCGTACAGATTCGAGGACTTAGAGTCGGAACGTCACGGAAATGCTCCCCTGAAAGAGACACAAGAGAGCCGAGATGCTCGTCGAGCTGGAGACGCGGGAACGAACAAGCGTGAGAACGAGCTAATTAAGAGAGTTGCCACGATCCGCGTCCAGGAGTACAACAGAGAGATGCATAGACGCATACAGCGAAAGGAGGACCAGAAGACAAATCAGCAGGAGGCGCGAAGGGGTGAGTGGGTGGATGAACTACAGGTTGACCCGGATGAGGACGAGGTGGATGGGTATACTTCGTCCCTCAGAGAAGAAGTAAGCTAAGCCACCGAGAGTACCTCCTACTGGAGAGTGATTTGCGTTGTATTTCGGATAATACTGCCGCCATCATAGAAAAATAGGCCATGCTAATGAATTTACCGTTGCGTTGATAGCCCATGTATATGGAAATCGTTCAGAACCCGCGCCCTCGCAAACGCCCTCGTATTTGACCCTTCCCCCTTTAGTCACGATCACTCGTAAAAGGCGCGCTGTTTTATTACATCTCAATTTTTTCTTTTTTTTTTTTTTCAGATTAGTATTCGCCAACGTAAGCGCCGCGATGAGTTACGATTGTCTTATACCTAGTATTTTAGAAGACGCGAATGTCATTTGTTATTTCTTTCGGATTATACGTATACGTAGGCCGATTAGAGAACGGCTATATATATATAACTGACATAATCCATCGAGAAGCCCCCTTTCATGGGTACTCTTTCTCCCTTTTTTTTTCTTTTGTTAAATTCGCCGAGTGCGAAGCCTTCACATGGTCCCGAAACACCAAACCCCCTTCTTTAAAGAGGAAGGAAAGCTCACGGACAGAACGATCTGCCCCGCCCCGCCAACCGGCGGCAGCCTTTGGGGCCGGCTGGAAGGCCCATGGGAGGAGGACGAAGATCCTAGCGTAGAATCAGTCGTTGGGGGGAACGACTATCGAAAATAATACTAGAGAGGCGGTAGGAGAGCTTATCAGAGAATCTATGGTGTATTGCCCTAGACTGGGCTACTACGAAAAACTCTGTGGTCGCCGATGGCTCCTTCGCGAACAATGAAGACCTAAGCTCGCAAATAGGTTACGAGATTTTCCTCGCGAGTGCCCTATACACTATGAGCCCCTTACAGTCGAAGGAAGTATTGTCTATCGGGACTCGACGAAGTGTAAGCGAGTTACGCGAAGCGTACTTGCAAACAGGATTTACAAAATACTTGGCGGTTCTTTCGTTTAGAAAATTCACAACCTTGAAATTGTCTTGTCTTGTCGACATTCTCTCACTGTCGCTGCGGCTACACATTTCTACCTGCTTCAGGATACTCTCGAGAAAATCATGGGGAAGAGACGACATAGCGTCCTCATTACCGTAGCATAGTACCCCATCCGGATGGTTCACTTCCACGACCATGGATTTGGCACCTTTGCCTTCACGGCGGAGGCGGAATGGGGATTGGGCGCTGTGTACTTAGATTAACTCGTATGTATCTGGCGTGCTATCGCATCCCTAGCTCAGTTAAAAGCAAGCTAAACTTGGATGTCTTGGGATGCGATGGCGTTGGCGTTGGCTTTCGGAAGATTAATTTAATGCCTATGAATTGGAACTATGATAGTATCAAGCCTTTGAATCATCTATGATGGAGCCTGTGATTTAATTTTTTTGGGAAACTTTGAATCGTCTGGAGTCCGCCCTATCATCCCATCGTAGATTACGCTCAAACATTTTAGTTATAGAATTCGTAGAGGTAAAAAATAATGCTCATTAATCAGGCGAGTAATTCACAAAGGGGCTCGTGATTTAATGTGGCGCCAATGAAGAAATCCATTTTAATCTACCCCTTTCCTATTTATAAAACCTTACGCCTTCTTCTTGTTTTTACTCTTACTCTTACTCTTCGTCTTGCCTGCAACCTTCTCACTCTTTTCGCTCTTCGGCTCAGCTTCCTTCTCCACAGTACCATTCGTCTCCGTCTTCTCCACCTTTGCTTTCGGCTTATCCAAAGTCTTAGGATCTAGACCCCGTCTCCTCATAGCATTCTTCTTCGCGCGCTCAATATACTTCTCATCTTCCTCCTCATCAAAACCACCGAAGTCATCCTTCTCCCGAAGCTCCTCTGGTACGTCCTCGTCCGCGGCGATGGGTGTCTTGTCAATAACCTCATCGTCTGCCTGGGGCACTGAAGCACCCTGGACAGGCTTGTGGTCCTTAATGAGATTTGGAGGTGTCGGGCCGATCTTTTGGAACTTGGCGACGTAGAAACCATCGACGTTGTAGGTATGTGGGTAGTATCGTCGTGTTAGACGTAGGCTCGGGTCGAATTTCTTGCCCATGTAGCTAGTGAAACCTTCTTTTCCGAAGGGAAGGTCGGTGGATACGAGTTTGATGTTGGGGCGTTTGTTGAGTGCATATTGGACTACTTGCTCGTTCTCCTCGACAGTAACTGAACAGGTAGAGTAGACTAAGAAACCACCGGTCTTGCTTGCGTGGTTGACTGAGTCGATGGCGGCTAGAAGTAGTTGTTTTTGAGTGTGGGGTAGAACCATGAAATCTTTTTCGTCCTTGTTGGTCTTGACTGAAGGATCCTTAGCGATAACTCCTGTGCCAGAGCAAGGAGCATCGAGAAGTACTCTGTCGAAACCACCCATAACCCTCGGGAATTCTCGGGCGTCGTAATTACAGACGACAACGTTGCGAGCACCGAGACGGTGGATGTTACCAATGAGACCCTTCGCACGAGATTTACTAGGATCGTTGGCAAATATGCATCCAGTGTTCTTCATCATAGCAGCCATATGTGTTGTTTTACCACCAGGAGCAGCAGCCATATCAAGTGCTCGCTCTCCTTCTTGCGGGGCTAGAGCCATGACGGGTAGGAATGAAGATGCGGCTTGAAGGATGTAGTGACCAGCGAGGTATTCGGGCGTAGCACCGAGAGGTACATTACTCTCGAAAATCTGCAACCCAACCTTAGACCATTTGCCTACAGGTTCCAGCGTGACACCACGATTTATAAGGGCTTGAGCTAAATCTCGGCGATGTGTTCGTAGAGTGTTTGTTCGGATGACGACAGGTCGTGCCGTCTCGTTTGCTTCGAAAAATGCGAAAGCCTCCTTCGGCGGGAACAGGTTCATGAGTTTCTCAGCAAGGTATTCCGAGTAACCGTAGTAGGCGCAAATGTCTTTCAACAATTGCGATGTGTATTCAGCTCTTGATCTGCCCTCCTCCGCCAAGTTCGCAAAGTCGTCCAAGACACGTATCGTATCGGTAATTCTCGTTCTTAGTAATTGTAGATCGGGAGCTAGGAGTGCTTTGGTCTTTAAGGCTAAATCATCTTCTTCCTCGTCGCCAAGGACATGCGGTCGCTCGATGTTGGTCTGAAGGGCTGCTTCTTCCAATTCGGCTTGAGCTTCCGCCTCTTCTTGTGCTATTTGCTCGTCGAGTTTTCGCGATAGACCGACGATGTTTGCCGCAGTGAGTTTCTCTTCAGCATCTGAATCGTCTTCGTCTTCCGAGAACATTGCTTTTCGCTCCTTAGGATCTTCTGCGTCGGAATCGTAGACTGAGTCGTCGGAACCTAAGAAGTCATCTCCCAGGCCACCCATCTCCTCATCGTCCAAGTTAGAGAACTCATCGTCATCCATTTCAGACCCGCTAAACCCATCACCAAGGCCATCGCTCAGATCCTCGTCGGACTCTGGCTCCGGTACATGCTTCTTGCCCTTCGTCTTCCCATTTTGTTTCGAGACTGGCGCGCTCTTCACACCATTAGCTTTCCCATTCGCCTTAACCACACCATTCTTCGCCGCAGCGCCATTAACTTTATCTTTGTTATTCACATCCGCCGTCGCAGTTTTCCGCTTCTTCTTATTCGGCGCCTCGGCGGGTGTATCGTCAACGGGTAAACCAGCCTTCCTCTTCAATTTCGCAAAATGTTCTTCTGATAAGGGTTCAGGAGGGCCCTGTTTCCTCATACGACGACCGACACCCATTTTCGTTGTTGGTTTGCGTGTGAATTATGGAAGTAGTTTTGGGGGTATCACTGGACGAGTGCTTCGAAAAATCAATGGGCATCCCGCAATTTGCATGGGCAACTTTTTTTTCTAGCGATAAGCTGATAAGAAATAGCGTACCCACTTTCCACGGGAACACGGCGTTGCACAAATCCGAATCGAGGAAGTGGAGTTTATGCAGGGGATCGAGCTAAGTACTCAGGTACAACGAGGCGTAAAGCTTTAGCCACAGGTGGGATATTTGTGGCTTGGTATTTAAAGTGCGGGACGCTATGATCGTCACCATTTAGTTACAAGCGGGCTTAGGTATATTTGGTGGTTTGCGACATACCTAACTTCCATCCTTATTCAACAGTTTAATTTTCACACAACAGCCAAAATGACAGAAGTTACGTTCGCCAAATCGTTCCTCTCGGTTCTGGACTCTCGTCCAGTGAAGCTATCCCCCGATCATGTCGAAGACCCAAAGTCCTACGCGGCGCGGGGCGCTGTACGTTTCGCCCTGAACTACGTATATGTCTTATAGCTAGCTAACTAATAGAGAATAGTATATCCTCCCCAAGATGCCGAAGACCATGAGCAAACGCAAATCCACATCCGTCGCTCCGGGCCAAGAACGAAGCCTTACTGTTGCCGTCAAGTCCTTACGAAACCCACCGCTAGACATCAAGATCACGTCCCAGACGCTCAACACATCTGTCCTGGATATTAAGACTAGTGTGTCTAAGGACACAGGCATACCAGTTGATAAGATGAAGTTGCTACACAAGAAGAAGCCGATACCAGATAGTAAGGTGCTTAAGGATCTTGCAGGCGAGAGCGAGACGAGTATAGAGTTCTCAGTCATGGTCATGGGCGGGGCAGCGGCGATAAAAACACCAGCACAGACCGACGTTGCACAAGGTCAAAGCGGTGAGGAAGCTCTAGGCACCAACGAATTCTGGGATGATCTCAAGGGGTTCTTACTACAACGAATACGAGACGAAAAGAAGGCGGCCGAGGTAGCAGACACATTCCAAGCAGCCTGGAAGGCAAAGTCATGATTTACGAGGTAGACAAATAAGCCTGTCGGAGATAATGGATGAGCACTAGCCAGGCTGAAAAATAAATAGTCTAGGCGTCTTTACAAGACCAAAAAAACTAATACGTAACGAATAATGGCGTAGATTTTTGCTCGGGAGAGTGCAACGAGAATGATCTACATTCCAACACGTGCTTTTTGGTTTGTATGTGTGTGATGGTGGTGTATACCCTTGGCTAACATCGGTTCTGAAATTTCATGTCATGCCTCTAAAGGAAAAAAAAGAGAAGAAGTGATCTCAAACTGGCCCTACTTTATAAAAAGGTAGTAGTAGGGGTGTTGTTTATGTCCATCCTGCTGCAGTTTTCGTAGACGTCGTGGATTTCCTTGGCACGCGAGTGCCCCCTCAACTAGTAATCATCGGGCAACCACCTCATTCATCGTGGTCGCTCTCTCAGGGTTTTAGAAGAAGCTGAATAACGGTTAAGCCAAGCCTTTGCTAACCACCTTCAGGATTGTGTCGTATTCGATGTCGTCCTGGTCGTTGGCCTGCAGTTCGGTGGCGATACCATTGAGAGCGCGCTTTAGGGCCTCCTTCGAGGAGGCGTACACCATCTTGGCCTTCAAAAAAGTTAGTCACTATCTTCTCTTTCATGCGGTCGGAAAATATGGGGTATACAGACCATAACATTGGCTTCATCGGGCGACCATGCGATGAAGGTAATCTTGTTTCTACACGTTGTTAATATGATAATTTCGAAGTACTGGCTGGGACGACTAACCGGGAGCCTTCACCACTAGCAAGGTTGTACTCGAAGTCGTACACGGCATATCGGGGACCCTTGCCAACAGCACCCTATAGCCAACAAATTAAAATTGGGCTCAAAACATGACCTCGTCGAGGTAATCCAATACTTACGGACTTGCTCTTGGTGGTAGCGTTGACGAGCTTTTCACGGAAGGCTTCCCAGTCCTTATCCGCTGAGGCTTCCTCGACGACGATTTCTCGGTTGTCGTCTGACAGCTTGAAGATGACGTACTTGTACTTCTTCTGAAGCTTAAGGTCGTTGTACGCAGTAATGCAGTCCTGCGAGACTGTCGCTCTGTATAGGCCAGGAATATTAGTTCCTACTCCTAAATGCTCCTACGATAATTTTGGATGGGACCGTGCATCGCGAAGGTGCATAATGACACGCGGGTGGTGGTCGTTGGTAGGTAGATGGATGGATAGAGAGAGATAGGGAATACGGCAGGCATTAGCTGAAGGGGATCACGAACCCTGATTGAGACTACCATCATTCGTCGTCAGCAGGTAACTATTGATGATTGGATTTATTTAAGCACTCACCATGCTGGCGGTAATATGCTCGAGCTACGCTGGTACCAAATGAGAATCCGGAGTCGAGCTACGATGTGGGCTGTTAGCGGGGTTCGAGAGATCTAAAAGGAGATTGAAAGAAAGATTTCGAACTGGGTATAGGTAAGACAATGGCTGGGGTCGGTCTGCAACTAACGTGGGCTTTCTGTCTATGAAATTTATACCCGCAGGGTTGCTCTCGTGGGTCGAGGGGGGAAATGCAAAAGAAATTTGCGATGTTTAGGAGATAGGAGAGTGCAGTAAAAAGAAAGGAAGTTGGAGAGTTGGTAATGTTTTTAGTGCGGGCGCTATCGCAATGGAGGGGAACGTCGGGCTTAGCAGACTAGGTATGAAAAAAAGAGGCACGCACGACGAACAGGAGGGAATCAATATACACACTCGCTGGACCACACAACAAAGCCTTGGTGGGGTTAATTGTTTTGGGAGGGGAGGGGTAGGGGGTAGGGGGGTAGGGGGGGAGTTTTATTTAGGGATTAGGTGGACTAGGCGGACAAAGTACAAGTGACAAGGGGGGTAATTTAGTGGGATGGTGGGCAGGTTCACCGCGAGATTGCCCCCCTGTGATGCTTGCTTGCAGCTGTAAAAAATGCGCTATTCTTGGCGGTAACTGGGTACGACCGTTGGGCAACAAAATTACAAAATTTTGATGTAGGACAATTTTTACACGTGACCCCCCTCTAGATTGCATTGGGTCTTCAGCGCCGCCACTACCGCTGTAGTGCTGTTAATTCGCTGTTGCCTCAGCAGGTTATCCTACTACTTAGGTACATGATACATCTGATAATGAGCCACAGGATTCGTCATCGCATATCACTACACAATACCATTTCATTGTACCTCATTGTATCTCATCAGTGACCAGGCAACACTTCAGAGGTACAAGTAAATACACATTTTTTGCGCTTTTTTCGATGCCTAAAAAGAAATAGAAGATAGCATCAGATCATTTATTTTGATCACCTACCAGAGTGTAGGTAAGTAGTTTCGTTCATAGTAGTTCGTAGTTCGTAACTTCTAGTATACAACTCTTTTTTACAACGCCGCTCAGGATATCAAGAGGTATGAACAAAGTGCAGGAAGAGAGGATAGAGGGGAGATGAGAGGAGAGAGATGAAAAAAAAGATATGATCAATCCGTCCGACCGCATAACACCGTGGTCAATGCTCCCGAACCCAAACTTTTGATACATGACAAGATCGTATTTCATTCATGAGCCGATTACATCATTCCACCCATACCTCCCATACCTCCCATACCTCCCATTCCGCCCATACCGCCCATGCCACCGGGGGCAGACTTCTCCTCAGGTGCCTCAACGATGGCCACCTCAGTGGTGCCTAGTAGGGACGCGACACCGCTAGCATCAACTAGACCAGTTCGTACAACCTTAAGCGGGTCAAGGATACCAGCCTGGATCATGTCCACGTACTCTCCCTTGGCGCTGTCAAATCCCTTGTTGAAATCGCTGCCGAACTCATCCATCAGCTTACCAACGACAACAGAGCCCTCTAAGCCAGCGTTCTCGACGATCGTCCGGGCCGGTCGGGTAATGGCGTTCTTGATAATGCTGACACCGAGTTGCTGATCGAAGTTGCCGGGCTTGACATCCTTCAGGGCATTGGAGGCAGCCTTGAGAAGGGCAGTGCCACCACCAGGCAGGATACCTTCCTCAACAGCAGCTCGAGTGGCGTTCAAGGCATCAACGAAACGGTCTTTCTTCTCGCCGACCTCAACCTCGGAAGAGCCACCAACCTTGATGACGGCAACACCGCCAGAGAGCTTAGCAAGTCGCTCTTGCAGCTTCTCCTTTTCATAATCAGAAGTGGTGGGGTCGTTCATGACACCTCGGATCTGCTCGCATCGCTGGGCAATGCTGTCCTTGGTACCCTCACCGTTCAGAATGATAGTATCTTCCTTGGTGATGGTGATGGATCCGGTGGAACCAAGCATGTCGAGACTAGCCTTCTCAAGCTTGATGTCAAGCTCATCAGTGAAGACGGTACCGTTGGTGAGGACGGCAATATCGCCGAGGATCGACTTTCGGTTGTCACCAAAGCCAGGGGCCTTAACTGCTGCAACCTGGAGCTGGCCTCGGAGCTTGTTGAGGATGCAGACAGCCAGAGCCTCACCATCAATGTCTTCAGCAATGATGACAAGGGGTCGTCGTTGCTGAGTAGACGCCTCTAGGGCGGGGATGATATCTTGGACGGCAGAAATCTTCTTTTCAGAAAGAAGGATGAGAGGCTTCTCGAATTCGACCTTCTGGGCCTTGGGATCCGTGATGAAGTACGGGGAAACGTAGCCACGGTCAAAGCGCATACCCTCAGTAACCTCTAGCTCATCATTCATCGTCTTTCCTTCCTTGACGGTAATGACACCCTCCTTGCCGACCTTCTCCATGGCATTGGCAATTAGCTTGCCGATGTGTGTATCTCCGTTAGCGCTGATGGTAGCGACCTGGGCGACTTCTTCGCTTGTGGTGATGCCTCGCGAGTTCTTCTGGAGGAACGCAACAACGGCATCAACAGCCGCTTGAGTGCCCCGCCTTAAGTCCATAGGATTGCAACCAGCAGCAACATTCTTGACAGTCTCGGAGAAGATAGCCCTAGCCAACACGGTAGCGCTTGTAGTTCCGTCACCGGCAGATTCGTTCGTCTTCGACGCAACATCTTGTACTAATTTGGCACCGAGGTTTTCGAATTTGTCTTGCAAACTTATGGCTCTCGCGACGGTAACACCATCTGAAAAATGTGCAAATTAGTATTTTTTCGATTAAGGCATAACAATGTCCGGATCAAGCTCAAGACATACCCTTTGTGATTTTGGGGGAGCCATAGCTTGACTCAATTAAGACATTTCGGCCCTTGGGACCAAGTGTGGTGGCTACAGCCTTAGCGAGTGTCTCAACACCGGCAAGTAGGGAAGCTCGGCCTTCAACGCCGAATTTAAGCTCCTAAAGCAAATAGAGTCAGTAACCTATAAAGACTTCCGCCTCGCTAATTTTGGCTGTCCCAAGGTCCATAATACTAACCTTGTGTGCGAATCGAAGTTGTTGTGAGAGTCCACCAGCTCGGTATTTGCTGGCAGTAGCCGAGGATAAGACCGAAGCCCGCGCTCGGGAGGATAGAGCACGCTGCATTGTGACTATGATATAGATGGAGCAATGAGGCGGAAATAGAGGGGAAATATGCTACCACAGAAACCACGGATCACAAGAGGGGAGGAGAAAGAATAACGGTTTGCGTTATGAAGACGAAGATCGTCAAAGTTTGAATTTGGAGATTTTGACTCTGGGGAAAGAAAAGCTTCAAAAAATTTAATCATCCAATGACAGAGGAACCGGCCAGAAGCCGAAGCTCTTCTGCGCTAAACCATATTAGGAATGGCGGGGGCCACACGCTTATTCGACCACTCTCCCCATGGAATTCCATAGAACAATTAAATGTTGTAACTTTTACACCTCATGTTATGCTTCGTTTATTACTAGACTTTACATTTATACCATATCGACTTGATATTCAAAATATCCAATTGAAGCATGAATCGTGCTTCATGAGGAAGGTTATAATTACAAGTTTCAGAATAGGAATTGACCTGCTTAGTCAGATAATACGGACGAATGGCATCCAACAAATCGACTATGTCATACAGCTTGCCCCTCATATCGAAAACTAATGACATCGTTGCCCAGCTCTCTAGACAAACGTTATTAAAAATTCGAATCCAACAAGGGACTCATAATATTCGAAGATACGGATACTTACATAGGTGACTTTCGGAATTTCATATCCATCGTGAACGCCGATGGTCAAGTCTGAGCTTCGCTCCGTTAGGCTAGAAAAAAGCAAAACCGCCTAGGCACGCAAACGGCTTCCCGTCTAACCGATATTCAAGTATTTCGCACTTTATTTAATCCATATGTCATATATGATGAATAATAGTACTTTTTATGTTTTACATATCACTTTTGTTGCAGTACATTAACTAAGGTACACTCTAAAATTTAATACTTCCAATTGGCTAAAGATTCCTATGATACCTCTCTACAGATCCCATTTGAATTCTGATTGGTCATTCACCGACAATGGATTTCCAAGGTTATCCTCGTCTCCCTCGGCAGGGAATGTAACTCCCTTACATGTAAAAAGTAATCAGTTATGTGGTTGGTAAGCAATACGATTGAGATTGCTGTGGAAGTTGAATTTGTGGAGCAAACGGAGATAATCCAAGTAGATTTGGCTTAACTTGTAAGGAGGTAGCGGACTTAATAGGACCTGTCAGCAGTCTGCCCTGAATCATACATATACGTATTTATAAGGCTGGTGGTGCATAAAGGAAGATCAACCCAACTTCCAAGACGTCGTTTTTTGTCTCAACCTCTCAATACACTTCCTATCTCACACTAACCTAGACAATTCCTACCAATGGCAACCCTCGCGAAGACCGTCGTCGCTACTGGCGCCACCTCTGGCATCGTAAGTTAAGCCACTCAGCAATGATCATGGGATATATCATAATTCTAATTACGTACTACTTAGGGGTTTGAATTGGTGAAGCAGCTTCTTACCCAGACGCAGCCTTACAAGTTCATCCTCGCAGCTAGGGATGCCAAGACAGCGCAGGCCGCTTTTGACAGCCTCAAGTACGACACTAGCAAACACAGCTTGACTATCATCCCATCCGACTTAACAAACCTGAAAACTGTCAAGACTTTCTCTCAGCAAGCTCTTGAAAAGATTGGGCAAGATAAGATCGATTACCTGATGCTCAATGCGGCAACAGTAAAGACTGTAGATGAGCCTGGCGTGTCTAAGTGGTGTGGAACTTACATCGTGAACCACTTATGTAAGGCACATATCAACCCCTTACATTTGACCCATGAGTATTAATGATATTTTAGCCCAACATTACCTCGTTCACCTACTCCGAGAGAAATTGGAGGCATCCCAATCGCGCCTAGTATTCGTTTCCTCTGGAGGTATTCGCCTAATAGACGACCCTAGTATGTCGAACCCACTAATCACTCAACCCAACTTACATGCTAACCCCTTAATCACTACAGGTGTACTAGATGAAAGCGTCAAGCGTAATTCAGGGACGAAGCGAGATCTCTACCCCGACACCAAATTCATCGCGCTCCTCGGAGCTCACTGGTGGCGTCGCCAACTCCAAGGCAAATGCAAAGTCGTTGCCGTTTCCCCTGGCCTAATACCCACCACGGGTCTTTATCGCCAAACTGACATAAAACTCCCCGCAGACCATCCTGACGCGAAGAGTGTCCCGGTAGGCGCCCAAAGTGTCCTCGCAGCTTTCACACGAGACGACTTCCCCGAGGATCCGGACCGAATCTTCTTGACGAGTTGGGGTGAGTGGTGGGAGTCGGATGTCATTAAGCTTACTCTGGATAAGAAGCTTCAAGACAAGTGGTGCCCGAGTAAGGACGAGGTTGAGAAGGAAGAAGGTATCACCGCGTAATCCGTGTGATCATTTGCTAAGATGACAGGGATTTTAGGGGTTCAAAGGGATGAAAGTGAAAGGACTAATGCGCTTTGGGTAAAAAAACCAAATCCCAAAACATTAGAGTTGAATGGCTCGCTGCGCTTGCTCTTGAGTACCTAGGTAGCTATTATACAAATACCAATCTATACCAGAAGACAAAATTCAAATCCCACCAACCTTTAAATCCATGACTCTAAAAAAAAGACTGACTCTAAACCTGTAGTGATACCTATAACCTCACAATATTAACATCTTAGTTTATAATCCTCACGCTATTTCTTCGGGCTGGGCTCCTCGGCTGAAACTCCGGCGTTGCCCTCTATATCCACCATCTCTTTCGCGACGCTCTTCTTAGATGGATCCTTCAGTCCAAACTCCGTGTCTAGTTCAGTCCGTAGCGGAATCTCTTTTTCGAACAAACCTAGCAGAATCGTGAGGCCGCCAAATGCGATAGCAACTTCAAAAACCAATTGAAGCGCATCTCTATACACGCTTATTATTTGGCCCTGTGTCGGCTGAGGGAACGACCCCACGAAGTTTGCTGAGCCGTATTGATACGCACTGCGATGATGAAAGTTAGTCGCCATAACAAGCATAGCCGGATGCAAAGGGAGATGAGGTGACTTACTCGCCGTTAGCTAGCAGTTGCGACACATTGGGATCCGAAATGCGCGGTAACAATTGATTAATACGGTTATTAAATATGACCCCAGGAATCGCAACACCCCACACATTCCCAAACGTCCGTATAAAGCACCACGACGCCGTCGCGACAGCCTGATCGGATTCAGGTACATGGGCTTGGAATGCGGGTAATTGCGTGTTGAGCACCAAACCCGCGCCAAGCGCCGCCACGCATTGGAAGATCACCCATTCCGCTTTAGATGAGTCCGCGTCTAGGTAAGCGAATAGGCCAATACCGAGAGTGAAGATGGCGAAGCCGGCGAAATGTAAAGGCTTATACCTCCCCCAGCGGGAGAGGACGATTGCTGAGATGGCGGCTCCTGGGATGCCGACGAGGGATTGTGGGAGGAGTGCGACGCCGGAGTAGGAGGGGCTGTACAGCTTGACTGCTTGGAAGTATACTGGCATGAAGTACATGATCTAACGCATATGCTGTTAGCTAACAGGCTCTAGGGCGTAGTGTGTGGATAAATGCGGGAATCACCTACCCAGTAGAGGAGCGCAGAATAGAGTAATGTGTTGACGCTAACAATGACCGAGGTACGGTTACCAAAAAGTCGTGGTGGCATGACTGGCTCCAGCGACCATCCCCATTTCTCGAATGTAGCGAAAAGCCCCAACCCAGAGAGACCGACTATCAGCGGAACCAATATGTTCCATGAACCCCACGAGTATTCCGTGCCGCCCACCGTCAGAGCCCAAAGGACAGCGACAGTCGCAGCTATGAGTATACCGTTACCGACCAAATCAAGACGTTTAAGCTTTTCCGTGAACGTCATCTCCTTGTTGTAATTAACATGAAGACAAGCATACATCACAACCAAAGCAACGCCCCCAATCGGAAGGTTCATGTAAAAGACCCATCGCCAGGTAGTCACTTGTACGATCTGTCCGCCAACGAAAGGACCTAGTGTTGTCCCAACCCCATAAATCGCTAGTATCACAGCCATATAGTTTCCGCGCTGCCGTAGAGGGACCAAGTCGGATACTATAATGTCTAGTATTCATGAGTTAGCTGGATGTGACATAGGCAACATTAGGAATAACTCACCAGTGATTATCATAATACCTCCGGATCCAATCCCTTGAACCGCGCGGCCAGCAATAAGCATGGCACCACTGTTTGCGCCCCCACATATCCCACTGCCGAGGGTAAATATCGCTATAATAGCCAGAGTGACCCATCTCCTTCCAAAGACGTTACATAGTTGACCGAATAGAGGTTGGAAAGCCGCGCTGTTGATTGAATTAGTTAGCTTAGTCCACAATAGCTAACTTGTTGATGTTGGTGTTTCTGTACCTGCATACGAAAAATGCGTTCGTGATCCAAATGTAGTTTGCGCCCATTTGAAGCTCCGAGACAATGACAGGTGCCGATGTGGTAACAACCGTATTCTCGAGAGCACCCAAGAGACTCGTGATACCTAATCCGATAATAATAGCCCAGAAGCGAAAGCCTCGCCGGAAATCGGTATGTTGTTCGTTTTCTTCTACATCGTTGTTCGAATCCATTTTCCGCTTCTCTTCTATTTGATCCGAATGCGAATCGTATGTACTGGTATCTTTTGAAGCTTGGTTTTCAGCCATGGTGAATAAGTGGATACCGAAGAGTATGAAAAAAAATCAATAGAGTTCCTTGGTATTGTGATACATAAGACTGAGGAACAAGTCGCAACTTTGTAGATATCCTTTTATTATCAGACATGTCTGTCGCACTTGCTTCGAAGCATTACATTAGATTCGGAGTCCGATTCGGTGTCGGCGTGGAATTTCCTATTTGGGATTGCGTTACCCGGTTCGGACGCGATCATTCGTCGGTTTCGGGCCCCGCCGTTACGGCGCGAACTCGAGGAATTACAAGCTGATGAGTGATCGTGGGATAACGCATAATTGATGTGAATTATTTGAGGCGTAGGGCATCTACTTACTCTTTTCATATCCCAAAACAATCGTTCATCACATTCGTTGCGCCTAGACTTCTTGGTACGCTATCCTTCTAGTGAGAGCAGCACCGCACATACATCTCGCCCTTCGACATTAGATTGCGCACGAAAAATGTTTCGTACTAACACCTGTTGAGTAACTCTAGGGCGCGATGCTTTCGAGTAGGAGCCGCTTCGAATTCTCGATGTACTTCCGTAATACTTTAACACCACCCTTTCCCAGTTCAGGTTGACACACGAGCTCCTCTTTATCGATCATCATTCTAACGACTCCGCAAAAGTCGTCTCCAGTTAGCAGGCCGCCGTTGTCCTTCCCCCGCGTCCCGATCCGAAATTGACGTGGTATCCCAAGCAAACTCTCCATTCTCTCAAATAGATTTACGACGATTTGGATGAACATCATGGATTGAAGATTGCCTGATTCTGTATACATGTAAGCATTGCCTTTGTGATGCACGGGTGATTGGGACACGTACGAAGCGGGAAATCGCTAAAGTTGATACCTGGGATTGGACATAGATAAGCGTCTTCGCTTCTCGCAATACTTTCGAGAAACTCGTGACAATGGGTAAAAATGATAAGGTATAATCGTGTAATGTGTATATAAGACGTGAGTATAAGCATTAGTGTTGGAGCGTCTAAGTCGGTTGCGGATTCGCCGTCTAGCGTCGATAGAGGCGATGTGTCTACCAGTGCTAAGCTGTCTCCTGGCAAGTATAAGGAATTCTCATTTATGGAGGTTGGGGAACATGCATCGTTGCTGGATCTTGGTCCTCGAATCCTTGGAGGACATCCATTAGATAATTGTGAGGCGGTTGGTGGCTGATTTGCCTCCGAAAGCACGCTCAGAATATCGACAAACTCGCGTGTGTTTGTCAGCACGCAATGTATTGGAGCCAGTGTGCGATTTGTGGACCCATCGGCTGCTGAAACAAGCATACTGACAGTTACGGTAGGAGGGCCCTGACTAATGCGACTCAATAGTGTAACCAAATTGAGATTTATCTTAGAAAGTCGTTGTTCTATATGGATATCTTCGGTGGTGCCGTTACTACCCGTATCTTGTGTGACGGTATTGCTTTTTGATGAAACCGGTATAGCGCATTCTCGACTGGTATCCCATTCTTGTAAGCAGACCAGCTCTGTCGATGAAGGGTTGGGCTGAGAGATTGATGAAAGGCTTTTCCCAACTGGTGTGTTCAAAGATATATTCGTTTCATCAAATTCAATAACCGAGGAAACTAGATCCCCGTTGAAATTGTCGTCGAAAATTGATGTGTACACAGGAGAGTCCCACGATTCGCTTATCCCATGAGGAAACGCCACCGTGCTTGGCGCATCGCTGGGATCCGCAAACACACCGGATAGTGATGTGTCAATTGCCTGGTCAGCATCCCTGATCGGATCAGGTTCTCCTTCAATATCTCGTCGCGGTCGTTTGCGAGATCCAGACCCGGTATTATTGTCTCCCGAGTAATATTTGATACGAAAAGCAGGCGTAGTGAGGCATTCAGCATCTGCCCGCGCACACCGACCACAACGCTCTTGTCCAGGCTCCCGTAAGCATCTTAGCTTCTGTCCCTTGCAACGATCGCATGCCGACCTGCGTGATGATATGTTCGGCACTGTCACTTGCCGTCCTTGCATATGGGTTTCGTCGGGATAACTAATTGGAGTACTGGTAGATGTCATCCTTTGCTTTTTAATTATGTCGTGCGATGAAGATAATTGAAAGTCCGAAGCATTTTTATGTGGCGTGGTAATCTTGGAGAATTGCGTAGGAGCCTACCCCGCCATGAGAATGAGCCCTTTAAGATTATACATACTCAACTATGCCTTTACAAATGATTATCGGGTAAACGATTTATAGTTGTTATTCAAGAAATTTCCTATTATATCTCTTGAAGAGTAGATAGAGTTCGTATACTACAACTACCTAGGCAGTTTCACGCATCCGAAAGAATAAGGGTAGTGATCTAGGTAGACTCGTGTGTGGGCTAGTTCAGCACAGCTGAAAATCTAGTGGACGCCGACGTAGCACGATAGCCAGCCACATACGTCGGTGACGCGAGTCAACAGCAACCACTATGTCTCAGCCGTTCAAAAAATACCTCATAGTAATTAAGACAGAGATGATAGGAGTTAAAGACGGGTACCGTAGATGTATATACAGACGTCTTACTACCACTACTTCCAGAGAGACTAACTTGGCGGAATCACGGCCATAATCGTCGAGATCGACTATCACCATGTGTACTCCTTCGATGATACCGTATCCGGACTTAGCCGGCGCACAGTTCACCTCTCTAAGCGCTTCACTGGTATCGAATGTCACTTTACAGATACTCGGAAGTTTATACGTCAACAATGGTCCTCTGGATGTTCAAGGGGTTAGTTTTTGCCATGTCAAGACCACTTACACGCACATTGGAACAACAGATAATGTCACCGTAGAACTGTATCTCCCAGAGGATGGGTGGAACGGAAGAATGCAAGGTGTCGGCGGCGGTGGATGGATAGCAGGAGGCACCGACTTTTTTCTCACCAACTCTACCATGCTTGCAGCCGTATCTGAAGGTTACTCTGCAGTAACTACCAACGGTGGTCATTCTTTTCTTAGCGGTAACGACTGGCTACTACAAAGTTCCGGAGAAATCAATCATCAAATCCTGGAAGTATTCGCTTCTACATCGCTTAACGAGCTGTCTATCATCGGAAAGGCCGTTATCGAGAGCTACTACGGCAGGCCGCCACTTTACTCTTACTGGAACGGCTGCTCGTTCGGGGGTCGGCAAGGGATGGAGCTCGCGTCAAGATATCCTACTGCATTCAACGGTATCGCGGCTGCAGCTCCTGCAATCAACTTCATTGGTATATTAATGGGCAACCTCTGGCCTCAGATTGTCATGAAAGAGATGGGCGAGTATCCGAAAAATTGCGAACTACTTGCCATTACCAAAGCAGCGGTAGAATATTGCGACGGTAAAGACGGATTGAAATACGGCATGATCTTCGACCCGGATGACTGCGATTTCGACCCACGTTCCGTTATCAATGAGACTATTACTTGCGACGACACGGGTGTTTCCGAAATTATTCGGATTTCGGAAGCTGCGGTTAAGGTCGCTGAGGCGGTATGGGCTGGAGCTCGAACATCAGATGACCGGTTTCTCTGGTGGGGACTCAAGAAAGGGGCGAGACTGGTTGAACAGCCGCTTGGTCACTTCGTCAATCCAGGAATTGCAACGACCGTATGTTCGCGAAATGGAACATGCACTGGCAAGCCAACACCAGTTTCCGATCAAGCGATACGACTGTTAGTGAAGAAGGATCTGAATTTTGACGTTTCGTCAATAACAGCCAATGAATTTGAAGAAATATTCGGAGCCACAGTTGAAGAATATGCTGTTCTCGATATCAACCCAAATCTTGACGCCTTCCGGGACGCAGGAGGGAAAATATTGAGTTACCACGGCTTGGTAAGTACCCTATGACCACGCTAATAATCTATATGCACATAGCTAATAGTTGACCACAGTATGACGCTATTGTCCCTCCCGATGCCACAAGAGATTACTTCAACAGTATCGCAGCTCGCGACAGTCAAGTTCACGACTACTACCGTGTCTTTGAGGCGCCAGGGCTCGCCCACTGTCACTCCGGTGCCGGAGGATACTACCCTTCCGGGATTTTTAAGGCTCTCGTTTCGTGGGTTGAGTCTAACGCTACTCCCGACACACTTGTAGCATCGACTCCCTCGCGGAATGGATCTTTTCAAGAAGGGATATTATGCCCTTATCCTCAAAAACCGCATTACAACGGATTGCGCGTGGAGTATTACGACGAATCGGGATTATTTGGGACTTCGGCTGATGACTTCTACTGCGACGAGTAACGAACGAAACGTATCACATACCCAGTTATGATGTTCTTTTGATCGGCGGTGATATATACAGTTCGCATAATCTATAATCTATCTACAGAAGATAAGATGCCATTTTGGTTGATTTTTAAAGGCGTAGAACCGAGTGGTTAGTACCGGGAGCCATAGCATTAATGACCCGAAGTAAAGTCCCGGTGCGCGGCGAACATCAGAACAGCAAAGCTTTGGGCTTCAGGAGACTCGGTAGCAGGTGTCTTATCTTTCCAGTTCAAGGGGTTGATAACGGGAGACAGCAAACCGTCGCTGCTTATCTTGTCCGTGATAGCTTGTCTCTTGCTGTCGGCCCACGAGATGTAGTTGTTGCCGAAATCAGCGGGCTCGAGTTGCGCCATGCGGTACGCGGTCGCCGTTAAGAGGGTCGTGCCAGACAGCTCGGCGAACCACGTGGTATCGTTGAGATAGTTGCGCAGCAGCGGCTCGTTGGGTTCGGCGTTATCGCGGGCGATTGCACCATCCAGTATAGAGCGGATAATGTTCTTGAGTTGTGTTATCGCGCCGCTTGTTCCCCCATTACCCGCAAATCTCGACTTCTTTGCTGTCGCTAGCACGCGGCTCATCCCAGCAGCTGCCCATCCATTTCCAGTGCTCCAGATACCCAAGTCCTGCGATTGTGGGCCGACAATATGATGCCAAAGGCCGGCCGCGCTTTGAGCATCCGAGGGAACGCCTAGGACTTGCTGATATAAACTGCACTGCTGGATGGCAGTGTTCAATAGACCTTCATCATCCGACTGGATAGCCCAATACGCCAGAGTTGGCGGCGCCATATAGATGAAGTCAGCCCATAGCTCGGCGACCGACTCTCTATGGCTGATAGCACCGTTAGACCATCGAGGGACCGAGTTAAGAAGATGTTGTACTTGACGGTCTGCTGCCGATAAGAAGTCCGATTCGGTTTGGCCAATCAAGATGGCGGAGACACCAAGAGAAGCTGGGTCACCAGCAGCACCTATCATATGTTAGCATTTCTTGTACTGCTGATCCCGACAATCGTTCGAATTTCATTGCTCGGTTACATACCATCCCCATCGACTAGAGTGTCGGAGTCAGTCGAAATGTGCGGCTTGACATACGACAGCGACTGGGTCGAGTCTACCTGTAGAACAGGTATCTTTCCATCCGGAAATGTGTTATTGCCGAATACCGAAGAGCTCGGGTTATACCATTCCAACAACGCCTCGGCGAATGTACCATACTCCCAGCTATGCGTGGCAAGACGCTGCCCCTGGGAGATGATGTTACTTATGAGCTCGGCCGACATTGTTGTTCTTCGAATTGTCGTATGGCCAAAGAATTAGGGTCAATGCGATGTCAAAGCTTGGATTTTTCAACTGCGATGGCCGACAATTATATTGAGAACACTAATGCGCGTCTAGTGGCGAGTTCGCATTATGATACTATCTTCGGTAGCGGGACAGAACAACGACGCTGTCTAAATACCTAAGTAGGTAATAAGATTAAAGGCACTATTTTTATCTTTATATCCACTCCAATATGACCTGAATTGCATCTCACTCTGCTGACGCCATTACATCACCGCCGTGGCCCAAGCTCTTCATACGCTATTCCCAAAGCTTGGCCAAGAGTTTCAAGCGAATCTCATGAACACCTAGGCATTTTTGATAAGTTTATTTTCCATCGGTCAATATTATGTTACTCAAACCTAGTCGGCCCCAATACCATCTCCTAAACGTTTCCAGGCACGAGCAACAGGCGAATCCGTCATGCTCATTTCCCCAGGCAGATCACACGAAGATGTATATCTAGCCTGTGGCCCTGATCACCAGATTTAGTCTCATTCTAGCGGCCGGCATATTTCTGGAGTACTTCCTTCGTATTTTGTCGGGCATAGCCATTGTGCCTGCTTAGAGCACGTCAGAGTATCACGCAATATATATTAGCAGTATACAACACGGTCGTTCGTGGCTCTTTCTTCCAATAAGCCAATGCAGGGAGGTTCAATGATAGCATTAGGCCCTTCTGAGGCAGACTCTTCGCATCGGGTAACGTAACAGGAATAGTCGGTCCACTTACGACTTCGTGGTTCTATATCACGTACATATGTGATAGATTAGCTCCATAAGCTGCTCAATATTCTATTTACGGATTTCCGACGCAGCCAATCTTCATATTCCTTTCTCACCGCTCTTCCTAAGCCAAGTGAAGAGGTCAATAAACCTACGGGTTACACAAGCATCGTCGTGATTCAATGAATGGCCATACCCGAGTATTACGCTACAAAATACAAGCTTCGGCTCTCACCATGATTTCATGGCCCTTTTGCAATCGAATCTAGCCTGGGGTCATAGCCTTTATCTCGCTCCCCTTATGTCACTATATGTTGGCGTCAGACACCGATCGGCAATAAAAGTCATCATCACTACCTCCGATAGGTCTATTACACTAGACATACAAATACAACTCCCCGACCAGTGTGTATTTCCTAGACCTTTCACTGTCCGGTTCCCCGGCAGCGCTATCTCCTAGTTATATAGGTCGTCCCGTCCGCATATATTCATCATATTCGTATGAGTTTTAACGGATTACATCAACTCAGATCCACCTAGGGACGGCGGCAGCCAAGAGCATCCGACTTCATTGTACTTCAAACGCTCTGTTACAGCTATCAACAAATTGGCAATGTGGCTCTATCATACTCAATAGCCAAGGCGCGATGGGGATATCAAGTCTATACAGTTACGCTATGAAAGGTACTACGCACGACTCCCTTCGTATTTCAATAGGAGAACTACGAAAACTAGGTACGGTGCCGAGCTTGTACGCGATGTACAAAATTTCAACACTGATGCCAACCGCCCCTGGGCGGTCTAGCGATACACTTCCAGTCGATGCTATTTAGCTCGGCATGAATGAGGCGATCCAACCCAACCAGTGAGTCTCTTATCGCTACTACTGAAGTTTCTACCACAAACTCATCTGAATATGAGACAATTATGTTAATGTAAGTTTTCGCAGCCGTGTCACATTCAAGTCCTAGCACGTTCTACCTTAGTTACTCGGTCCGCTTTGCCAATGGCTCAATTTTTGTGTTACTTGCCGTATTCGGAAAGTATTACATCTCGGTATGCTGCATATGGCGTGCATCTGGCAACTCATGTTTCTGGCAGGGTTCACTGGGGAGCCACAGGTATTGTCTAAAATCTTATCGCCGAATAATTATCAATTTGGGTTAAAATTTGTGCCTGGGTAACCAAGTAAGTAATATTGTTTGCGCATGTCTCGACAATTGATTTTCTAGAAAATCTAAGAATAAAATAACGGGTTTCGCCGATAGCGATGGAGAAACCTTGGCATATATCAGAGTTGCCTTCCTATAACGGCAAGTCGTTGGCCTCAATCGAACATCGCAGGCTGGGCTTGGTGCATGAAGATCTGCGAAAGAGCTGTTGCGGATCCCACGTGCCTCATGAGATTGGCTGCGGGCTATGGCTGGCCCCAGTGAGCATTCGGCCATACACAGGATCAGTCGTTAGTAGGAAAGCTCGGCATTCTGTCCGCACCCCAGTCCCAGGGTTTCAATGATCAGCTCAGCCATCGACTCAGGGGCTGTGATTGGTCACTACACCTGCATGAGCCCAAGTAATCAGGGGTTCATCGTCAACCCGGATGACTTGCGCAATGCAACTCAATTCAACACCGACAACATGAAAGAGTATTTAAATCGGCCGATGGCCCATGTAGGCGCTATTGAGATTAATCCCTCTAGTCTTCATCCCCTCGTTCTCGACTGAAGACCGTTGAGCCTCATCGTCAAAATGCGTGCCCAATTCCTTCTTTCCGCACTACCTATTCTAGGAGCGCAAGGCGCGCGCATCCTCCAAGCTAACGATGACGGCTGGGCGGAGCTCTACATTCGTTCATTAAACGAGGCGCTCAACGAAGCTGGACATGATGTCGTTCTTTCAGCTCCCGCCGACAACCAGTCAGGCACGGGTAAGTAACTTTGCTGATGTGTTTACACTTACACTTTGATACCTATACCGAGGTTAATGCTAACTCTATTTGCCAGGATCGTCCGATAAAGAGCCCTCCCCGCGCTCGGATGCCTGCGAGTATGATAGCTGCGCGGCTAACAGCGGGCCTGTGGGTAGCAACTCGACCAACACCCGCCTCAACTGGGTGAACTCTTACCCGGCGACGTCTACCCGCTACGGAATCGACACTTTCGGCCCTCAGATCTGGAACGGCGAGGGTCCGGAGCTCGTGGTCACAGGTCCTAACGTAGGAACCAATTTATTCCTCGCAGTCCCATTCTCGGGTACCATCGGCGCCGCCGTGTACGCAAGCCACACGGCGGGTATCCCCGCCATCGCCTTCTCGGGTGCATCAACGGGCAATCTCGCATGGAACACAAGTCCCGTCCCAGCACGAAGCGCAGTATACGCCTTACTCGCGACGCAACTGACCGAGGCCGTTCTTGCCTCCGGCACGCCGTACCTTCCCTCCGAGGTCTTCCTCAACGTCAACTTCCCCGAAATCACCGACGACTGCAACGGTCCCGCGAACTTTAAATGGGTCCTTAGCCGCATCAACCCGGGAACGTTCTCCGACCCCGATACCGAGAGTTGTGGTAGCACAAGATTACCCACTGAGACGAGTGTAATTGATGCGGGTGGCTGCCACATCTCGGTTAGCGTCGGGGATGCGACGGATAAGACTACGGCGCCGGCTGAGAAGCAGGCCGTTGTGCTGCAGAAGCTGGGAAGCTTGTTGACTTGCTTGGAGTAATTGATCTGTTTGGATATGTGTTGTACGATTCTGGATATGACTTCACGTATATAGTTTTGGCATAGAATCGTCCAGGCACGCAGCTGAATTGTATAAAAGGAACGTTAAATGTATCCAGGCCTTCAAATCCATCTACTTCCACGTTGATATAATGTTAAGGACAAGTATATCTTCGTGTATCGCACGTTCAATAGCTAACGGAGAAAACTCTACTATACGTCATCACATTTCGTCATATTACCGGCGTCTTCCCTTCCGCAACGGTTGTCGGCGCAAATAAGCGTTCCTATTGGATCAAGTTACGACGCTTAAGAATGTAGTAAGGATAGAGATCTGTGACCGCCGATCATGCTGATTGAGTTGTTGAGTATCCACAAGCGGCTGAACATGTATAGAGAAGTGCGCAAGCCTATTCGACATCGTATCGGCGAATGTTTAAGGGCTAATTATTTTACGATAAGGCAACATCAAGGACTTATCTTCGAATAATTATATCATATTGATGTAAATTTATTTATAGAGCATGGAAATGGACACAGAGGTGATGTAGTAGGGTGATGTTAAGGAAGATGGTCGGCGAGGTCTATTTAAGGGGTAGAATTTCCAGCCAACTTCAAGCCGCTCCATGCAGCGACTAGAACTTAATTGAACACTACACTACTTCACATCACACAATTTGTTCGTACATTTAAGCCCTATTATCACCATGAAGTACTCCCTCCTAACTGTCGCGCTGCTCCCCCTAGCATACGCGGGGTGCTACACAGGAGGCGAGGCATGGCCAGACAACAAACCTGCCATCACCAAAGCAATTGCGAAAACATCCGAATTCTTCGTTAGACAGGGGCCCTTGAGCCCTGGCGAGCATGAACTTACCCAAAAAGTCGACGGAGTCTGCGTCCAGTTCATCCTAGACAATCTTCAGGAGAAGCCGGCCAAAGTTACCGAGCAGTATGCTGTGAACCACTTTTCCAACGAGTATACCGGATGCGAATATGGCGGGGACTCGAGCTATGATAACTGGCGATTCGTGTAAGTGCCTCCATTAGAATTGTTTGGATTGGAAGGCTAACGCTGGATATCTAGTGCGGACCCTAACGCTTGCTAGAAGGCCTAGCTCTTAGGAGGAAACTCGGTGGTGCCGTTACTTAGTACCACGCATTGAAGCCTCTTCCCAGACATATAGCCTTAAGTTTGATGGGAATCGCTTCGTATTAGGACTATTTGTTATCCGGCTAGGAGGTGTTCATAAATAACCGCAAGTTGTGTTCGCCGCAGCTACCCCTGACACAGTGTATTGCTTCGTTCAAAACGACGGCTTGACAGTGTATACACTGTCTACCCTCCCACTTAAAAAGATCAACACGCTATGTAAGGGGTACCTGCAACGAATCCTAAATCCTTCACACAAGCTCCTATCAATATAATTGTTCGCATGATTGCGCGCTATTATTTTTTCGGTGCGATCTGGCCACGTTTATGCATTGAATATGTACTTGCTGGAAAATAAATTGTAGCCAATGGCGAGCCAGTAAGGCTATGACCACGCCTGGAGGTCGTCCTTCGCATCGATATGTGGCATAGAATGGTACGTCAAAGCTAACGGAAATTGGCTAGATAAATAGATCAAAATGAGGTAGGCAGTCTGGAATAGGGGTAGGTGTCGCAGAAATACGGGGATGAATTGGCTGCAAAAAGTATTGAGGGTTTGTTTTCGTAGCATCGGTTGGCTTTGCGGTAGAGGAGACATGGGATATATTTGCGGGCGGCACTCTTAGGATAGGGTTTGTCGCGATCGTAAAATGTCTTCGTTTGTAGGTTTTTGATATGGTCTCGGTCCTTCGTTATTAGCTTTCGCAAAATCAACCACATCTACATAGCCACGTGTAGCAGAAATTGGAACCTACTGTCAGCATTGAAATCTTTGTAGAGTACATGGGAATGGAGAATCTGGAGTTTTGCTCAAATGAGAGGTGTAATCATTCAACATGCGACAGCCGGAAGTAGGAGGGACATACTTGGTACGAACCCAGCACGAATTCAATTCGGTCTCGGTGGGATAGAGCTAGAGATATGGCCTGATAACTAGTGTGCTGTTCCCTAACCACAGAATGGCAATGTGTTGTATGAACTCCTAGAAAACGATAAATCTATTTGTATCATAGGGATAGATATGCCTTGAGTTTACGAAAGGTTATTGTATGAAAATATAAATTCTATGGGAGACCTTATCTTAAATAAGAAAGTAAATCCTGGTATGTAATATGGCTTATACCATATTTTTAATTGATTATAGGATCTTATTATATGGGTATATGATTAAAGGTTAGAATTATTTTTTTTAAATATATAATTATGAATAAATGAATTTATTATCACAACCTAACATCCTATGGTTATATATTTATGGATTAAATGGATATTAAATAATTAATTATAAAAGAATTATGGAAAAACAATCTGCTTTATTAATTAATAAAATATAAAAAAAATATTTTCTATTTGGTTTTAAAATAAAATAAAATAAAAAAGAATAAAAAATAATTAAAAAAAATATTAAATTACATAATTATAATTATTTCTTATATATTTAATTATTCTTTTTATAACTTTTTAATTATTAATTTAAAATTATTTTTTTTAAATATAATAAAAATTTTTTAAACTTTTTTAATAAATAAAATTTATTTAATTATTTAATTAATTATTAATATTATTATTTTTAAATTAAGATATTTTAAATTAATTAATATAATAATAATTTTATCTTTTTAAAACGTAGATTTATCATATTTTAATAACTTTTTAATTAATATTAATATTAAGTTAAAAAATGATATAAATCATTTATAAAATATCTTATTATTATTATTAATTAAATCTTCTTTTATTTTATTAATTTTTAAAGATAAAATAGAAAACTGTTATAAACCAGCCACGAAGGACCCTTGTTAAGACCATGAAGGGTAGAGTATAAGCAACCTATCACGGTTAAATTCCAGTTTGATATATTAAGATGCAATATATTACAACATATTATAACATATTATAACACATTGCAATATATCGTAACATATCGTAATATATTACAACATATCATAATAACCTTAGGATGAAAAAGGAGGGAGGAATAACTATATAATTATAAACATTTCTTATATATTTAATTATTAATTTAAAACTATTTTTTTAAATATAATAAAAGGATTTCAAGCCTCTTTGACAAACAGAACCAACTTAATTACTTAATTTATTATTAATATTATTATTTTCAAATTAAAAAACCCCAGATTAGCTAATCTAACAATGATTATACCTCTTTAAAACATAGGTTTATCACATTTTAATAACTCTTTAATCAATATTAATATTAAGTTAAAAAATAATATAAACCATCTATAAAATATTCCTTTATTATTATCAATCAAACCTTCTCTTATTTTATTAATCTTTAAAGATAAAATAAAAAACTTTTATACCTTCTAAAAATTATCTTTTAAAGAATATTACAATTAAATATAAAATAAATTAATAAATCCTAACCTAAAAAATAAAGAAAAGTTGGATAAAAAAGAATTTTAAAATAAGGATTTAAATAATTTATAATAATTTAGTTTATTATTATTTAAAATATCCATATTTATTTATATTATTTAAGATTTATTATTAATAAAAAAAATATTTTAATTTATTAATAGGATAATATTTTTTAAGATATATTTATAAATCCCAGAGTTGGAAACATAGGAAAAAATTAATGTTAAAATAGGAAAAAATAATTAGGAAGAAAAAGAAACTCTTAATTAATAAATTAAAACAGTGATTACCTTTAAGGAAGTTAAAAGGTTTAAAAAAGAATTGGCTTTAAAAAAGGCTAAATTAAGGAAAGCCTTTAAGGGATCTCCATTGGGAATTTTTTAATAATTAATCCCTTTTTAACCTTTAATACCCCCTAGATTTCTAAATGATAACAATAATAAAGAAAAAAAAGATAAGAAAAAAAGAAGAAATAAAAGACCCTAATTAAAAAAAGAAAGAATAATGATCCTTTTTCTATTTATTAAAAGATATAAATTAATAAACCTATTAATTTATAATGGAATTTTAGATGTTAAAAATTGGTTTATATATGTAAAATTCTATTTGTCTTTTTATAAGGAAAATCTATTATAAGAAGAATAATAGGTATTCATTATTATTTAATTCTTAAGTAAAACAATTCTCATATAATTTCAATCCATTTTAGAAAACCATTTTAATATTACCAAAAAAAAATCAAAAAAGTTTCAATATATCTTTAAACTATATAAACATTTTAAAAATAAGATATAAATAATATTTAACAAATTATTTAAAAAAAAAGGAAATATAAAAGACCATTTATTACCTCAGATAAAAAAGATAAACTATATTCTATATAATAGAATTTAAATAACTTATAATTATAAAATAATTATGTGATGAACCTATGCCTCAGAGAGGTATAATCATTACTGGATTGGCTAATCCAGGGTATCTTGATTTGAAGGTAATAATATTAATAATAGATCAAATAATTAATTAGATTCTATTTATTAGAAAGGCTTAGAATCCTTTTATTATATTCAAAAGAATAATCTTAGATTAATAATTAAAGAATTATAAAAGAATGATTAGATATATAAGAAAATTGTGGTAATTATATAGATATTCCTTATTATTACCTTCCTTATGGATAAAATTGGATCCCCTTATCTATATTCATCCTTATTACATTCATATCACAAACCATATAGGCTTATAAGGATGTAAGACCCCAGAGGAGACCTTTTTCCTTGCTAAAGTAGGGCAATGACAATAGGAATGCATAACATATGACATAAATGAATATAGATAAAGATATTTAATCTTATCTAATAAATATAATATGAATAAATATGGATAAATATATTTAATCTTATTTAATAAATATAATAGAGATAAATATAAATAAAGGGATCTAATTTTATTTATAAAGAAGATAATAATAAGAAATATTTATATAAATTATTATAATTCTTTTATATATCTAATCATTCTTTTATTATTTTTTAATTATTAATTTAAGATTATTCTTTTAAATATAATAAAAAAATTTTAAATTTTTTTAATAAATAGAATTTAATTAATTATTTAACCTATTATTAATATTATTATTTTTAAATTAAAATATCTTAGATTAATTAATTTAATAATAACTATATTTTTTTAAAACATAAATTTATTATATTTTAATAATTCTTTAATTAATATTAATATTAGATTAAAAAATAATATAAATTATTTATAAAATATTTTTTTATTATTATTAATTAAATTTTCTTTTATTTTATTAATCTTTAAAAATAAAATAAAAAACCTTTATATTTTTTAAAAAATATTTTTTAAAGAATATCATAATTAGATATAGAATAAATTAATAAACCTTAATTTGGAAAATAAAGAAGAATTAGATAAATAAGAATTCTAAAATAAAGACTTAAATAATTTATAATAACTTAATTTATTATTATCTAAAACATCTATATTTATTTATATTATTTAAAATCTATTATCAATAAAGAAGATATTTTAATTCATTAATAAAATAATATTTCCTAAAATATATTCATAAATCCTAAAATTAGAAATATAAGAGGAAATTAATATTAGAATAGGAGAAGATAATTAAGAAAAAAAAAAGATCTTTAATTAATAAACTAGAATAATGGTTATTTTTAAGGAAGTTAAAAGGCTTAAAAAAGAATTAATCTTAAAGGAAACCAAATTAAAAAAGGCCTTTAAAAGATCTTTATTAGGAACTTTTTAATAACCAATATCTTCTTAATCTTTAGCATCTTCTAAACCTTTAAATAATAATGATAATAATGATGAAAAAGATAAGAAGGAAAAAGGAGGTAGAGATTCTTAATCATGGAAGGAAAGAATAATGATCTTTTTTTTATTTATTAAAGGATATAAATTAATAGATTTATTAATCTATAATAAAATTTTAGATATTAAAAATTGGTTTATATATATAAAACTTTATTTATTTTTTTATAAAGAAAATCTATTATAAAAAGAATAATAAATATTTATTATTATTTA